CAGCACGCTCTGCTGGTTTTGACGGTTTGATTTACCCTTCATACTTTAGCTTGCTACGAATCGGGGCACCACCGTTTGAGACGACTTACGGGATTTCGCACCGTCGTATCCCGGTGCTTCAAAAACACGAAGAATCAAAGACGATTCCAAACATTGCAATATTTGGGCATCCTATTAAAGAAGGTAAAATTTCTGTGCATTGCATCAATAGGCTCATACTCAATCGGGTAGAATATGGTTTTCATTTTGGTCCGGTTGGTTTTGAGTAAAAACCTTGGAAATAGGATTAGAGTCTCACATTAAGTTATTGTCTCAGCATTTCCTCACGGTGCCATTTGAGCGCATCTTGCGCAGGATAGAGCGCATCATGCTCAGGCAATAATATCATTGTATCGCGCAAGGTAGTTAGCAGCCATTCTGTTGGTCCGCGCTCCAATATGAATTCTGAAACAATCACTTTATAGTTTTTGTCCAACGAAATCAAGCCTTTTTCAAACGCCCAATGGTGTGATTTACAAAGAGAAATTCCATTCCGGACATCGTCATTATATGACTCACTAAAGGGGATGATGTGAGCGGCCTCCGTTATACTTTCTCCATTCAGTGTGAGGATACGCAGCTGACAGACGGCACACGTGTAGTGATACATTCCCATGATCGCTTGACGAAAACCCGCTGTACGAATCGGTTCTTCTGTTTGACCGGATTCTATGTGGTTTCGCGTTGAAAAGGCGTGTTCCACGCGTCGAAGCAGTTCCTCCCGATACACGCTAATCTGCTCTGTTTCTGAGAGGATCCCTTCGATTGTTTGCTTGTACTCTGAGAGGTACGTCTGGATAAGCGTTTGACGGAGCACCTCTCTGTCATATGAACTGGTGAGCAAAAGTAAAGAGTTCATCATCCAAACTGCATACGCAACAATTCCCGAAGCCGAGAAAGCACGTTTTTAATTTGAGTTACGACTCTTAGTGCCGTTTCGTATCCCGTATTGCATGGAGATGCCAGAAAATCCGTCGCTTTTAAGTGGAAAATGGCACATAGCATATTAGGTTTCCGATCCGTTACCCGAGACCAATATTTCATGAAAGTTTCCGCTAAATCTGGAAAGGGTGACTTTATTTTCAGGTATCTGTCCTTGCTCGATTAGTTCGATAACAGCTAACAGGAGAAGAGGCTTGTTAGGTGCCGCACCGTGCGCTCTGTCTATCGCAATTTTTGCATTTCTGGGCATATTTTTGTAGGATAGTATTAGGCATCTTCGTATCCCCTTGGAAGTTCACACACAGGTTGTTGTTTTAAATCCGTAGTCCTAATACCCTTTAATAAAAATGTCAATTTTTGCTTGACACATTTCTCCAGGACGAAATTCCGTGACCTAATTAAATGCTTCTTAACATTTCTGCTTAAGTGTGTTATACTAAATCAGATGATGAAGGTTAGAACACTACAACCGATTTGAAATTGTAGACGAGGAGGACAGGAGAATGAAAAGATTATTTTGTTTCGCTTGTGCTTTGGTGCTAATCTGCACGAGTTACGCATTAGGGCAGGATGTCGCTGTTTTTTATGACGAAGCCGTTGAAAATGGGGGTGGCTTGGCTGTGCCAAACCCGAAGCAGTTAGCAGAAATGATGGTGGAGGAGCTTGAGGCAAAAAAGTTAACCGCTGAAATTGTGGATAGCGACGAGTTAGCTGAGTATATGAAGGCGAACCCACAGGGAATCTATATCATCACGCAAGGGAATACGCCGGGGACGATATTTAAGAATCAGGGCAAGAAGGACCTTGTTCATTCGTGGTTAAGAGAAGGCGGTATCGGCGGGTTTATTGGCGATTACGCCTTCTACTATTATTGGGATAAAGGGGCACGTGTTACCGCTGCCGGTGCAGGACAACAAAGTGTGTTTGGTGCCACAGTCACCAATGGCACGGTCTCAGCAGTTAGCCCGACGGATCTTGGTAAGGAGTATATACCTTCCCTCAAAAAGTGGAATTCAAATCGTGCATCGGGTCTCGCTGTTTTGAAGCAAAACGATTTTGAGTATGAAAGTTACGCCGACGACGGTGTAAATGCTGATCCTATTGCTTACCGCACAAAAGACATGGAGGGATGGTTTATCAACTTCCATACTTCGTGTTGTGGAACAGCCATACCGCCAAATGATCAGCTCGCTACGGAGTACGCAGAACTTATTTCAAACCGTTTCGCGACCGCAAAAGCGGTAGATCCCTCCGGTAAGATTAGCGTTGTATGGGGACGACTAAAGTCACGCCAGTAGATTCTGTCATTGGAACCCTCTGTTAAGCTGTAGCCTCAATCTCCGTATTGGGGCTACAAGCAATTATAGTGAATTTCGGAGTGTTCCATTTTTTTCTAAGTTTACTACACTCCCAATTCTCAAATTTCAGCAAATATGGAGACATCAGTGAAGCATTACACTGTTATATGTTTCATCATTGGATTGAGTGCTATTCTCGTTGCATGTGGTGGCGATGAGAATCCAGAAGCCCCGATAGATTCGCAGACATCTTCGGAATCTCTCCATACCGCGATTGATGTTGATGAGATGATCCTTGTTCCCGCGGGAGAGGTTAGGCTCGGCACGAATCTCAAGACAGATTTGACGTTCGGAACCGAAGCCGATGCACGCGTCGTTTTTGTCGATGCGTTTTACATTGATAAATATGAGGTCACAAACAAACAGTACGCGAAATTCATCTCAGAAACAGGACATCGAACACCGAAGTTTTGGGATGATGCCATGCTGAACGTCCCAGACCAGCCGGTTGTAGGGGTCAATTGGGAAGATGCTGAAGCCTACGCCGCATGGGCAGGAAAGCGGTTACCTTCAGCGAGTGAATGGGAAAAGGCGGCCCGCGGTATAGGCGGAAGACTTTATCCGTGGGGCGATGCGTATGACGCAGCGCTCGGTAATTTCGACGACGATGGGAAAATGGACGGTAGCAGTGATGGTTATGCGATGACACCTGCTCCTGTCGGGAGTTTTATTGAGGGGATAAGTCCGTATGGGCTGCATGATATGGCAGGAAATGTTTGGGAATGGGTAACCGAGCCGTCGAAACCGACGGATGAGAAAACCTACGCAATTCGAGGGGGTTCATGGACGAATGGGGCAGGCGACACAAGAACAACCATCGCGTATATCTACCCGGCACAATGTAGTGATCACAGCAGTTCCGTCGGATTCCGCTGTGCAAAGACACCTTAATCCTTGGGTTAGTTAAATATCAGTCGCGAGTTTGACGGTATATCTAAAAAATAACACTTATGCGAAACATACTGAAATCCGTAATCTGTTCCTTGATATTATTGCTGGTAGAGCCTGTTGGGTTGTGGTACTGATGAGCAGATGCTGATTGAAGAAGAAACAGAAGAAGAAACAGAAGTCGTTCAAACCGATGAGATACCAACTGTAGCGATAGAATCACGACCCATACCAGTGGTTGCACCTAAAGGAATGGTATACGTTCCTGCTGGCGAGTTTATTATGGGCAGTGATCCAGATGTAGACCCGATGACAGATGAACTTGATGAACTCCCGCAGCATAAAGTGTTTTTAGATGCCTATTTCATTGATAAACACGAAGTGTCGAATGCCGATTATACCCAATTTGTCGAAGCCACGGGGCACCGAAATTCAATCTTCTGGGATAACCCGAAGTTTAATCACCCTGACCAACCGGTAGTAGGTGTAACCTGGGGGATGTCTCTGCTTATGCCGCATGGATTGGGAAACGTTTGCCGACCGAGGCGGAATGGGAAAAGGCGGCACGCGGCACAGATGGACGTATCTGGCCCTGGGGCAATGAATTTGATCCGACCAAATGTAACTTTGATGACGAAAGAAAGTTTGATGGCCATCTCGATGGCTTCGCGATGGCAGCACCCGTGAAGAGTTTCGAGCAAGGCGCGAGTCCGTACGGCGCGCTTAACATGGTGGGAAATGCCGCAGAATGGGTAGCGGATTGGTTTGACATGGAATACTACGCAGTCAGTCCTGCGGAAAACCCGAAAGGACCTCCAACGAGCGGAATGGGTAAAAAGTCGTGGCGGGGTGCGAGTTGGTTCGCCGGTTCAGAACAGATGCGGTGTGCATTCCGAGAATATGACGACATTGTCGCGAGTGGACAGATCCTCGGATTTCGGTGTGCGAAGGACGCGCCACAACCGGAGTAACACCCGTCAGAATTTTTAGCACGCGAACCTGAATAGAATTTACGCACAACGTGCATATTGACGGATGAAGGATGGAAGGAATGGAAGGATGGAGTACCTCCGCCTACGCTTCCAATCTTCCAGTCTTCCAATTCCACAAGCAAACGACAGGGTCTTGCGTAAGTTCTACTGAATTGAGAATTTGGGAATACTATTCGATCATGCGTTTACTAACTCTCTGGATACTACCCTGCTGCGTAATATTGCTCTTCGGGTGCGGTGCGGAAGAACTTCCAGAAATGACAGAGATGCCTGAAGAAACAGTTGATATATTTACCGAGCGCGAGTGGGGAGTGATTCAACGATTGTCCCCACTACCTGATGTACCACCGCCGAATCCTACAAATCGCGTCGCTGATAATCCGGATGCCGCTCGGTTAGGGCAGATGTTTTTTTTCGACGCTCGTTTTTCAAAGGACGGGACAGTCGCTTGCGCTACATGCCATTCACCATTTCACGGGTTCGCTGATGTTGAAGCGACTTCCTTGGGAGCAGGGAGAGGCACCAGAAACGCACCAACTGTGCTGAATACCGCCTACAACAAATGGCAGTTTTGGGACGGTCGAGCAGATACACTCTGGTCACAAGCGTTAAGTGCACTTGAAGGCGAGAATGAACAAGCCGGCACCCGACTTCAGTATGCGCACCTTATCAATCGGACTATCAAGTAGATTATGAAGCAGTGTTCGGTCGCCTCCCTGAGCTTGAAGATGCTACACGCTTCCCGCCTGATGGTAAACCGGGGGACCCAGCGTTCGACAGTATGTCCGATACAGACCAGCGCGCCGTTAACACCGTCTTTGCAAATATCGGTAAGGCGATCGAGGCTTATGAGCGTCTTTTGATCAGTGGGAATGCGCCGTTTGATCAGTATGTGGCAGGCGACACTGAGGCAATAATACTTGAAGCGAAGCGTGGATTAAAAGTATTTATCGGTAAAGGTGTTTGCATCCTCTGCCACGATACGCCAAATTTTACTGACAATGATTTCCATAACTTGGGTGTACCACAAGGCGAATTGCCAGAAGATACCGGACGTTATGCAGGAATCTCGTCGCTTTTAGCAGATCCGTTTAACGGTGGGAGCATCTATAGTGATGATACCGCCGTCGCTACGCGTATTCTGAATTTCTTGGAACCAACATCGCAACATCAAGGCGAATTCAAAACACCAACGCTCCGTAATGTAGCACTGACCGCACCCTATTTTCACACTGGTGAATTTCCAACACTCGCCTCCGTGATTGAATTTAATAACGCAGGTGGAGCCGGCGGCAACTTTGTCGGTAGACGTGAAGGGACACTGGAACCGCTGCATCTCACTGAGCAGGAGAAAGATGATTTGGTTGAATTTTTAAAGACATTGACAGGTGAATTGCCACCCGCACATTTGCTAAGTAAACCGAAACTCCCCAAATCTGACTAAAACAACAGAAATCCAGAGGTCTTTCGGAAATGGTTGAGCACCGAATTATCAATTGTGCCCGGTATCCATAAAAAATTAAAAAAGTTGACAATTTCCTAACAATGTTGTATAATTTTATTAATGTTTTAAGTTGCCTTTGAGAAAAAGCGTCTGTTGAATGCCAATTTTAACAGGACGCAACGATGGCACCTTCTGGCGATCTTTTCACCCATGCTGCACAAAGTACAACTTTTCTGAGTGCTCCGCGAGTGAATACGTTTTGAAAAATGAGAGTTGCGTACCAAGTACACAACTTTTCCACAGACAATTAATTAATGCGTTCTTCTAATGCTACTGTACATTGCAGTATACGTGGTTGAAGAACGGCGAACGTTCATAACGAACAAGAGAGGTATAATTGAAAAAATTAGCTATTACGATATTGTTAGGACGGGACGCGAGGTATGCTGTGATGACGAGCCGTGAGCGTGCTTGCTTAGACCTTACTGCTATCCTGATGCTCAGCCAGGAGTCATTAGGTGCTCACTGTATTCTACAGAGCAAGGCGGAGGTGATAGCGGTCAGTCGTGCGCTGTAACGACATCTTGCTTGTGAGCCCGATTCTATTATGTGGCCACCACGGGGGTGCAACCAATTTACACTGCCTCGCGCCATCCTTTTCTTTCGTGTTTCGTGAGCCGGTAGTATATCCTCCCCGTTTGATTATCATATGCTAGATTGGTTCTTCACTGGCGCGTGGTCCAGATATAAACACACCTGTCCTTCATATCGCTGCACGCGTTTTGCACGGTGGATATTTTCCTTGTTTTTTAGCGGTATCGGTGCATGGGGCATTAGGCTGGCTCTACTCCGCCCACACTTTTCGACCTCTGCTCACATCACCTCAGAGACCCCATATCGGTAGCACGCTTGATCCGGCACGGCTTCAAGATACCGCTGACATGGTGTGTTACCCCTTGTTTCCCCGGCCGAGCCAACACGTTGTTAGACTTCACGAACACTGTTGCTGTGCATTAGTCGAGCTTTCTCCGCTCATTCCCCTCCGACACACTACGCGCGGATGAGTGAAACTGGTGAACAGGGATTGAAGAATATAATGGACATCAACGCTGATATGTGGTCCGATGGTACAGCTATCAAACCCACTAAGGATGGTAAGAAGTATACCCCTACCCTCAAAGCCTTTACCTCAGCGCGAACGTTCAAAGAAGCACAGATTGACGATCCTTGGGAAGTTGAGGTAGTCTTCGGTGATAATGGGAAAGGGTTCCTGGATCCCGCTATTGTCCACGATACCGAAACCGACGGCCGCATCGGAATTGCCTATCAAGTACCAGGTGACGACGCGCTCCCGCGGGGCGAAGTCTTCACCGAAATGATTGATAACTTTCTGTTTGAAGTGCTCGGTCCCCAATCGGTTGACCCAAATAAGAAAGTTACCACTACGTGGGCGCAAATCAAGTCAGATTATTAAACTGGTATCTGTATCCTATCTGTAGAGACGTGCTGCGGTACGTCTCTACAACCTAACTGCTCCGGTAATATCATTGGGGCTAATTCTCAAAAAGGAGAAATTAATTAATGAAAGTAGGAAGATTGTTAATTCTATTCGCAATCCTTTTCACCCTCGTCGCTACCGCTTCCAGTTGGGCAGCCCTTGGCGATGTCGCGATCTTCAGTGAAGGTGTAGGCTGGATATCACAAGCAGATGCAGATGCACAGCGAGCCATTGTGTTTGATGGCCTCAAAGGTGTCGTGCCATCCGTCGATGAAATCGTTTATCAAACCGACGCAGAAATTGGTCCTTGGGCAGAAGCACGCATTGACGACGGTGTTGCGGATGTCCTCATTATTTTTGGATGGTTCCCAACAACACTATATACCCCTGGGAATTCGCAAGAAGATGATTCCATCGCAGAACGGTTCATCTTACGGTGGAAATATCATCCTTAATTGCGCCGATTATGCCTTCTACGTTACTGAAGGCTGGTGGTGCGAATGGCGAAAACGGTTTGAAGACCATTATCAACATCAACGCAGACATGTGGGGCGATGGCACACAAATTACACCGACAGCTGCTGGTGCGGAATGGACACCGACGCTTGAGGACTTCGTCTCTGCAAGACCCTTTAAAGATGAACAGATCGTCGATCCGTGGAGTGTTGAAGCCGCTTTTGGTGATAACGGTGCCGGATTCTTCGACCCGGGCATCATCAAATTGGACGATAGCAGCGGACGTGTCGGAATTTGTATGCAAGAGCGGCCAAAACGCGGGCTGCCTCGTGGTCAAGTACTGATTGAGATGATCGATTTCATCTCTCAGCAACCCGATATGACCGCAGATACGACCCCTGTTGAACCGGCTGGGAAAGTTGCTGTCACTTGGGGCAACATCAAATCTGTACAGTAGCCTAATAGCAAACCAAAATCTTCCGCTCTTATATTCGTACCCTTAGGTGGGGATATAAGAGCGGTTTTATTTTTAAGCGACACCTATCTGTGCGATTAGCATCACATAACGCTTACGGCACACGGAGTGTGCCTACTACTTTGCAAACCCATACGCCAAAGATCCACGCAATCCGAGATTCAGACGAGCACCGGTGCGTTTATAGTAAAGCCCGAAAATATGTAGACATCTCAGGAGGCACCAACCTCACTCCACCGCTGGCGAGGTTTGTAACCTCGCCCATCCGTGATGTCCAAGTAATTGTGGACTTTACTATAAAACCACACTTGCCAACCACTGATGGCTGATAGCCAATTATTTGACATTTATTTGTGCTGTGCTATACTTCTTTTGATAATAACCGTTGTTCACGCATCCACGACCTTCTTGACAATCGTTCCATAAATTCGGTATAATAGATAAACAGAAGCAATGCCTTGAAACAGATTATCACACACACTCATCCAGACCTTGATGCTATCGTCAGCGCGTGGATCGCTCAAGATTTTCTCTTCAACGGACACGAGTCAGAGGTCCTGTTTGTAAGTCGAAAAGTGCCAGAAGAGAAACTCATGTTACATGCCGAGCTGTGTGGTTGATGTTGGAAACACATACGTCCCTGAAAACTACAGATTCGATCACAAGCCTCCCGCATTTCAGAATAGAAATAGCACCTGTGCAACCCGACTCATCTGGGAATATTTACGCGATGCTGGTGCCGACGTCGCGCATCTTGAACCTTTGGTACAGATAACATATCAAGGCGATACACATCGGAATTCAGACGCACTTCATACAGAGCCGAATTGATGGACCGCATGCGGAATTAGTTAAACTAAAATCAGAATATAAAGAGATACCAGAGGTTTATCGACAGATGGTTCTCTGGCTGAGGAGTTATACAAAAAACTTATGAAGCAACTTACATGCTTACTCATTGCCCTATTTGCTGTAGCCGCAGTGCCAGCGAAATTCGTAAGTGCCGATGAATGGAGCCAGTGGCGTGGTGAAGACCGCAAGGGTGTTTGGAACGAAACGGGCATCATCGAAGAATTTGAAGGAGAGCAGATCCCACTCCGTTGGCGGGTCCCTATCGGAAGCGGGTATAGCGGTCCGAGTGTTGCTGATGGTCGTGTCTATATTACCGATCGGGTTACAAACCGAAACAGATCGAGCGTGTCCACTGTTTTGAGTGGGAGACAGGTGAAGCCATCTGGTCCTACGCCTACGATTGCGCATACAGGATTGATTATACAGCAGGACCCCGTGCGACTGTGACTGTGCATGACGGACTCGCTTACGCGTTAGGCGCGATGGGACATTTACACTGTTTTGATGCTGTCACGGGTGACATCGTCTGGAAAAGAGATCTCAATGCTGAATATAATATTAATATGCCTATATGGGGGATCGCGAGTGCTCCTATTGTCGAGGCGGAAAACCTAATCGTTCAAATCGGCGGTAAGCCGAACGCCTGTATAGTCGCATTTGATCGGAAAACGGGTGAAGAAAAATGGAAAGCATTGGACGATAACGCCTCTTATTCGGCACCAGATCGTGATTACGCAAGCAGGTAAACGGGTTTTAATCTGCTGGACGGGAGCCAATATCGCCGCGCTTGATCCGCAAACAGGGTGCAGTGCACTGGCTCTATCCGTTTCTACCGGACGGTTTTGAGATAGCAATTGCTACCCCTATTTTCGATCAAAACGAATTATTCATCACGGATTTCCGTCAAGGATCTCTTCTCCTGAGGCTACCATCAGATAAGTTGGCAGTAGAACTCGGCTGGCATCGTAAGGGCAAAGACGAGCAGCATACCGATGCACTTCAGACGACAATGGCGACACCTCTGCGTCTTGGTGGTTACATTTACGGTGTGGATAGTTATGGCGAACTCCGTTGTTTAGATGCGCGAAACGGCGATCGGGTTTGGGAAGACCTCTCTGCCGTTCCGAAAGCGCGCTGGAGCAATATCCATTTAATCCAGCATCCCGCGTCATCAGAAAACCGAGTCTGGATGTTCAACGAGCGTGGTGAACTCCTCATCACAGAACTCTCTCCTGAAGGATTGAATATTATCAGCCGCTCGCAATTAATCGAACCGACGCGCGATCAGTTGAACCAAAGAGGCGGTGTTACGTGGGCACATCCCGCGTTTGCCTATAAGCACGTCTTCATTCGGAACGACGAAGAACTCGTTTGTGCCAGTTTAGAAAAATAGTAGCTTTCTTCTTTTTCGCCAAAACACGTAGTCCGTAACGTAGTGGAGGACGGATATATTGAAAGGCACGTGAAAGTCCCAGCGAACGTTACTTACCCGCAAGGAATAATTAAAAAACCGCAAGGAATAATTAAAATATGGAAACGACCCGAATGCCGGATATAGATTTACACCCCGGTGAACAACTTCACGGTTTTGAAGTAAAAGCCGTCACACCGATCGACGAATTGCGAGCAGTGACGATTGAATTAGCACATCAACATAGCGGCGCACGCTTGCTACATCTCTACACAAACGACACGGAAAATCTCTTCTCCATTAATTTTCCTACCCCACCCTCAGACGATACAGGTGTCCCACATATACTTGAGCACGCCGTCTTAGCAGGTTCTCACAAATATCCGGTCAAAGAACCGTTTTTTGAAATGATTAAGATGAGCATGGCAACCTTTATCAACGCCATGACGAGTTCAGATCATACCTACTATCCCGTAGCGAGCAATGTAAAGAAGGATCTCTTTAACTTAGCAGAAGTTTATTTTGATGCGGTATTCCATCCGCTACTCACGAAGGAGACGTTCAAACGCGAAGGGCATCATCTCGCACCTGCCAATCCCGAAGATCCGACTGGCGATTTGAAGATAACCGGCATCGTCTATAATGAGATGAAAGGGGTCTTCTCGGATCCAGAATCACTGTTGTATCGATCAATGACAAGCCGACTCCTTCCAGATACGCTTTATGCCTGTGAGTCCGGTGGAGATCCTGATGCCATTCCTGAATTGACGTACGAGCAACTCAAAAAATTCCACGAAACCTATTATCATCCGAGTAACAGTTACTTCTTTCTTTACGGTGATATTCCGACAAGCGACTATCTTTCCTTTCTCGCGGATAAGTTGGATAAGATTCCGAGAAACGAGGAGAGTGCCGCCTTGCGACCCCTCAGTCCAGAAGTCACCCATCAGTCGAAATGGAAATCACCGCAAGTCGTGAAAGATACCTATCCCGTCGGCGTAGATGAACCGCTTACGGAGAAAACGTACCTGATGCTCAGTTGGTTCATCGGGGATGCAACCGATCCGGAAGAGGTTGTTTTGGGACGTATTTTAAGTCTTATTCTACTCGGCAATGAAGCCGCACCCCTCCGAAAAGCGATTATTGATTCCAAACTCGGTGCGGATCTCGTCTACTCTGGTGCTGGGTCTATTGGGGCAGCAGCCACTTTTTACCTCCTACTCAAAGGGAGTGAAGTGGATCGCGCCGAAGCGTTTACCCAACTGGTCACCGATACCCTAACTCAGATTGCGGATTCAGAGATTGAGAGTGAGAAGGTGGAAGCTGCGTTCCAGCAAGCAACCTATCACTACCAAGAAGTCGCGTCAATGTTCCCGCTCCGCATGCTCCAACGCGTCATTGAGGGTTGGATATATGAGAAGGATTCAAATACCTTCCTAAATATGGGTAAAACGCTCGCTGATGTCCGTCAGCAGTGGCAGAAAAATCCAGCGATTTTCAATGAACTCATCCGTGAACGGCTTATTGAAAATCCACACCGCTTGACGAGCGTGCTATCTCCAGATAGAGACATGCAGGCGAAAAACGATGCTGAACTCGCTGAACGGATGAAGGAAATACGGGCGCAATTGACTGATGAGCAGGTGAAACATATTGCCGCTGATGCTGCTGAACTCGAACGTCTCAATGAACAGCCTAATTCACCGGAGGCATTGGCGAAACTGCCGCAACTTCAAGTCAGCGATCTACCCGAAAAACCGAGACATATCCCGACAACGAGTCGAGAACGTTGGTGGACGCGCCTTTCTCCGCAATGATGTCTTTGCCAATGGCGTTAACTACCTCGTGTTAAACTTCGATTTACAAGGGTTGCCGGAGCATCTTTGGACCTATCTGCCGAGATACACCGATGCTATAAGCAAACTCGGTGCCGCCGATATGGACTACGCAGAGATAGCGCATCGAACATCGGCAGTCACCGGCGGAATAGGATGTTCACCGGGGTTCAGTACACACGCTCTTGATGCAAGCCGTTCCCTGCAAAACATGCAATTTCACCTCAAAGCCCTTGATGGTAAAATAGACGCTGCGCTTGACGTGCTCCATGACCTGATCTTTGACGTAAACCCGCGCGACACCGAACGCCTTCGCGATGTCCTGGTGCAGGCTGTTGCCGAAAACCGTACGGAAATGATTCAGGACGGATTGAATACGGCGATTCATCACGCTTCGCGGGGGCTATCGCGGGAAGCACATCTCTCGGAGATTGTTTTCGGTCTTCCGCAACTCCACAACAGTGAAACGTTACTCAGCAGTTTTGACGAACTTAACGCCGATCTCATGTGTCATATAGAAGGGATTCGTGACTTCTTACTGAGCCGCGGGCGGGTGACCGCGAGTTTCACTGGTTCTGACACCGGTTTTGAGAAGACGCACACCAAACTCGGTGAATGGCTCAGCACAATGCGGGATGAACCGATCCCTTCGGAATCAATTGCGTTTCAACCGTTTGGGACACCGCAGAGAGAAGGATTGGCCGGTCCTATTCAGATTGCATACTGTGCGCATGTGATGCCGGCACCACACTATTCACACCCTGACTCAACGTTGCTCAGCATCGGGGCGCATATTTTGCGATTGGATTACATCATGAGCGAAATCCGATTTAAAGGCAACGCTTACGGGGCATATTTCACCTATAGTCCGTTTGATGCTCACCTGTATCAAGCTTCATATCGCGATCCGCACGTCGCGCGGACGCTCAACGTCTTTGAACAGACAGCCGACTATGTTAAACAGGTGGAATGGACGCAAACAGACATTGATCGGGCGATTATCGCGACCGCGAAAAGTGCTGAAAAACCGATCCGTCCGAGTCAGGCGGCAAGCGACGCGCTGAGTCAATATCTTGTAGGACAGACACGCGAAATGCGAGAAGATCGCTATGCACAACTCCGACAGGCAACGCCTACTGAGGTAAAACGGGCACTTCTCCAACTTTTGGAGGAAAATCGAGATAAAGCCGCGGTGTGTGTCGTTTCAAGTCGTGAGAAACTGGAAGCAGCGAATCGTGAATTGGTACTACCTCTTGTCATTGAGGACATTGTAGCCTAAACCTATTTAGTCACGTATGACTTTACTCGGTGGGTGCGGTTTCTAACCGCACCACTCTTACTATAAAAAATGAAAGGAATTAGATATGAAGAGAATCGCAATTTTGACCCTGTGTATCTGTGCTGTGGCGGCAATCGCAGCAATCGCATCAGAGCCTGTCGGATTTGAGAAAAACTGGCATCATTGGCGTGGTCCGCACGCAACCGGTGCCGCAGTCGAAGCCAATCCACCCACGACGTGGAGTGAGACTGAAAACATCCGTTGGAAAGCTGCTATCCCCGGCACGGGACACGCCGCGCCAATTGTCTGGGAAGACAAAATATTCATCCAGACTGCAATTAAGGGTGAAGCTTCCAAAGCGGAAGCCGAAGAATCCGACGATGACAATCCGTTCGGCGGTTTCTTTAACCAGAGGCGTGGACAAGAGGGTATTAAGGACTCCTACAAGTTTGATCTTATCGCCATCAATCGAAACGACGGCAGCATCTTGTGGCAAAAGACACTGCACGAGGTAAACCCACATGAAGGAAAACACCAGGATGGCACTTACGCTTCAAACTCACCGGTTACCGATGGTGAACACGTTTACGCCTATTTCGGTTCGCGTGGCCTCTACTGTGTGGATATGATGGGCAATGTGAAGTGGGAAAAAGACGTCGGGACGATGTATAAAAGTAACACCTTCGGTGAAGGGAGCTCCCCTGCTCTCTACGGTGATAAGATCGTTGTGCAGCAAGATCACGAGAGGGGTTCCTTCATTACTGCTCTTGACAAGCGGACAGGTGATGTCCTCTGGAAGACCGACCGCGATGAAAGAACAACATGGTCGTCCCCTGTTATTGTTGAACACGATGGAAAAGCACAAGTTATCACCACAGGCACAAAGCGCGTTCGCAGCTACGATTTGGAGACCGGCGAAATTGTATGGGACGGTGATGGCTTGACACCTAATAGCATTCCTTCACCCGTTGCTGCTAACGGTTACGTCTACCTCATGAGCGGCTTCCGAGGCAATGCGTTCCGTGGGGTTCACCTCGCAGAGGCCACAGGCGATATTACGGGCTCCGATGCCGTTGTCTGGGAATACAATCAGGATACACCCTACGTGCCGTCGCCGCTTCTCTATAAAGGCATCATCTATTTCTTGAAAAGCAACAACGGTATTCTCACCGCTTTCAATGTCGAAACAGGACAAGTATATTACGGACCCCAACGGTTGCAAGGGGTATCCGGTGTGTACGCTTCAATCGTTGGAGCGTCAGACCGCGTCTATATCGCCGGAAGGGGTGGCACTGTCAATGTTATCCAGCATGGACCCGAATTTAAGGTCTTGGCAGAAAACAAACTCGACGATAGTTTCAACGCATCACCTGCAGTTGTAGGTTCGGAGTTATACCTCCGGGGTGCTCAGTATCTCTACTGCATTACGGAGTAGGTACGATTTTTTAATTGAAGGAATATAAGTTAGGGGCGGAGTTTTATCTCCGCCCCTTCTTGTAGAAGCGACGTAGGACATTTGTGGGAGGGCTTTGTAAGCCCGATTTACAAAATACATCGCTATATTCTAATACGTCGCCCTTCCACCGCTCACATCGTAGCATTGCCCCGTCACAAAACTCGCCTCATCCGAAGCCAAGAAATTCACCACAGCGGCAACCTCCTCCGGTTTCCCGACACGTCCCAACGGAATCTTGCTTATCATATAATCGACAGTCGATTGTGCCATGCCTTCCAAAATTGGCGTTTCGATAACCGCAGGCGATACCGCGTTCACACGGATATTATAGTCGGTTACCTCTTTGGCAAGTGCCTTTGTCAGACATATAACACCAGCCTTAGATACCGAGTACGGGATAAGTGTCGGATTACCCTCCTTGCCAGCGATTGAGGCAATGTTCACAATCCTACCATAGTCCTGTGCAATCATTTGGCTGATGACTGCCTTGCAACAGAGAAAGACACCCGTCAAATTTACAGCCATCACGGTGTCCCAATCTGATTCCTCTAAGTCGGTTAATGGCAGTGTCCGCCCTGCAATACCGGCGTTATTGACGAGAATGTCGACACGGCTGAAGGTGGAAATAATCTTTTCAACTGCAGCATTGACATCAGTGGACTGTGATACATCTGCCTGAACCGGTAATGCTTTGCGTCCAATGGATTCAATTTCCCCTGCTACCGCTTCAGCCGCTGCCATGTTCAAATCCATGATAGCAACATGTGCCCCAGCGTTCGCGAGTCTGATGGCAATCGCTTTGCCGATACCTTGCCCCGCGCCTGTCACAATCGCAATTTTATCCGTTAGATTCATTAAAATTTCTCCCTTCCAGAAAATCGTCTAATTCTATTCCGAACGCGTCCGCTATCCGATTGACGTAACTGAAAAAGCCGACGACCTCCACAATAGCGAAGAGTGCCTCATCAGTGAGTCCATAACTGCGGAGGTGTTCCAAGTCTGCCTGTGTAACAGTAGGTGCCGCCTTCGTTACTTTGACGGCAAACTCAAGAATCGCTTTCGTGGTGTCGTCAATATCAGCCGCCTGAAAATCCGCCACAATCTGTGTAAATCTGTTCGTCTGTGAATTGTTCCCGCAACTCATCCGCATGCGCTATTATTCAGTAGTGGCATTCGTTCACTTTCGAGACAATGGTGGCAATCATTTCCCGTTGCATCCGACTCAGTGGAGAGTCCGGGTCGTGCATCACCACCATGTAGAGTTCGACGAAGGCACGCATACTTTTCGGTCGGACGCTAAAAAGTTTGACGACATTGTAAAGTTGCCCCGCCCGCGCGATTGCCGCGTCGTATTCCTCTTTCACAATGCCAGTGGCATCTGCTTCATCTACAGTGCGAATCCATGCCATTTTTCACTCTCCAATCACAACGCCGTATTCACCAACAACCGCGCCTTTGTGTCCGGTTTGGTAATGTAAGTGTCTTTCACCGACAATCGGTTGTGTGCTTTGCACCTCGACTGTGCCGCGTACTTTCCCCATTGCGCCCTCATCCATATCTACGCAGCAGAGCGGCTTAATTTGGCGATGTACTTGCCGATGAATATGACCCTGCCGATTGCGGACGATGATGTTGACAAAGGCATCTGCTTCTCCGACGTTAAGAAATCGGAACCAGTCCCAGGCACCACCTGCGACTTCAGGGAAAAAGAGTCGGATTCCAATCTGTCCCCCTTCCACCGATGCGCCGGGTAGATCGATAATGGCTGTCCCACTATGCATGTGTCGTTCCGCGACAACCGGTTGATTGCTCCGTACCTCTACAGAGGATTTCACTTTAATATCATCTATGGGCGGAGTCCAACACTCAAAAGGTCTCAGTCGATCGCGTTTTTTTGTCCACGTCGATTGCGCGTCGTCATCTTTACGCGCGATCATCGTCACTTCTGCATCTTCTCTTCCGACGTTGACGATTACAACCCAATCTTGCCATGCGGGTCCGACCTCCGGGAGAAACAAGGTCCGAGGGGCATCCGAAATCAACTGTCCAAACTGTCCGACAGAGGTTTTCCCACCCTGATAGTGGAGATGGCGTTCACCGACAATCGGTTGTGAACTTTGCATCTCGACTGTGCCGGTGACGTTCCCCATAACACCTTCGTTGAGATCCCAACAGCAGAGAGGCTTGATGACGTGGTGGCGTTGCCTCAGCACATCGCCGTTCCTGTTTCGGACGGTGACGTTGACGTGCGCGTCCGCGTCACCGACATTTAGGACACGAAACCAGTCGTGGGCACCTGAAACTAATTCTGGAAAAAAAAGTCGTTGCCCGACTGTTCCGTATTCTGGAGCCGCGCCGATAAAATCAAGCACATTTGTATCTTTGTGCATGTGTCGTTCCGCCACAATCGGCTGATCCGCACTGAACTGCATTGAGGAGTTCTGTTTAATCTCTTCAACGTTGGGTATCCAGGACTCGAAGGAACTTATTGTTTTCTCCGCAGACCAGGTTGGTTGTCCGTTGACAGCGTGCCTCGCGATTGCAGTCACTCGGGTATCTTCAGTCCCCACGTTCGTAACTTGGACCCAGTCTTGCCATTCGGGTCCCACTTCTGGAAAATAAAGGGTTGTTGCGCCTGCCATTACTGTCTCCTATTTAATTTAAAGTCTGTTTTATTACGATACATGCTTACAAAGTGTGATTATTGGAAGCTTAAGAACGTCGTGATTAAGATTACTTTTACTATTTTAATGTGAGTTCCATACTAAAAGTATGGTAGAGAGAGAACCTCTTTGGTATAATGGGGTGACCTAAACCCTCACACAAGGTGTGCTCTATGCATATTATATCACTTTTCTGTGGAATTGACGACTTTTTTCTCGCAGTTGTCGGGGACACCGCTGCCTGGAACACACCGATGCCGCTGAAGTCTGCATCCCAGCGAGGTGATGACGATACTCGTTAACTTTCATCGAAGTCAACAACTTTCAAGTGAATATGGTGTCAGCAGTGGATCACCCTGCGTGACGGATAGGTTTCGGATATAGGGATGGCTGTTATGAATCAGACCAAAGCGTGATTGAAAAACACTTGACATTTTTTCTCGGTTTTGGGATAATCTGCTGAGCAGCGTTGGTAGAGGATGCCGCTCTTGTCGCTTGGAGAGATCCCTACCGCCGCGTGGCATTGACCACGATGCGAAAGCATACAACCGATGCGAACCTATAAATACAAGTTTCGACATCATTGGAATCTTGTCCGTTTTGAAAAGGCATTATGACAACGCATCACGAAATGGCTCTCGCGATTCCACTACACATCTTGAGGAGAAAATTCAATGGCAGCAGAAGAAACTCTCAGACGCTGAAATTCAGGAAAACTTGGGACAACTCAACGGTTGGACCGTCGAAAACGGTAAGTTGCACAAGGAATTCCAGTTTGATACCTTCGTCACGGCGTTCGGTTTCATGGCACAACTCGCCTTAATCGCCGAATCCATGAACCACCATCCCGAATGGTTCAATGTCTATAACCGTGTGACGATTGACCTGATGACACACGATGCAGGTGGTATCAGCGAACTCGATTTTCAGTGGGCAAAGCACGCAGACGCGATTAGCGGTTAAACCGGTTTTCTATAGATTAGAATGACCTAACCGGTACAGGAGAGACGCATGGATAATACGAAAGTCTTAATTGGCAGCCGGCAAGCCCCAGGAATTGAGGCGATGCTATCGGATGCCCCACCCGGAGTTGAGGTTCGCTTTTTGCCTCGCGGTGAACCCCTGCGTGAACACATCGCCGATGTTGATATTTTATTTGGAGGCATTGGCGAAGATGTGATGCCAGAGGCAACTGCCTTGCGTTGGGTGCATCAACCGCATGCAGGGGTTGAGGGATTTATGTATCCCGCTTTCAAGGCGAGCGATGTGATACTCACCAACTGTCGAGGCTTGTACGGCACACAGATTGCGGAACATGCCTTTGCCCTTCTTTTATCCATCACCCGTCGGATTCCCGACCAATTGGAATTCATGAAGACGAAGCATTGGGAACGCGTTCCATGTGTTGAACTGGCGGGTATGACAATGGGCATCCTTGGGCTGGGTGGCATCGGACGAGCGATTGCGACACGCGCACAAACGTTTGAATTTAATGTCATCGGTATTGATACAGAACCGATAGATAAACCCGATACCGTCTCAGAACTTTACCGTTTGGATGGATTGATGGCGTTCTTGGCGAAATCAAACGTTCTCATGGTTTGCTGTCCAAGTACCCCCGAAACGCATAAACTCCTATCAGATGCACAATTTAATGAGATGCCTGATGCGAGTTATGTCGTGAATGTCAGTCGTGGCAAGGTTATTGACGAAGCGGCATTGGTAACCGCTCTTCAGAGTGGGAAATTAGCGGGTGCAGGGCTGGACGTAACTTACACAGAACCGTGTCCACCGGAAAGTCCCGCTGTGGGAACAGCAGAATGTGATTCTGACCTCACACAGCGCAGGTTCCTCGCAGCACATTCGGAGACGTGCCATGCAACTTTTTATAGACAATCTACATCGTTACGTGAAGGGTGACCCCTTAGTCAACGTCGTTGACAAGCAGAAGGGATATTAAGTTAAAACATAGAATGCTTAAAACATAGAACGGAGGAAAAATGAGCCAGAAAACGTATCGTGCCGCGGCAATTGGGCATACAGGTGCCGGTAACTTCGGACACGGACTCCACACCCCATATAAAAATATAGAGAACGTTGAATTTATCGCTGTCTCTGACCCGAACGAAGAGGGTAGAGAAAAGGCGGCAGCAGAGGCAGGTGCCTTGCGCAGTTACGCCGATTATCGAGATATGCTTGAGAAAGAGGATCTTGATATTGTGAGTGTCTGCCCCCGTTGGCCATCGGAGCACGTTGCTATGGTAACTGCATGCCTTGAGGCGGGATGCAGCGTCTACAGCGAGAAGCCGATGACGAGTACGCTCGCGGATGGTGATATAATCGTTGAGGCAGCGAAAGCGCACGGACTCAAGGTCGCTGTGGCGCATCAGGCGGTCTATCTTCCGGCGACGCATGCGATCAAACAGATGCTCGACGATGGGAAAATTGGCACGATCCAAGCCATCCAAGCCAGCGGTAAGCAGGATCGTCGCGGTGGTGGTGAGGATATGATTGTTCTTGGCACCCACATTTTCAACATGATGCGCTTCTTCATCGGCGATGTCGCCTGGATGCAGTCTCATGTCACAACGAACGGCAAAGAGATCGCATACGGTGACGACCACGAACCCACAGAACCTGTTGGACCCGTCGCAGGTGATTCCATCAACAGCTACTTCGCTTTCAAAAACGGTGCCTCTGGCTTTTTTGAATCCCGGAGAGATCAGGCTGGCTCCGGCAGATACGGCATGGAAATCGTCGGCAGCGACGGTATTTTCTCGCTTCGCGGTGATGTTGCGAACCGACTCATGGTCTATCCGTATCCAGTGCTGCTCCCTTCAAATCAGGATCAGGAGTGGGAGGCAATCGACTTAGACCAAACGCCTTTCTCCAGTGGCAATGAACTCGCGATTCGTGATCTCATCGATGCCGTTGAGAACGATCGGAAACCGATTTCCGCTGCGCAAGACGCTGTCGCTGCGCTGGAAATGATTCTCGGTGCCTACGAATCTCAACTATCAGGACAACGCGTTCCCTTCCCAATCACAAACCGCGAACATCCTTTAAGCAGATAACTCCAAAACGCTTCGCTGGCGGGGTTTGATGAAGTTTTAATAAATATTTCGGTAATTTGATTTTTTCCCCAGGACCGGTAGGTGCGGTTTGTAACCGCACCGGACCTCATTAGAAAATTACCGAATTAAAATCTGAATTCTCATTAACCCCGTCATCCTGCGAGTACTCCTTTATATGTTAGCGAGGTCCCTATGCCTCGCCAATACCTTCCTATACCGGTATCGTCTTCCGAACACCGTTTTCATAACGTACCTGATAATCGGAATCTGGCACGTCCATTGCGCGGACAGCAAGTTCGCCAAACGTGATGAGCGGTTCGGAAAGTAGTAGCAGTTCATCAAGCGATTCGGTCGGTGTCTTGTCCGTTGTATCCAACACAATCTTACGTCCTTTCTGGGTAAACAGAGATTTATCAATCTCCTCTTGAAAAAGGCGGTTGAGTGTAGGAATATCGGCTTCCTTGATAATCTGATATTCGTGTGGGTCTGTTGCCATCCGTTCCTTAATCGCCGCGTCGCTGGCAGTGACGTGGATCATCACCACATCTGGCAATCGTGCTTCAATCACCTGTGTTTCATAGCCGCGTTGCGCGTTGATGTGATATTTCGAGTAGTATGGGCTTTCTGGATCATCGCCATAAAAGGATGAGTAAACAAGCTCCTCGATATGCCACCCGGCAATCATCGTATTCGGATAGTTTCTAATCACCTCCACGTGATACTGAAGCTGCATCCGCTGCATCCGTTCCTTCACGTCGTCTGGGAAATCTATATATGCGGCTCTCGATTCTGGACTGAGCGTCGAGTCGGGGATCGTGAAGTGATCATCGACGTGAACAGTCAATTTCCGGTGCCGATAATAGTCAGTTAATAGGTCTACTAATGTCGATTTTCCAGCATATTCGATACCCACAAAAATACATCTCATAAGAAAATACCTCGCTATTGGAATTGGTGTGAATGAATAACGTCCCGCAGTTTATCTGTCTTTATATCTATCATGAAAGTAGAAAAATGTCAAACGTCCATTTCCGTTTGGGTGTGTAAAGTTTTTGTTATTTCTTCAACCCCGTAGGGGTGACATCTCTGTAGAAGTATTGACTTCAACGAAATATTTACACACCTTTCCGTTTCTAATCTCCTTGACAATAGCGCATTTACGGGGTATAATAACTGTAAATTGAGAAACTTTAATGTAAGGAGGTCCACATGGAAAAAATTCAGACCGTCGAAATCCAATATCAAGACTACCTTGAAACCTATACTGCCCACATTCAAAAGAATGGCAGCAAATGGATAGGGTGGATACAGGAAATTCCTGAGTTGAAGCGAGAAAAAGACACGCAAGAGGAGTTGCTGAAAACTCTTAAAACCGAACTTCATGAAACTCTGGCAGATGAATGGGAGGCCTGGTGTGAGCAATTTGAAGAAGACGTGAAAGCCGGTCGATTAGACCGACTTTTCGATGAAGCCCTTGAGGATTTACGGGCAGGTAGGTGCAAAGATTTATAGGACCACTCATAGGTTTTGGACATACTATGAAAATCTGCCGCGATCGGTTCAGCGGCTTGCAGACAAAGGTTTTGAGCTGCTAAAGCAAGATCCAAGGCATCCTGCGCTGCACTTAAAGAAAGTAGGTACGCGTTGGTCCGCGCGAATTAATAAGGACTATCGCGCTTTGGCACGTGAAGAAGATGGAGTCCTCGTCTGGTTTTGGATCGGGAAACACGATGAATACATGCGGCGAATTCAGTGACAGAAAGGTTCCCTAAAATTATCTCATAAATAAAACACCATGTTAACAATCGGCAACTTCAACATTTCAGATTTCCCACTCTTACTCGCGCCAATGGAAGATGTGAGCGATCCGCCTTTTCGCGCCGTCTGCAAAGAAAACGGTGCCGATCTTATGTACACGGAATTCATCTCCTCCGAGGCACTTATTCGTGACGCTGCCCAGAGTGTCGCAAAATTAGACATTTTTGAGGTGGAGAGACCTATCGGTATCCAAATTTTTGGGCACAACATCGATTCTATGCGCGCTTCTGTCGAAATCACTGAAAAGGTCCAACCCGATATCATCGATATTAATTATGGTTGTCCCGTTAAGAAGGTTACCTGTAAAGGGGCAGGGGCAGGCATTCTGCAAGACATCCCCAAAATGGTGAAAATGACTGCTGAGATGGTGAAAACCACGGATCTGCCTGTAACCGTCAAAACACGGCTCGGTTGGGATGATAACACGAAGTACGTCGTTGAAGTCGCAGAACGGCTGCAGGATGTTGGTATCCGCGCGATTGCTATTCACGGCAGAACCCGGCGACAGATGTATAAAGGGGGATGCCGATTGGACACTCATCGGTAGAATCAAAGACAACCCGCGCATGACGATCCCTGTCTTCGGCAACGGTGATGTCGATAGTCCACAGAAAGCCGCACAGATGCGGCAACAATACGGTGTTGATGGTATCATGGTTGGGCGCGCCGCTATCGGTTACCCATGGATTTTCAACGAGATAAAACACTATTTCGCAACCGGTGAATTGCTCCCACCGCCTTCAATAGATGAACGGATTGCTGTTTTTAGAAAGCACCTTGATTTCTCCATTAAATGGAAAGGATTAAAACTCGGTCTCCTTGAAATGCGCCGACACTATAGCAACTATTTTAAGGGCATTCCACATGTTAAGCCTTTTCGCTATCGTCTTGTCACATGCGATAGTTACGACGGTGTTTTAGAGATTGTGGCGGAACTCCGCACCCATGCGCTCATGTCAGTTGTTTCGTAAGAGCGGTTAGCAATCAGTCGTCAGCGGTCAGTAAGCGTCGCGAGTTAAGTGCTCCTAAGAAGTTTCCAAAAAACGCTTGACGCGAAAGCCAAATAATATTACCATATAACAAAACTATATCTCCGCAGTAAAGGACCTGGAATGGACAAAATACACTTTATGAAACTCAGCGGTGCAGGCAATGACTTCGTCATTATCAATAATTTGGCGGGAATCGTTGATAGCACCGATACAGATTTTGTGAAAAAACTCTGCCAACGCCGTATGTCGGTCGGGGCTGACGGTGTTCTCCTCGTCGAAAAGGCGGATGGTGTCGACTTTCGCATGCGCTACTTCAATGCCGATGGCGGTGAGGTGGAAACCTGTGGAAACGGCGCGCGATGTATCTCCAAATTCGCTTATCTGAACGGTATCGCGTCTGAACAGATGCGATTTCTGACGAACGCTGGAATTTATGAATCCGAAATAGTCGGTCAGGACGTTAAAGTACGTATGAGCGATCCTACGGATATCCGGCTCAATGTTCCACTCCAATTGGAAGATGGAATGCACACGGTCGGGTTCGCGAATAGCGGGGTGCCACACGTTGTTTTTTTCGTAGAGGACTTGGAAGAAACGGATGTCTTTGACTTAGGACAGCAGACGCGTTATCACGGCGATTTCAAACCCGCCGGCACAAACGCGAATTTTATCCGCATCCAGTCGCCAGGGTTGATTGATATCCGGACGTATGAACGTGGCGTTGAAGATGAAACGCTTGCTTGTGGCACCGGGGTCAATCGCTTCTGCTATTATTGCGGCGACGTTAGGAAAAGTAGAATCCCCTGTTGCTGTCAAAACGGCGAGTGGGGTTGCATTGAAGATTCATTTCGATGTAGAGAACGGTGAAGCACGAAACGTTTATCTTGAAGGCGATGCTCGCGTTATCTATGTCGGTGAACTCACAACAGACGCATGGAATTATTAAAAGTAGCAGGCCACGCGGCGCAGCTTGCAAGCGCGTATTGCAAGTCCGTTGTGCCGTAGCCATCAAGGAGGGTTCACATGTTTCAAGGCTCTTATGTTGCACTCGTCACACCATTTAAGGACGATGAATCGCTTGACGAAGCGAAACTCAAGGAACTGATCCAATTTCAGCTTGACGGCGGCACACACGGCATCGTCCCGTGTGGCACAACAGGTGAATCCCCCGCGCTGTCTGAGGCTGAACATGATAGGGTGGTAGAACTCACTGTTGAAACTGTAAACGGGCAGGTGCCTGTTATCGCGGGTACCGGGTCCAACTCAACAACGCGCACCTTGCGTGCAACGCAACACGCCAAAGATGCCGGTGTGGATGCTGCCCTGATTGTTACGCCCTATTATAACAAGCCTACCCAAGAAGGTTTGTATGCCCACTATATGAAAATCGCGGACACAGTGGACATCCCGATTGTCATCTACAACGTTCCAGGACGTTGCGGTACAGACATCCTTTCACCCACGATTGCCCGGCTTGCCGAACATCCGAACATCGTCGCGCTCAAGGAAGCGACTGGCGAACTCAAACGCGCCAGTGAGGTCGTCAACCTATGTCCTGATGATTTCGTCGTGCTTTCCGGTGATGATGTGAACACGCTACCGATACTTGCTGTCGGAGGTAAAGGCGTGATTTCGGTTGTCGCGAACATCTCACCTGCGGATGTCGCTGAGATGTGCAACGCTTTCCACGCCGGAAATCTTGAACTTGCCCGCAAACTCCATTATAAAACGTTGCCGCTGGCGGTGGATCTCTTTATCGAGACGAATCCCATTCCTGCGAAAACCGCGCTCCAACTGATGGGGAAACTCAATGGAAAATTGCGGTTGCCTCTCGTACCCATGGTCCCGGCGAACCTTGAATCCTTACGCAGGACACTTTCGGAAAGCGGATTGATTTAGTCCATACCGCATCGGATCAGATCGCTCGGTGGGTGCCTGATTGGGCACCCACCGGTGAACAGCCTTAACAGATATAAATTTTCAAGGCTATTAGGCAACCCGGTGAAAGTGAGGGAGTACACTTCTGATAAAGGTTTTGCCACAATGAGTTATAGCGATTTCACCCTAGAATCAGTCCTGACAGCGTTTCAACTAAAGAAGGTTGAATCCGCAGGCCTCTTTTCTGAAATAGAGCCGATGCCCCCAAGTGCTTATCTCACAACAGGGCTGGCGAAAAAGGTAGCCTTAGCAGCCGCCATTGGGACCGAAAAGGCACGCTCTGAACTCATTGTTGCCGATGTCCTGGTTGAACTCCGGGAAAAGTCCAACTACCGCATCAGTTTCTTTTCGGGAATTGATTTTAGTGTCGATCCTGAAAATGATTTAACGGGGGTTTGTGATTTTTTGGTAAGCTTGTCACCGGGTCAACTCCTTTTAGAAGCCCCTCTTATCATTCTTGTTGAAGCAAAAAAGGACGATCCGAAACTCGGGATCGGACAATGCATCGCCGAAATGCTTGCCGCACAACGCTTTAATGCTGAAAAAGGAAACGATATCCCTTCTATTTACGGTGCTACCACTACAGGGACAGAGTGGCAATTCCTCAAATTGGTGGATAAGAATCTACAGATTGATATGGAAATCTATCCAATTCAGCAGTGCGACAAAATCCTCGGTATCCTCTCTAGCATGGTAAGTCAAGAAGCATAAAGCGCGTCCTATCGCTGATAAGCCGCTGGCAGTAACCTATGCACAGTATCAATCACCAACTGCTCAACCCCAGGGGCAAATCGAGTCGGTGGACCGAAATAGAGCATCGCACCGCCACCTTCATAGCCTCCCTCGGCTAACACTCGCTCCGACGGAATATAGCACGGAAACGCGTTTGCATACCCACCTACCCACATCGATCGGCATCTAACTCCCTTTTCAAACGGAGCGAATAATCGACGACCACCTCACTCGCAAGGAAAACAATGGCGAGTTCCTCCCCGAATCTCCACGCTTGTACCGGATAAGAAAGTTCCGCTTGCACGGGTTGTCCTTTCTGCAAGCGTTCAAGATGTTTTTGAGCGTGATAAGCATTTGACCCGCCTTCCGCGACGCGTGCCTCCCATTCTTCAAGTGTCGGTAATGTATCAAACGGCAGATTAACCCTTTCAAAAGCACCCGTCGGGACTTTAGAGAGCGGTTTCGCATCTCTCTTCAGGAGACGTTGGATCTCCTCCGAGAGTGCTTCTCCATGTGCTTTCGCATACGCAAGACGAGTGCTGAAAACCTCTTCTTGTCCATCTGGCATCGGCATCATCCGTGATTCAGGGTTCGCATCGGCACCACATCCGATGGAGATTAAAGCGGTTACGCCGGGTAGAGCGTCTTCGATGGCATCTTGGGCAAATCCTGCCCAATCTCCGCAGATATGATTATCTGTACCTGCCAACGTCGTGCAATGGCAGGCGTAACTTGCCCACACGGCGCGTAGTGTGCCATCCGTACTTGTGATTTGCATACACGGTAAAGAATGGTCTACCGGTCCGCCTTCCGTACGCCGATTTTTTGCGAAACCGAGTTCACCGATGCTCCACGTCAAACGCGCGGGCTCTCGGTTTGCGAGTGCCTCCAGTGCAACGGCTTCCATCCAGTCTTTAAGTTGGGCGGTGTACCGATCTATCGTCTCCTGTTCTGCGGGGGGTATATCCGAACTAAACAGGAAAGGCGCGGCGTTTGTTAGGCACGGTGCACTGTGTGTATGTGTAAAGCACGCCGCAAAATGGGCACGCGAGATTCCAGTTTTCTCCTTAATTCGGTCGGGACACTTCCTCGGTCAACTCATCCGGTAAGCCACAGTTTTCGACTGTTACTAAGACGACAGGTTCATCTGTATCGCTGCCAATGGCGAGTGCTTTCGCCCATATTCGCTGGATGATACCGTCGGACTCTGTGCGACGACTACCGTAACCGCTAAGTCGAATCGGATAATCTGGCGTAATATCTACTTCAGCAACACCAACCGGAATTGCATTATGTGTCGGAGTCATGTTGTTCAGCATCAGGGGCCCCCTCCTCTGTAGTTAGGAAAAGCATACAGTATGTATCGTCCGGATATTCTTGGAAATCCAGTGAATGGACGCGCCAAAGCGGAACACCCTCCGGGATTTCGTCATACCTGATGTCGTCGCTTGGCAACTTCTCAACGGGTGTCACTTGCAGTGCTAAGTGCGCGATAATAGGTATATCAGCCAGTGCCGTAGCGAGTTCATGTTCATCTACAAGAATATCAAATCTGATTGACGTTTTGAGCTGTTCACTGCTGATTGACAACAACAGTAAATGGTCGGCGAAGTGCCAACTGGTCTCCCGGATTTCGCCTGTAAACTGCCCTTCAAACATGTCATCTATTTCGAGAGGTTCTGGACGTAATCCTTGCTCAGCCATGTGGAAGGCAGTGGAGACTACTTCTGCTATGCGCGATATATGTGCGTCGGACAGCTTGCTGAGATATTTGGGCTGTTTGCGATATTTGGGTGCTTTGCGATATTTGGGCGGTTTGCGATGGCGTTTCCTCTTCATCTATCCTCCATAGCCTTGGCGGTTTGCCAATTGAGTGATTGTTTAGACAACAAACAGATATTGTTTTACGCTACAACCGCAGGGTCAATGCGAAAAGGTGATGTGCCGCGGTAGATACGTATGTTAACGGACGGCTCCAAGTATATTCTGTAGAAAGTGTACCAAGTCCTAAAGCGATCCCGGTAGTGAAATGTGTTGATGTTTCAATATTCCGCATCCCACATCGGAAAGCGATAGAATAACCATTTTTCCATATTTTGTGGAGTTCTGCTCCAACCGCATAATTGACCTTAGACGGCTCCGTGGCGCGAGAGAGGTCCGCTGCCACCGTGATCCACGCCAAAGGTTGATATGCGACACCGATACCGACTCGGAAAGGGAGAGGTTCCACCAAGTCTGCGTGCAGGAGATTTTCAAAGAGGACACCTACCAGCAGTGGTGGGTTCGTCTGCTTTCGGTCAAACCATACCGGACGTTGAAATCCGATGTCCAGTTCTAATCGGTTGACTGTTCTCTCAAGTGTCGGCTGTCGTTCATGGACGATATCCCGGACTCTGTTCCCGAATTGCAGCTCTTCAACGATTGCCTCAATCAGTTCTTCAGGGACATCTACGTCTACTTCGGGTCCGTGGCGTGCTTCCAAATTTAAAGTCGAGATCACCGTTCCCCGGTTTACAACTTGCCTCAACAATCTAAGACGCAGACCCGCCGCTGATTTTCCGAGTTCGCGGCTGAATCCTATTACCCAACTCCTTTCTTGGAGCAAGTTGTAGTCTGTGAGCAGATCCGTTGTGGCGGAAAATTGACGCGAGTTTCGATTATATTCGGCACGGGTACTTTCAAATGTGAAGTTCGCAAAATTTGTAAATCTTGCGGCATATCCGGCACTCGCACCCCATTTACCAAATGCGTGTGAATAGTAGAGTGCCGGCGAAATGTCGATATTGGCTTCGGCAGCAAGTTGTGTAGTTCCGTGTTTCGGTAGTTCTGCCCAGTGGACATTTTCAGCAGCAGCGCCGAACGCGAGGTTGTGGTGTTTTACATGCACAAGCGATGCTGGATTCCCAAATATGCCTGTGTCTTCTGCGGACGTTGCGATACGGGTACCGCCCATCCCAGCGATGCGGAGCATCTCATTGGCCAGACTCAGTGGTGGTATCACAGCGGCTAAGATGCAAAGCACTAAGGTAGTACTGAAGTGGTGCCCCGATGCTCTATTGTGAATCCACACGCATCACCTCAGCGAAAATATCCTCTAACGTATGTTTCACCCCACGAAGTTGGCGAAGCTGGACACCTGTATCATAAGCGAGTTTAAAGAAGAATGTTGTTTCCGTCTGTTCCTGACTTCCGGACGTAACCCGCAGGCGTTTATCGGGGTGCAGTTCAACCTGAAAGTTGTGGTGTTCCAAAGCGGTGATATAAGCCTCGCTGTCACCCACAATCTTCAGATCGAAAGATTGTCCCTTGTTTCCTTTGAGTGCTTGTATCTGTCCTTGGATAGCAACACTACCGTGTGATAGGGCAACAATCTCTTGGCATGCGAACTCCACATCGGGGAGCAGATGCGAGGATAAGATGACGTTGATGTTTTTGTCGGTTGCTATGTCTTTGACGAGTTCGAGCATCTCTTCTCTACCACTTGTATCCATCCCATTTGTGGGTTCGTCAAGAAGTAGCAGCTTCGGGTCATGTGCCAGTGCCTGTGCTAACTTTACACGCTGTTTCATACCTGTGGAGTATTCTTCCACGGTTCGATACCGTTCTTCATCTAAACCGACGTAATAGAGTACCTCGTGTGCGCGTTGCAACGCATCTCGTCTCGGAATTCCACAGAGTTCTCCGGCATAAGAGACGAGTTGGACGGCGTTCATACCCGGTATTAGACATTCATCTTCCGGCATGTACCCAATCTGTTTCCGAATTTCCAATGGATTCGCCTGTACATCCAAACCAAATACAGTCGCTGTGCCTTGATTCGGTTTAAGGAACCCGAGGAGTGTCTTAATCAGTGTGCTTTTCCCCGCTCCGTTCGGTCCGAGTAAACCGACAGCACCGCCTTGTACCTGCAGTGAAAGGTTGTCTAATGCAGTTGTCGTGCCAAATAAAAGTGATATATTCTTTAGTTCAATCAACATTTTTTAAATCTTTTAACTATAGTAACTCGCTCTGGTCTTTCCGTTGTCAAGATCAGCGGTTTCCGACGAGATTTAGTGTTCGTTGTTATGAGTAACGGGACGAAAGATTCTTTTTACACGGGCACCTATCTGCGTTAAGATTTCGTAAGGAATTGTTCCAGCGCGTTGGGCAATTTCGTCAACCATGATTTCCGCGTCCCCCTGCTTCCCTATTAATACGACTTCGTCACCAACGGACACCTTATCTGAAGGTTCCAACTGTACCACGCTCACGTCCATGCAAACCCTTCCGATAATCGGGCGGCGCATTCCATCAATCAACACTTCGCCGATACCGGAGAGTGAACGAGGATAGCCGTCACCGTAGCCTATCTGCACCATTGCCACGCGGGTTTGATACGGTGCTTTGTATGTCAACCCGTAGTTCACACCCTCCCCTTTCGAAATAGTGCTTACCCAACCGATGCGCGCCTTCCATGTAAGCGCAGGTTTTAGTGAAATAGGTTTTTCAGCTGCGGGATAGATGCCGTATAGACTCAAACCGGGACGGACTGCGTCGAAATGGGATTCAGGAACCGCCAGCGTTGCTGCACTGTTCGCCACGTGAACCATTTTCCCGTTGTTGTACGCAAGGACGGATGCCAACCGCTTCAACTGAACAGAAACAAAACTTTTATCAACCTCATCCGCGGTAGCAAGATGTGTAAAAAGCCCTTCAACTTCAACACGCTGCAGGGTCTTCAATCTACTCAGAAACTGCAGTGCTTCCGTCCGACACACACCACTCCGATTCATTCCAGTGTTGACATTGACATGAACCTTTGTAGGTGCGGTCTCTGAGGCGACCTCATTCAATGCCGTCGCGAATTCCCAATCCCCTATTGTTGGCGTCAGGCTGAATTCAACGATTTGTCCTACCTGTGCAGGTAAGCAACTAAAGAGAATAAGAACCGGTTTGCGAATGCCTGCTTGGCGTAACTCGATTCCTTCTTCAACGGTTGCGACCGCAAACATATCAGCGACTGGACGCAGTGTTTCCGCTACAGGCACCGCTCCGTGTCCGTAAGCATCAGCTTTCACGACCGCAATCAACTGTTTACCCGTGTGTCTCTTTATTGCTTCAGCATTATGTTTGATTGCCAGCAGATCGATTTCTGTGTATGTTCGGAAATAAGGCATCTCGTCTTCTAACCTTGCTGTGTCAGCAAAAGAATTATACCACAACCTATACAAATTTGCGAAAAATTTCAAACTTTTGTCAGAGTTATTCAACCGAAAACCGAGCCTGAAACGAAGTGGAAGGGTTTTTGCTTGGGTGTTTCTTCAACTCGATATCAACACCCTTCAAGGTTCAAATCCACGCCACTTACCCGCAAGGAATAATTAAAAATCCTGCTTTTGCGGGGAGGTAGTACCCTCTTGGAACCACAGGAACAGCAGGATAAATACAATGGAGTTCGCCAAGAGCATCGTTGAGATAGCGTTAATCTTCGGAGTAATCCCGAATTTCAGCAGCGAATAGATATGTACAGACAGCGTTGTATAACCAACGCCAGCGGTAAAGAAAGTGATAACAAAGTCATCAATGGAGAGCGTAAATGCGAGCAAAGCACCACCGATAATTCCGGGGGCAATGAGCGGAAGTGTGATCCGCCAAAATGTCTGCCATTCGTTGGCACCGAGGTCACGTGCTGCTTCTTCCAATGTGTTATCGTAGCCTTGTAGGCGCGCCCGCACGACGATAGTAACATAAGCGATGTTGAAAACGGCGTGTGCGATAATTACAGTGATTAAACCGAGTGGAATGCCGACTTGCACGTAAAAGGTCAACAACGCGATCGCCAACACGATGTCTGGAATAATAATCGGGAGATAGAGCGTGCGAACAAGAGCGGTTCGGATACGGAAACGGTGTCGTTCTATAGCGAGTGCAGCCGCCGTACCGATAACGGTAGCGATAAGAGTTGCTACGCCCGCCACCATCAAGCTATTTCGGCAGGCGCGCCACAATGCGACATCCTCAAATAGCCTTGCATACCAACCGAACGTAAAGCCTTCCCAAACAGAAATCTGTTCCCCGCTGTTGAATGAGAACGCCACAACCGCTAAAATCGGTATATATAAAAAGAGGTAAACCAATCCTATGTTGGCTTCAAGTACCCGTTTCATTTTTTTAATTTTGCCCTAACGAGAGCTTTCAGGTTGCCCCTCATTCTGTTGTAAAGCGCGGAAATATAGCACAGTCCCGACCAGAACGATACCCATCAGCATGAATGAGAGTGCAGAGCCGAAGGGCCAATCTCGCGCCGTTTTGAATTGTCTCTCAATGACGTTCCCAATATAACTCACTTTTCCGCCACCGAGGATGTCTGGTGTTAGAAACGCTCCTACCGTCGGGATAAAAACTAACATCGATCCGGCAAGGATACCGGGAAGGCTGAGCGGCACGGTTACGTGCCAAAACGCGCGCCTCGGCGACGCGCCTAAGTCTTGTGCGGCTTCCAACAGCGACAAATCTAATTGTTCCAAAGCGGCATATAGTGGGAGTATCATGAATGGTAGGTATCCATAAACGAGGCCTATTTGGACGGCGAGTGGCGTATTCAGCAGTTCTAATGGACTCCAATTAGGAAGGACTGCTCCCAATAGGCTGTTCAGGATCCCTTCTGTCCGCAAAATCAGTATCCACGCATAGGTACGAATGAGGAAGTTCGTCCAAAACGGGACGACAACGAGTAGTAATAAGACATTCCGATGTTTCGGTCTATAGCGTGCCAGATAGTAAGCGAATGGATAACCGAGTAGCAGACAGATCGCAGTGCAGACCAATGCTGTCGATACTGAACGCCAAAGGACACCGAGGTAGAGTCCATCGAACAGGCGTTGGTAATTTTCGAGTGTGAAATGCCACTGTACCCCGCCGTATGTGCCGCGCTCCAGAAAACTGTAGATAAACACGGACACGAGCGGAAGCAGAAAGAAGCAGACAAGCCAAAAGACAACGGGGAAAAGGAGGATAAGAAGGTGGTAGTTACGACGCATATTCGCTCATAAATTCGCGGATAGTGTTCTGCATGTCCCACGGATCAGTAATTTCAAGAAATTCCCATTCTCCAAACTCACCATAGTTGTTTACAGATGGAATCCACATATTTTTGATGGTGTTTACCTTCTGCACCTTATCTTCTCGTTCTCTGCCAGAGGTTTCGAGAATCAGGTTCACAATATTATCGCCAGAATCCACATCCTGTTTTCGGATACGGGCAATGAAATCCGGAACATATTCCCGTCTTTCCCCATTATGGTTGACATACGGGATTGTAAAACCCAAGTTGTGGTTTTTGACATAAGCGGCAACTTCGTCCATCTGCTCCAATGCCTGTGCCGTTTTCTGCTCCCACGAATCTGTATCGGCTACGACATGTGAGATATGGCACTTATCCGCACGCGTTTCCCACGTTGGCTGCGTCGTCTCAAAATCGACCCCTTCTGTTGATCCGGTGCGCTCCTTGTCTCGGAAAATTGGGAGGAAAGTTTTAGGTTTAGCGTCATTTTCAGAACTGTTGTTTTGGGTTTGTGATTCTCCCCTGAGAATTGCTTGATAAATCCGAAATGCTGCCTTCCGCGCGATCTCTCCAATCTGAAAATATTGCGGATACATGTTGTCTTTATAGGTGACACATTCTTTCATCCAACGCCGCGTGATACGAAGTACTTGAGGGAAAAGCCACCACTTTGTATCATTATCATCATCGCGAAGATGTTTGTTCATCACTTCATTCGCGAGGTAGTACTGGGTTTCTTTTTCCCGGAATTTCGTCAGATAGGGTAATTCAACCTCTTCAGTTTCTCCCGTTATGTCCTCAATTTCTATGCGAGAGGGAATTTCCGCTGTGGAGAGTTGATAATGAGATTCTTCAGTAAAAATTGCATCAAGTTTGTTCGGAGGTAGTTGGCGGCGATATCCAGCGACTATTGGAAATGTAATCTCACAATCTGCTTTCCGTTCAGGAAGGGCTTCCACTTCTGTTACAGGACGCGGACGTATTGCTTTTCCACTACCTGTTGCTGGGATAAATGAGAACGGAACGCCATAGACTTCAGCATATTCCGGCGGAAATGTTGCCAATTCAATCTGTTCGCCATTGACTGAAATAGTTGTCTGTTCAATATCGTGACTGGAGCGACGCAATCCTCTGCCGACGACTTGTTCACAGAGCAGTTGTGTGCTAAACGCGCGCACACCAAGGATATGCGTCACCCGCTTTGCATCCCACCCTTCACTCAGCATTGACACGGAAACGACACACTTTATTTGCTCACCGAGTTTACCTTTTTTGCCGACGGTGTTCATCACTTCGCGCAATAGATCCGCGTCCGTAACTTTCTCTACGTTCATCTTACGCCTGAATTGTTCAATCTGCGTTCGGGCGGCTTTCTTGAAAGTGTCGCTGAGTGCCTCACCAGACTCCAATTGCTTGCTATCAATAAGAATTGTATTCAATTGATCGCTCCATACACCGTTGTCCTCGTTATTAAATATAGGAAGATTTCCTTTGACAACCACACTCCCTCCTTCAGAGGTCTTTTTTTCCCATCCGGCAATCCAGTCATAAACAAGTTTAGAGTCCTTTGTGTTGCTGCAGACGACAATCATAACGGGCGGTGTTAGTCCGTGTGGATCTTTCTGCCACAATCATACGATTTTTCATAATTGCTATAAAGGCTTTGGAGAGCGGTTTCTAATTCTTGGGGAAGCTGGGGTTCAGCACCTGTAGCAAGTCTACGAGTTAGTACCAACTATATCCCAGAGGCGGCGGTAAATCGGATCGCCTCTCATTGTATCATCAGCCACTGGCACGCGCGGCACTTTAGCGATACCACATTCAATCGCGTCGATTAACGCAAAATCGGAGACTACCCATGGGAACAGCACACCCTCATTGAGTTTCTTCCCACCGGGTGTAGTTGTTGAATACCCAGAACCTTTCAGAAAAAACGGCGTAGCAGACAAGTCATAGACCTGTTTTACACCGATCTTTGCTTTCACGGCTTCAAGTCCGTTTATCCATAACCTCGACTCGGTTTCCTCTGATGCAGTTTTCTCATTTTTTTTTGGGCGGTAACAGTGGTGCGCTTCATCGTTCAGTACAATGATATTTTTCTTCTTCCCAAGCCCTCGGCAGACGCGAGTTACCATCTCTTCCGGGGTTTCTCTGAAGTTTTTAGCACCTTCGCCGAGGACTTTTTCGCCTACTTTGCTCAATTCCTCTTTTTTTCGACACTGGAAGGCGTGGTAATTTGTGACAACAATTTTCGCCTGACAGAGAGCATCATAGTCTCCACGCGGAATCAAATTCATTTTCTGGTAGTCGTTTTCCGGATTTTCTGGACGGAGGACTTGCAGTCGGTCTCGAATTGTCACACCGGGAGTGACGATCAGAAACGCGTCAGCGAAAATGGTTCTTTTAGGACTCGCGATTTTGTTCAATGTGTGATACACGATCAACATCGCCATCACAACCGTTTTACCGCTACCTGTCGCCATTTTGAACGCGATTCGGAATAGATCAGGATTTGCCTCCTCGTTCGCTTTCACAAGTTGTCTGTAGAGTGAATCGTTTCGCTGTTTGTTATCGAATTCATTGAGATAGATAGCAGTCTCCACCGCTTCACGTTGACAGAAAAAGAGGCGAGGTTCGTTTTCTGGATTATTCCAGTGCTCAAGGAGCCGTCTCGTCGTCGGAGTTACGCCCGGGTAGCCGCTGTTACGCCACGCCGTCACTTGTGTGCAAACGCTATTGATGAATGCATTTGCCTGCCGGAGATCCTGCTCCGGAAGTTCAAATTGCATCTGTTCCTGCCCTGACCGTTTTTTCGGTTTTGGAAAGGGCATGAAATATTCACTTCTACGTCTACCATCAGCGATCTCCTCCGTGATACCACGTGCATTGAATTTGAAGTGCCGTTGCGGCTCCTCAAATGGACTATTGATAACAGGATTTTCTATGGTAACTTTTGCCATTTAGCTAATTCCGCCTTTAGATTACAGCCTACATCGCTATTTTTACGCAACATTTCAATGTCAAAGGTTTGCGCGCCGATCTGTCAACCTGCAGTTAACATAATTGGCAAGACGTTCCGCTAGGACTTTGGACATCGGCTTGTCGAAAACACCGGTTTTCAATGCTAGAAAGTTTTCAGGTGTAGCGTTGTTTGCCTCGTAATAGTCTTCTTTGAGAATTTTGTCAAGAATCTCAATGTCGTTTTCGTACCATCTTTTTTCATATTGTGGTTTATTTTTGACATAATACCAATATTGGTGGGTTGCTGCAAAACCCAATCCATTGCTGTCATAGTGCATCAGATAACTACTTTTTTTACGGGGTCCAATGCCCAATGCCTTGAATTTTGGCCTATCGTTGTCAGGATGTGGATCCTCTGGATTCTCCGGTTCATCATCAAGAATCTGAAGAATGATGTCATGGTAGCAATCTTCGTGAATAACCCACCGCGCTGTGTCCGGCAACATGATGCCAAAATGTGTACCATACTCTACGTCCGGATTCTCTGGAGGTTGGTCGTGCCATGATTCTAACCATGATGTCTCGCCCTCGTTGTTATAGCAGTACTTCCAGACTAACCTTGACTTGAGTTCCGCTTCTTCTGTGATATACATAAACCCTTTAACTGTATTGTCCCCATAACTGAGGGGCATCTTTGTATCAACATGCTTGTCATAGTCCTGAGGACATTTATAGCCAGGCTCTTCTATCCAGATGAAGCCTAGATTGAAGAACATCGGTATCACCTCCCCTCGCAACCTATGATTTTCGCTGTTATGTCCTTATTTGGCTTTAATCCATTTTGGGATGTCGTCTTTGCTCACGGCGTTCATGCAAATAACGGATGTTCTCCTCACAGATGAATTCGACTATTAAGCCGTTCTCAACAAATACCTCTTTCACGCCATACCATTGGCTATCTACAGATTGCAAGAGGGATGCTTTTTGTTGATACACATCCTCGTACACGACTGCTACAGCAATAAATTTCTTATCGTCCGAGTCGAAGGCACTGAATGCCTCGGGTAACTCCTCAAAATCGGTTCCATCTTCAGATGGCGTAATAGGCACCTGCACACACTCCTTCGAATTTTCATGATTGCGGATAAACCATTCTAAAAAATGCCCACCATTCCGCGTGTCTGTTGGCGAATCTTCGTCTTCAAGGTAGTTTATGTACTCGCGGAGAATTATCCAATCGTCATCAATAACCACTCTCTCAGGCCCCTCAATAATCTTATCTAATCGTTCTTGACATGCTGCCACACACTCCGGCCACGCCTGTTCAGACATACCCTTTGCAGTTAAAATAACATTTGTATCTACGATAACAGCGTTCATTAACCCTCCGCTTTCTTCTGGAGTTTCATCTGCTCACGTGTCATCTTAACAAGATCCCCCCTCACGTTGCCAAAGAAGTTTTTGGGCCAATTTTTGATGTTACCGAGCTCATCAACGTCCAGCGATTTGATAGTAGAAACCCCGTTCTCATTTTCACAAAAATAGAGTGCCGTATCACTCGCAGGAATTTTACCTTCTGCAATCCGCAGTTGCAGGCGAGTCAAGAGGTGCTCGCTGTGGCTCTCTACCAAAATTTGCAGATTACGCTCTGTGATAACCTCTAAAAACAAGTCTGCGAGTTGGGCTTGTGCCATTGGGTGAAGATGGATGCCGGGTTGCTCCAAAATTAGCGTTGACCCTTCTGGTACATAACAACAATGAACCAATAGAGGGAATAAATCACCGACTCCGTGACCCAGGTCGGCTAGTGTGACTTCTGCACTGTTCGGAGTCTTTCGGATGCGAATTTCGTAATTGTTATCCTCTAAAGAGCCTTTCGGGACAAGCTGAAAAGAGTGAGCGAGCTCCATTTTCTGAAGCCAAGTAGATATCCGCTCCTCAATTGAGGAGCTTCCGCCGTTGTGAGCGATTGTGAGTTGCCTGACGCGAGCGGAGAGAAGCGCGTCAACGGCTTTATTCCCCCACAGATCTATCTCCTTCGGGTGTGTCCTTTCCCAATGATAGTGACGTTGCGGATGAACTCGGGTCGGACCGAGGTAGTGGATATGGGAAAATAAAACTTCAAACGCAGATGAGAATTGCCTTAAAAAATTTTGATTCCATGTTATCTCACTCTCTAATTCTTTTTTCGGTGTTGGCATACCATAGCAATTTTTGACATCCCCCTCCACTAATTGAGTGGCATCTTGAAACAGCTTATTTTTATCTGGGGCTCCGTATTTATCCCATACTATTCTCGCACGTACATTGCTACCAACATAGTAGAGACTTTCAACAATGAGCTTTCCCTCTTCTTCGCAAACAACCGTGCGAAAAGTAAAGCGGTCTAACTTTGACCTAGACTGAAACCCATCCTTCATAGAAAAGTCCATTAGATATGGTTCTCTAAGTTTACATCCAAACTCCAATCCAAGCGATGCCTGCGGATTATGAGCATGAATCACTTCACGAAAATTGCCAAGGTTAACAAGAGAATTATCAGAGCCGAAGAAAATAATATTATCTCTTCCAGCAGTTTGCTTGAGTAATAACAACATCTGCAACAAGCTGCTTTTGCCAGAACTGTTTGTCCCGAAAAAGCCCGTTAGTGGTGCAAGTTTCACCTCACGGCTGTCTTTCCACGATTTGAAATTTTGCATCTGTATATGCGTAATCATTTTCCTGCCTCCGTGTTAACCCTATTATACGCAGTTCCCCAAGGAAATTCAAGGCAACCCGAATCACAGAGTAGCGTGAATTTATGGAAAACCCTCTTAAAATCCGCGTCATCTGTGTAATCCGCGATTCAGACCCTCTACACCTACACCTTATACTCCTTCATCACCTCATCTCCATAGTGGTTGATGACCTTCACTGCTATTTTGCCACATTCAGGCTTCGCAAACGGTAGGCTTTCTGTCCGATAAAGTGCCTCCCATGCCTCCGCGTCAATCTCCGAATTCAAAGCGCGTTGCAGCTGCTTATAGGGTTCATCTGCACCTGTGAAATACGCATGCCGCACGAAAAACGCCTCACCAGTGTAGGCAGTATCGATAAACCAACATGCGATGTCGTCTGGGGTATCTGAATGGACTAATCCCTTTTTGGGATCGTAGACATCTACACCCAAGAGTTTCATAGAGATCGTGTCATCTTCATGTTCTACAATATCAACATCCGGTTCTCCGAATACCATGAACAGGTTTCCCTCACCTGTATTTTTCAGTTCACGTACCATTAATTCGTGACTCATCTTAATAGGAAGGATCGTAAGACTGCCGATGTGCATGTCCTCATCAGTGGTATAACCTTCAAAGTTAAAACCCGCAACAATAAGCATGTCAAACTTAGGAGTCCTGCGCACGGTTTCTTTGGCGGCTTCGTTTATCCACTGGCTACCTACTGTATCATACTGCGGACCGATGCTAATAGCGATACTTTGCGTATTACCACTCTCATCAGTATGGATGCCCTCGGCATGGATCCACTCGCCTGGGTATTCCTCTAACCAGTCGAAGGTAATCCGCTGCGTCTCAAGACGATTTTGCACCCCCGCTGTTTTAAGATGCTCAATAATATGTCGATGGTAATCCTGTGAAGTCTTGGAAGAAGTAGCCTTTGGTGCAGCATCTTCAGTATCGGAAGGATCTAAGACGAGGTGTGGCGATAGACTCTCCACTGTAAAGGGACCCGTGACACGAACCCGCTTCCTATCTTCATAAGGCTGATCGTAGAGTATCTCCTTTTTTGCGCGTTTCTCGGTAGAAGCATTCATCTCGCGTTGCCGGTCACGTTTGAGGGAAAGCCATTCGCGATGCAGTTTCTGGACTTCGGGATCCCATGTTGGGACAGTTTCGTTTGGTACTTCCCACTCTTTCCAATTTGTTCTGTTAGGTGTATTGAGAAGTTCGAGCAGTGGATCCAACTTCTTAGCGTATTCAGCATGGATATTGTCAATCGCTGTGTTATTCGCCATATCTGACAGACTGACATGAGGTGCTGTTTTATAGGCAAAACCCTGTTTGATATCATCATCATCGCTGAGACGATAATAGGGATACTTGGCAGACATAAGCCGCGTACGTGCCAACGCAAGCGCGACACGGGACGTATCCACAGTTATCCAACGCCTCGCCCATTGTTCTGCGACATAAGCAGTTGTGCCACTACCACACGTCGGATCGAGGACAAGATCGCCGGGATCTGTCGTCATAAGCACGCACCGTTGAATTACCTTAGGGTTAGTTTCAACAACGTAGGTTTTTCCCGATCGTCCCTGTCCGGTATCTGTCCACATGTTGGTAATTGCACGTCCTGGAAAGTCGCTTGCATAGCGAATATAGTACAAAAGAAGCCCTGTTCCAGTCAGTCTGCTCTGTTTTGTGAGGCGATCTAATCCATCTCGACTTGTTCGCCAACCAGTACCACCTGTTGGTGTGAAAACTTTCCCTTGAAATTCATATGCGTATGTAGCACTACCACCTGTTTGTGATGTAACGCGATAAGTTGCAAATCTCTTACTTTTCTTAGGCAACAGGGCTGGATTTTCTATTTCTTCGCTTGTCATTCCGCGACGCGTTCCATCTTCTAACTCAACGTAAGTATAAGTTCCAAGAAGTGGATCCGGTTTACGTTCATCTCGTTCCAACCATAGTTGATTGTATTTCATCTGTTTCTTGTCTTTCGCATACCATAGGAGGTAATCAAATACTGACGATAGTGATGTTGAAGAGGTCATCCCTCCCCGGGTCCACGTGATTGTAGAGACAATGTTTTCACTCCCGAAGACCTCGTCTAGGAGGCTACGAACCAGATGCACATTCTCATCGCTAATCTGGACGAAGATGCTACCGCTGTCAGCAAGCAGTTCATACGCAACCGTTAGGCGGTCACGGAGGTAAGTGAGATAGGAGTGGATGCCGAGTTCCCACGTATCGCGAAACGCTTTTACCTGTTCCGGTTGTGGTGTAACATCCTCTGCTTTGGTATTGCTGACATCGCGCCTTCGGGTACTGACCTGCCAGTTGCTGCCGAACTTAATCCCATAGGGTGGGTCAAAATAGATCATCTGTACCCCACCTTTGAGATGTTCCTTTTCAGCGAGGGAGCTCATCACCGCGAGCGAATTCCCTAAGATAAAACGGTTGTGCCAGTTTTGTTCGTGTTGGTAGAACTCAATTTTCTGGCTAAAATCAAGGTCGTTGAACCCTTCAAAGAGCATTTCAGTTTGATCAGATTCCCGCTGTTTTTGGGCGCGCAGGTTTTCGATAATCGCTTGTGGTTGGATATGTTCTTGCGTATAGATAGGGACGGTTGGCACTTCAAGGTCGCTATCGTTCTGCTGATCCTTACCTTTTCCAGACGAGTTGCGGGTCTAATGCAGTATCGCGTGGGTAGCGGGTGGGTGCATATTCCTCATCTTCGGCAAAGCCGCTCAATTCTTGTGTCGGGTTGTTTGAAAGTGTATCGGGATGTTCATAATGATCGATAGGTTTTTTGGGCATTGAATCCCCTCCTCTACTGAATGTTACATGCCATGCATTTTAGCACAAGCATCGGGTTATAGCAACAAAGATAAGAAGGTTAGCAAAATTATTCGGTTAAAAAATCCCTTAAAATCCGCGTAATCTGTGAAATCCGTGTAATCCGCGATTCAGACAATTAACACCGCGCGCTTACACCTTTGTATAGAAACGCCGTTCCTTGCCTCCATGGATAAAGCCTTCTTCGCATTGGATTCTAGCGTTTGTGAGGTGCTATCTGTCATCCTGCAAATCTTAAAATCCTATAAATCCTGATTCAGACAACTCTCACTGCGAGGCAAAATATTGTACACACCTATTTTTGTTTGATTGCAAACATAAAATAAGATAAACTACTTTTTGTATCTTGCCTTGATGTACGACATTACCAAAAAGCATCACTTAAAAGGAGACGGACATTGGAAAAGATTCGTGAACTGATTTCTCTGTTGGAATCCGGGGTTGAGGACTACGATGCTCAGTTGAAGGTCATGCAGGCCGAACGGCTGAAATATATTCGACTCTCAATGACAAACGGATTTGGGACAGAAGAAGGCGATTCTAAGGAATCATGGCTGCTGCACCTCAAGCAGCTGGAGGATGCCCTCACGCTCCGCCGGGACAGCATACGACAGGCAATTCAACAAACCGCAGAGGATATTCAGAAAGAGGAAAATGCATGATATTGAGATTCACTGCTCCTGATACGAGAAAACAAGTGAAGTGTGTACTGTTACTAACGTGGCTCTTCGCTGCTTGGGCAGTAAATGCGCAAGAGATGGACAGTCCCCAAATTATTGAAGAGGCGGTCCGGCATCAGAATTTAGGGTTGGCATATCTCGAAGAATCCCAGCCGTCAAAGGCGGTCGAGGCGTTTACAGCACTTATTGAACTGCTCCCCAATGAAGCAATCGGTTATGGGAATCTCGCTGTCGCACATTTACGGTTACAGCAGGCGGATGCCGCTGAGGAATCGGTTAAGCGCGGGATCGCTGTTGCACCGATGGATAGCCGGTTACACTTTATCCTGTCCGAGGTTTATCAACTACAAGGACAGAGCGAATTAGCCGTGGAGGCGATGAAGGAAGCCGTGCGGTTGGCACCCGATGCGTTGGAGTTTCGTTATAAACTGGTCCGCCACTATCTGGCACAACGCAACGATCCAGAGGCACAGCAGGAAGCGGTTCGACATCTGCAGGAACTCCATACACGTTCTCCAGTGAATGTCGTCGTGCTGTTGAAATTGACACACGGACTTTTGACGCAAGAGAAACTTGAAGATGCCGAAAATCTTTGTCAGGAATTGATGCTCCTTTTAGGCGATACTGACGCAGAAAAACTGAAATATCTAACACAAGGAATAGCCGCGTTACAACAGGGCGACCTAAAGATCGCTACGCGAAACATCAGAATTTTTGAGAACGTGCATCGAGCGAGTCCACGCTATCAGCAAGGTATCGGTGAACTTGTTACCGATATCCTTGGACATCCGATAGAGACCTTTAGTCCCAGGATTTAAGGCTCGGGTTGTAGCCAAACAGACCACACCGATTACAGTGGACTTTGTGGATGTTACCGAACAACTTGGGCTTGGAGGTGTGAGCGCACCTTCGGAACCCCCGCGACTGTATCTTTAATCGACTACGATAACGATGGGAATCTGGATTTATATATGACATCGAGCGGGCGACTCCTTCGGAATACAGGTGAGAGGTTTGTGTCTGTCCCACAGTTCCAAGAAACTTTGGAGTCACACACTGTCGCATTTGCGGATCTCGATAAAGATGGGACACAGGATTTCCTACTGCAGACCTTCGACGGGATAAGATACCTACGAATGGATGCAGATGGAAATTGGGAGCATCTTCACTCGTTCAAAATGAACAGACATCAGACGAAACCGGCGCACTTCTTCCCCGTTGATTTTGACCACGACGGCGATCTCGACCTCTTTTCAGGTCGAACCAACACCACGATGTATCGGAATAACGGCGATGATAAAGGCAATGTAACGTTCACCGATGTTAGTAGCAAACCTTTGTAACGACAGATGCGGATGATGGCTTCTTCCGTCCAGCGCACACCTGCTGAAGTAGTGTCCGCTGATTTTGATGACGACGGGCGATATAGACATCTTTGTTACGCATCGCGAAGCTGGGTGCACCCTGTATAACAATACCTCCGCCAAGGGAAACTCCGAGCAATTTCCAATGGGACAGGGATTCCTCAGGACGTGCGTTATATCGCAGCTACTGCTGGTGATTATGACAACGATGGTGACATTGATCTCTTCTTGGCTACAGCAGATTACATCTATCTCTATCGTAATAGAGGAGACGGAAGTTTTGTTGACGCACCAAGTTCAGAGGCGAGTGTCCTTGACTCGCCGCCTGCTCTATTGAAAAATTTGGATTACGATAACGATGGGGCTGTTGATGTCTGGGTTGGTGGAGATAAGGGTATGTTCCTGTTTCGGAACGATGGAACTGGGACTTTTGCTGAACCGTATCCCTTAATAGATTCGGTCACCGGCGGGCGATATGCTTCTCCAGAATGCAACCGCTGGGGCAGTCGGCGATTATGACAACGATGGCGATCTCGATCTCTTTTTCATCAATACTGAAGGACAACTGCGCGCATTGCAAAACGACGGTGGGAATCAGAATAACTGGATACAGGTGCGCTTGGAAGGTATCACCGCTGGGAATAACAAAGTTAATAGAGATGGCATCGGTTCGAAACTGGAAGTGAAGGTCGGGGATCTGTATCAACTACAATATGTAACGGAACAGGTATCGCATTTCGGATTGGGAGCATTTGACGCGGCGGATGTCGTTCGCGTCGTCTGGACAAACGGTGTTCCACAGAACGTTGTTACACCGCAGGCGAGACAGCGAATTTTGGAAAAACAGGTATTGAAAGGCTCCTGTCCGTTTCTATATGTTTACGATGGCGAACACTATCAATTCGTTCACGGATCTGCTCTGGCGTGCGCCATTGGGACTCGTTACAGTCCATGGGGTTCGTCGCACCTGATGAAACGAAGGATTTTGTGAAGATATCGGGAACGCAAATACAACCGAAGTCCGGCAAATATTCCATTCAGATTACGGAGGAATTGTGGGAAACCGCCTATTTTGATCAGGTTAAGCTGATAGCGGTCGATCACCCCGTAGATACTGATATTTTCGTGAATGAACAGTATACACCTCCACCCTTTGCAGAGTTCAAGATCTATGGCGTCGCAGAGAAACGGTTCCCGAAATCTGCTGTCAATCATCACGGTGAAGATGTATCCGATGCTTTAAAGGCATTTGATTACCGCTACGCCGTTGAACATGCTCCCGGCGCCTACCAAGGCGTTGTTGAACCACATGCCATTGTCCTTGACCTCGGCAATGTTCCAAACGATACACCACTGACGCTTTTCCTCAGTGGGTGGATCTTCCCGACGGATACCAGTATCAATGTTGCCCTGTTCCAGAATCCACGAATCAATCCACGCTTTCCTTCGGTTGCTGTAAAAGACAAGACTGGAGAATGGCGGACCGTCATCGATAGGGTTGGACTCCCCGCGGGGAAAAACAAAACGATCACCGTTGACCTGACGGGCAAATTTCTATCAGATGATCGGCGCGTTCGGATTGAGACTGATATGCAGATTTACTGGGATACAACGTTTTTCACTGTCGGCACACAGGCAGTCCCAATGGAAGTGACGACATTGAACCCGGATAGCGCGGATTTACACTACCGCGGCTTTTCTGAGATGTACCGTCCGAACCCGCATGCCCCGCATCTATTTGATTACCAAAAGGTTACAAAGTCTGCACAGTGGCGAGACTTGGCGGGATATTACACCCGTTACGGGGATGTCGCTCCGTTATTGCAGGAGGTCGACGACATGTACGTTATCCTCAATGCAGGGGACGAGATCACAGTGGAATTTGAAGCCTCACGCTTGCCGACATTAAAAGCAGGTTGGGTGCGCGATTTTATCCTCTATAGCGACGGATGGGACAAGGACGGCGACATCAATACGCTCACATCGCAGACGGTTGAACCCTTACCGTTTCACGGGATGTCCAGTTATCCGTATCCAGATACTGAACACTATCCCAACGATGAAGTGCATCGGCGGTATCAGCTTGAATATAACACGCGGCGTGTCGAACACCGATTGCCCCCTGTTAGACACGGGGACAAAAAAATAAAATAACGGACTTCACATCCGGCTCGGCAAGATTCTAATCTCGCTCCTTAATTCGTCGTAAAGGGATGTACAAGCAGAACGTTGTAATGAGCAAAATCCCTGACAGCACTGCATAAGGATAAGCCTCTTTTGCGTAGAGCCAGCCACCGAGGAGGGGTCCCAGGATGCGTCCCAGACTTAAGAAGGCATCCATGATACCGATAGCCGCACCTTGTCCAATCCGGGTCTGTTTGGAAATCCACGACGCATTCGTCGGACGAATCAGCTGATTGCCAACGCCAGCGATAGTGAGATACACGGTGAGTGTTACGAAAGAGTAAGCGTTGAGCAAAAGTGCCATGCCTATCGCACTGAGTAGTAACCCAATGAGGATGATACGTCGTTCCCCCAGACTATTGATTAATCTCCCGAGCAAACCACCCTGTAGTGGCACGGCAATCGCACCTATGAACATGAACATCCATCCCATTTCTCTCTCTCCGTAGTTCCAACGATCCTCAATGAACAGTGGAAATGTCATCTCCAATCCCGCAAAACTGAAGGTTGAGAAAAAGGCGACAAGAAAAAGAGGGGTGAGGGGTGATTTTAAAGTTGCCTGACGGAATATCTCGCGTGGAGAGACCCATTCATGCCGGTCTTCAGTTGTCTCATCAGTAATGCCTTTCTGTAGGGATTCTGGCAGCAGGATAAGCGCGAAGAGGAAGTTTAGAACGGACAAACCACCTGCAACAAAGAACGGCGTATCGTGACGACCCATGACCCCACCGATCGCCGGTCCGAGGATGAAGCCGAGTCCCATCGCAGCACCCCATTAACCCCATACCTTTGCCGCGTTCCTCTGACGTGGTTATATCTGCAACGTAAGCCATTACACTGGGGAGTACAGCTGCTGAAGCGATACCTGCTGCGCCGCGCGCGATGAGAAGCCAAACGTAATCTTTTGCCAGTCCGAAGCCGATTAAGGCAACGGCATTCCCAATCAATCCAAGTAAGATCGCAGGTTTTCTACCGTGCTTGTCCGATAGCCTGCCCCAGATCGGTGCGAACAGCAGCTGCATCCCGGAGTAGATAGACATCAATATCGCTATTTCGGCGGTGGTTGCCCCGGTATCTTTAGCGTAATAAGCGAGGTTCGGAATGATGATGCCAAAACCGAGCATCACGAAAAATAGGGTTAAGAACAGGAGGAGAAGTCTTGATTTTTCCATCTAATTGAACATAAAAATCCGCGATGAAGAATACATACCTTTTTACGCTACAGTTGCGGTTTGGGAGCCGGTCTATAAATATAACAGTGTTTATTATAGCAGGTATGAGGCGAATGTGTCAACTTAATAGCAGATAGTTCGCTTCCTAATTTCGCTGAATCGTTTGATTAAAAAGATGCACATTTTGGAAAATTTGTTATGGAATTTTAAGTGCTTTTTTGATATACTTAAAGACGATTTTATAGTTCATAATACATTTCGCAATTAAACTTAATTAAACATTGGAGGAGAGATGGCAACCGAATTTGTTCATCTACACAATCATAGCGAATATAGCATGCTGGATGGCGCGTGTCGCATTGAGGATATGGTCGATTGGGCACTCGAAAATAGCGCGCCTGCTGTCGCACTTACCGACCACGGCAATATGTTCGGCGCATGGGAATTGTACAGTAAAGCGACAAAGGCGGGAGTCAACCCAATTGTTGGGTGTGAAGTGTATGTTGCCCCCGGCAGCCGATTGACGCGCGGAAAGGAACAGGGCGGTCCCTACCACCTCACGCTGCTTGCAGAGGATGCAACCGGTTACCAGAATCTCCTAAAATTAATATCGCTTGGGTATACAGAGGGTTTTTACAGCAAACCCCGCATTGACATGGAAATCCTGCGCGAATACCACGATGGGATTATCGCGTTGACGGGGTGTATCCAAGGGACAGGTGCCACAGCTCCTCTGCTCCAATCGGCGAGAAGAAGGAATCCAAAACTTCAAAACGATGATGGAGATAATGGGAGAGCGCAACCTCTACGTTGAGGTACAGAATCACTATATAGACAAGGAGCTTGAAGCCTATCCAGTGATGGTTCAGTTGGCGAAAGAGTTCAATCTCCCGCTCGTCGCCACAAACGATTGTCACTACCTCCGCAAATCCGACCACGAGATGCACGATGTGCTTCTTTGTATCCAAATGAAGAAGACCGTCAACGATCAGAAGCGGCTACGGTTTGATAACCATTTCTATTTTAAAAGTGTTGATGAAATGCGTGAGGCACTTAAGGATTACCCGCCGGAAGCCATCAGCAACACACTCGAAATCGCGAATCGGTGCAACCTTAAACTCGAATATGGCGAGAGTATAATGCCGAAATATGAGGTCCCCGAGGGACACACAAATGACAGCTACCTCAAAGAGTTGTGCTATCAAGCCTTACGGGAAAAATATGGCGGTGAAATCTCCGAACCCATTCAGCAAAGGCTGGATTACGAACTGGATATTATCAGTAAGACCCGCTATGCCGGTTATTTTCTCATCGTATGGGATTACGTAAAATACGCGCACAAACAGGGCTATCCGCTCTCTGCACGTGGTTCTGCCGCGAGCAGCCTCGTGCTTTACGCACTTGATGTAATTACTTTCAATCCGATGGATTACGACTGTCTCTTTGAACGGTTTCTAAATCTTGAACGTATCAGCCCTCCCGATATCGATATTGATTTCGCTGATCGTGCTCGTGAGCATGTTATCGATTATCTCGTAAAAAAATACGGTGAAGATTCTGTCGGTAAAGTCGCGACCTTTGCCACATTGGGTGCAAAAGCCGCGATCAAAGATGTCGGGCGAGCACTTGAGGTGCCTCTTGAAGATGTTGAAAAGTTGACTGAACTTATTCCATCCACTCCTGGAATAACACTTGATGAAGTTTTGGAGCAGGTGCCTGACTTTCAATCACTCGCTGAAAGTTCTCAATATCGGGAGTTAATGGGTCTCAGCAAATCGGTTGAAGGTATGAAACGCCATGTCTCTTGCCACGCCTCCGCAATCGTTATCTCAAACGGTCCGTTGACTAACTACGTCCCGCTATTCAAGGATAAACATGACCAAGTTGCGACGCAGTTTGATGGTAAAATCGTTGAGGATGTCGGTATCGTTAAATTCGATTCCCTGGGTCTACGGAGTCTTACCGAGACATACGACTGCCTACAGATGATTAAGGCAAATCACGGTAAAGCGATTAAGTTGGAAGAGATACCTTTTGATGATGAAAAAACCTATCTCTGCTCAGCAAAGGGTTAATCAACGGCTTATTCCAATTGGAAGCCTCTCCAGGTATGTATCGTGTTGTCACGCAACTCAAACCTGATAACTTTGAGCAGTTCTCCGCTATTCCCGCGCTCTATCGCCCAGGTCCATTGGAGAGCGGCATGATGCAACAGTTCATCGATCGAAAGAATAAACTCAAGCCTGTAGAACATATTCACGAGTCGCTTAAGGACGCTCTCAAAAACACCTACGGTGTGTGTGTCTACCAGGAACAGGTGATGCAAATCGCTCGCGATATGGCAGGCTTTACCCTCGGCGAAGCAGACACACTCCGTTCCGCCATGGGAAAGAAGGACCAGGCACTGCTCCAAGCACAGCGTGAGAAATTTATTGAAGGGCGGCGGGAAACGGTATCGCCAAAAAAGAGGCGAAAAGGATATTTGAACTGATCGAACCTTTCGCACGCTACGCCTTCAACAAGTCACACACCGTTGCTTATTCGATGTTAGCGTACCGCATGGCGTATCTGAAAACGCACTATCCACACGAATTCATGGCAGCAATGATGACTGGAGAAGCGGGCGATTCATCGAAGATTACCCGATACCGCGGCGAATGTAAGAAACTCGCTGAATTTCTGGAAGTCGAAATTAACCTACTCTCACCGGATGTTAACAGCAGTAGGCGAGAATTCACGGTGGATGACAACGATATCTGTTTCGGGCTTGTTGCTGTAAAAGGTGTCGGTGATGGCGCTATAGATGCAATCGTGGAAGCACGAGAACAAGGGGGTTCATTCACATCGTTACAGGATTTCTGTGAACGCGTTGATATGAAACAGGTTAATAAACGTGCTGTTGAAAGTTTAATTATGAGCGGCGCGTTTGATTCACTTGAAGGGCACCGCGCCCAACATGCCGTCAGCTTAGAGAATATCATGAAAGCGGCACAAAATGCACAGGCAGAACGTGACCGCGGGACAGATGAATCTCTTTGGAGGTGACGAGGAAGCACCAACGGCAACCCTAACACTTGTCGATGCTCCCGAATATGACCCCTTGGAACGGCTTATGCGGGAAAAGGAACAACTCGGTTTCTATGTTTCTGGACACCCACTTGAGGAATATAGCGACATCATTGAAAACTACACAAGTGCAAGCACCCAAACCCTCGTTGAACACCGTATCGACTCTGAGGTTGATGTAGCGGGATTGATAACGGAGGTTAAAAATATCACCACCAAGAAAGGGGCTCCTATGGCGGTGATTGGACTGGAGGATTTGGAAGGCGCGATAGAGATTGTCATTTTTCCAGAGGCATACAAAACCGCCGGAAACCTCGTTGAAGGCAGGGTTGTTTGGATTCGCGGGAAAGTCAATATCAATCAGAATAGCAGGAATCGGAGGTCTGAGAATGGCGACACCGAAAGGGAAGAGCGTCAGATACAGGCAGATCGGGTGATAGATATTGAATCTGTCAGTGAGCAACAGACATCTGCTCTTGAGGTGACGATTCCGGAATCTGATATTGAAAATGTTGAGAAACTGGAAAGGCTTCAGAAAATTGCCCGTGCGAACAGGGGCGAATTGGACCTGATTCTACGTCTCATGAGCCCTCGTTACGGGGAAGTTATCGCGCGGTGTAATCAAAAGTATAATGTGGCATATGAACCGCAGGTTATTGAACAGGTAGAGGGGTTATTTGGGGAAAATTGTGTCAAGCGGAGCAACCGCACGATACGCGGGAATAAAGCCCGCACCTCACAGATGGATTTTGTGTAATTTCCGTCAGCCGCGCTTTGTACCGCGATTGTTTAATCGTATAGAAGGTTTTTTATCAGGTCTTTGCCCCGCACTCCTCTCCGCTTACGCGTAGGTTCTCGCGTAGGACAAAACCCATAGCCTGCAACAACGGCGCAGGCGGATATGAGGAAAGACGTCAAAGACTCAAATTCACATTGTTCTCCCGCAAGGAAAAATTAAAAATATGCAATACCGAACACTCGGTAAGACAGGACTCAGTGTGTCAGAATCGGATACGGTGGGGGTAGGGTCCGCCCAGAACACGATGAAACATCACTCGTTAATATGCTCCATTACGCTATGGATTCCGGGCTTAACTATCTCGATACCGCCCCCGATTATGGGGGTGGCTACAGCGAAACAATTATCGGTAAGGCGATCGCTGGACGGCGGGAATCGTGTATTGTCGCGACCAAGACGGAAGCCTATGATCCCGATGGTGTCGCCACAGATGTAGAAGGGAGCCTCCGACGACTTGGCACCGATTATATTGATGTCCTGCAATTCCACGGTGGATGGTTCTACGCGGGAGATCTGGAACGGATTCTGGACGGTGGTGGATTGGCAGCGTATCTCAAATTGAGGAGGAAGGGAAGGTTCGATTTATCGGATTTTCCGCAGATGGTCCCTCTGGAGGCACAGAGCAACTGATTGCCACCGGCGAGTTTGACATGATGCAGATCCACTACAACCTGATGTACCAGAGTACGTGTGACGCATTCGGCAGACGCGGGGTCATCCCGGATGCGGTTGCACAGGAGATGGGGATTGTGCTGATGCGCTCTACCACCAGCAATGCGTTCCAGAATCTCATGAAGCACTGCTTTCCCAATGAGATGGCGAATGTTGATGTAGATAGTTTCCTGCTCAACTATTCTATCTCGAACCCGATGGTGAACGTTGCCCTGATGAGCCTGCAAAGCGTTGACGATGTGGATTGGACAAATGCTGTATCGGACAATGTCGATGCAAGATTGGATCTGCAAGCGATTTATGGGAGGTAGTCAATCCCATGGAAAACATGAAAAATATTGCAGAGATGTCGCCAGTTGAATTCCGAAAGTTGTTGGATACCCTTGTCAATGAAGAACTCTTCAAATCACGTGAAAGGCTTGTCGAGTTGCTGGCAACGGATAGTTCGCGTGAAGAACTGGATACGGAATTCATGGAATTTCACGGGGACTACGAAGATTTAGGGTTTTGGCTTGAGACCTATACACAAGATCCGCTAAAGGGATTGGACCCGCACGCCTCGCTCACTAAAAAGTTAAAGCGGCATCGCGACTATATCCTTGCAAATCGGAAGACTACCCGTAAGGAGCGGATCTATAGACGCATGGGGGTTTACTTAGAAAGTGACCCAAAACCAGAGAAGAAAGTTATTGAGTTGCCACCAGACGAATACCGCCAACTGCTTTACAATCTTGTGACGCAAGAACTCTTTGCTGTCCGTGAGGGGCTTGTTGCGTTATTAGCAGGGGATGCCTCATTTGAGGAATTGAATGTTGCATTTCGGGAATTTTTCGTCGCTTATGAACTCTTGGAACTCGCCTTAGAGACTTGACCACTACGATCCGCTGCGAAGGTTGAGAGATCAGTCCCTGCGTTGCCGAGAGAATGTTTAGATCACAGGTTTCGACAGCATCTCGCACGCAGGAGATAAGACTTATTCACTGGAAGAAGTTTTTTAAGAGGACACCTACGGTATTCTCGGCGGTCTCTCATCTACTGATGCCTCTTCCTTTTTCAACACCTCTACGAGCCGATACTCGTAGGGTCCCACATCTGCGATTCTCTCATCCCGTTTATGAAGACTGACTATGAGTGTATAGATATACCCCGGCTCAAAGTTAAATCCGCGTATCCCCTCGTAGAAAAACTCCCATCGCTGACTCTCCTCGTTGAATTCAAGATAACACTCCTGTGGAAAGGCACCCACACAGGTTGTTCTATAGGGACCTATGATGAGAATTTCTATATTGTCCTCACCCAATCCAATCAAGGGTTCCACTATGGCTTCCTGATCACACCCGATGGCAAGCGATAAGAGGATTAATGTGATTGGAGTATCAGTTTTGTTGGGAATGGCATAATTTTTCATCTTATTCTGCTGAGTTTAGTAATAATCACAACAGCCCGGGGAACATCCAGTTTTCCATTTTCGCGAAGTTTCAAATCTTGCTACTCAAGCAACCGAAGGGCATCCTTAATTTTGGCTTTGAGGTCTTCATCGCCAGCTTGTTCCGCGAGTTTCAAAGCAGTTTGCAGATCCTGCTTCGCCTCCCACGTACGGTTCAATAAAGTCTTCACGGCTCCCCGATTGACATAAGCCCTGGTATGATCTGGTTTGAGTTGTATTGCTTTATCGTAGTCGCTTATCGCAGCAAAGTGTTGTCTCAAATCTAACTTCGCATTTCCCCGATTGAAATAGGCATCTGCATAATCTGGTTTGAGTTGTGTTGCCTTATTGTAGTCGCTTATCGCAGCAAAGTGTTGACTGAGTTTTCTCTTCGTAGCTCCCCGATTGTTGTAGGCATCTGCATAATCTGGTTTGAGTTGTATCGCCTTATCATAGTTTTGAATGGCGGTATCGTGCTGACCGAGTTCATGCTTCGTAGTTCCGCGTGTTGTTGTAGGCTTCGGCATAATTGGGTTCAAGTTGTATTGCCTTGTCATAATCACTGATAGCGGCAGAGTATAAACCGAGGTCTACCTTCACAAGTCCTCTATTGATATATGCTTCGGCAAGATCAGATTTGAGTTGTATTGCCTTATCGTAATCGCTTATTGCAGCGACGTGTTGTCCCAAGACTGCCTTCGCAAGTCCTCTATTGATATATGCATTAACAGCATCAGGTTTGAGTTGTATCACCTTATCGTAATCGCTTATCGCAGCAAGATGTTTGCCCAAGAGCCGCTTTTGTATTTCCTCGCGCGAAGTATGTCTCGGCAGATATAGAGTGATTACCTTGAGACAAAGATTTCACGCTCCCAGATAGAGCGAGGAGTGTCTTAACATAGAGGGAAGGAATTGCGAAATTGAGATTCTGGCCACCTTCAAGAATCGCGTAGGAGACACCGACGACTTTACCCATCCTATTTAGCACGGGACCACCGCTGCTTCCGGGAGAAATCGGTGCTGTCATCTGGAGACGTCCTTTCGCATGTCCACCGTGGCGACTGCTAATGATTCCATCTGAGAAAGTACCTTCCAAGCCTTTCGGGTTGCCTGCAACATAAACCGTCTCACCAATTTTGACAGCATCGCTGTTGCCAAGGGGTAGGGGTTTGATATCGGACGCAGAGACTTTTAGGAGCACGAGATCGTTGTACTTGTTGGTTGCAGTGAAGCCTTCAATTTTATAGGTGGTGGACTTGCCGACCAATTTTGCGGTGCCGCTGGCTGCACCTGCAATGACATGTAGTTCGTGGCGATGAGGTTGGGTGTGACAAAGAAACCGCTGCCGAATCCGAGCGGTGAACCGTTGTCTATCCTGCATCTCTAAATAGACGGTGGCAGCTAACGCTTTTTCTGCGACCTCTGGAACAGTCTGGGCAGGTGCAGTGCTTACAGTGCGGAAGAGCAGCACCGCAAGCGTAATCAGCAGTTGTGCCCACATTAATTTGTTTTTATGCTCCATCGGAAACTTCCTTTGCGTATAATGGGAGCGCGTTCGTTGGCATGATAGTGACCATTGGTCAAGTGATCCTCTATGACAAAGCATCAATCGTCACATTACCATCCGTTACGACATCTAATATCAGGCGACTTCCATAAAGCAAAGACATTCCAATCAATGGGCCGCCTTCTGCTTGTAGAACATACACGTTGCGTTCGGCACCGTGCCATAGCACTTTCGCAACATGTTCTCTTTAAAACGACTCTATTTTCGTCACCGAGTATTGTGATCTGCTCCCCAGCTTGTTGGAGTTTGAGACGGTCAATTAACGTACTCGGTAGTGTTAGATAGCCTGTGAATCCTGTGTCAATAACCGCCTCAATTCTCGCCGGTTGATTTAAGCCGACAACTTCCAATTCAATAACAGCTTCTTGGTGTATTGTGATTTTTCCGGTGATCATTGTGTGATCCCGAAATTTTAAAGCCGATTCGATGGGCTGCCGGAAATCCAATTCGCAAACAATAGATGACAGCCTCCGGGTGTTTTTCAAGAAGACGCATTGAGGATGCCACCTCATCAGCATCGATCTCATAGGCACCTGTTTCGATGTCAATAGTCAGAAATTTGCCCTTGTGCTTTGATTCAACTTTTTTACGGAGCTGATGATAATATATCTCTTCGCCGCGGGCTGCAATACTTCCGTGGGGATAATCCGAATAAGGCATCGTGAGCCTCCTTTTTATTTACACTTTCGTCTGATACACTCAACTACTGGCGTACTTTTGTACAGTTTGGCATCCTTGACAGGTATAAATTCGCCCGTTTTTGCGTCACGACCGACTTGAGTAGGGACAACTCTTTCGCGTGCTATTTGAATTCGTTCCCTCTCTTAAATTGCTACACAAGGTGCGGTTGTGAAACCGCACCTACCTTAAGTTGGGAAAGTCAATTAGCAGACAGGAAATTCCGAATTACGTAATCCAGAATGCCACCGTGTTTAGTAGTATTCTCACCTCCACGGGTGAGTCAATTCTGATTAACAACTCCGTCGTCTGTGTCTCACCATTTGCACGGACGATGTTCATTGTCGCCATCTGTCCCGGCTGGAGGTCTTCGGCAAAACCTGTGATACTGATAATCTCGCTTCCGTCAAGGTTGAGCGTTTGGACGTTCTCCCCCGACTTGAATTGCAAGGGTAAGATTCCCATGCCGATGAGGTTACTGCGGTGGATACGCTCGAAGCTCTCCACAACGACAGCTTTGACACCCAAGAGTTTGGGTCCCTTTGCCGCCCAATCCCGAGAACTTCCCATACCGTAGTCCTGTCCGGCGAAAATAACGGTTGGAACTTCGTTTTCGCTGTAGTGGAGTGCCGCTTCGTAGATAGTCGTTTGTGTTTCCTCAGGATACTGAAGCGTATATCCGCCCTCTACATCGGGTGTCATCAAGTTCCGGACACGACGGTTAGCGAACGTACCACGACTCATCACACGGTCGTTACCACGTCTGGATCCGTAGGTATTGAAATCTCGTATTTCAACCCCATGTTCTTGGAGGTATTCCCCCGTAGGACTCGCTGCTGCGATTGCACCCGCTGGGGATATATGGTCAGTAGTGACAGAATCGCCGAAGATGCCGAGAATACGGGCATCCACGACATCCGAGATAGGAGCAGGTTCACGTGCAAACCCTTCAAAGAACGGGGGATGTTGGACATAGGTGCTTCTCTCGTTCCACGGGTAGAGGACTCCTGTCGCGCCTGAAAGTTCTTCCCATTCCGGTGCTTGATTGCCGATCGACTCATATATCTCTCGGAACGTCCGTCGATCGACTGCGGCAGCGATCATTTCGGTGATCTCTTGGCGGGTGGGCCAGATGTCCTTTAGGTAGACAGCCTCCCCTACGTCGTTGTGTCCAAGCGGTTCAGTAGTGAGATCAATGTCTATCCGTCCCGCGACACCAAATGCGACGACGAGTGGTGGGGACATGAGGAAATTGGCTTTTATCTCGGATGCACGCGTGCCTCAAAATTTCTATTGCCACTCAGAACGCTTGCAGTAACGAGGTTTCTTGCGTCAATCGCCTCTTGAACCACGTCGTTGAGCGGTCCGCTGTTGCCGATACAGGTCGTGCAACCATAACCTACGACGTTATAGCCGAGTTCTTCCAAATAGGGCAACAAACCGGTATTCTGTAAATACTCGGTGACGACACGCGAACCGGGGGCTAAACTGGTCTTAACATAATCTGGAACACGTAGTCCTTTTTCCACAGCCTTTTTAGCGAGCAACCCGGCACCAATCATCACAGAAGGATTACTTGTGTTTGTGCAGCTGGTAATTGCCGAGATGACGACTGAGCCATGGGTTATGTCGTTACCATCGTCTACGTCGTCTGTTACGCCGAATCCGTCTTCCGCTACAGGACGTGTGAGAAGTTCAGTAAAAGTCTTTTTAACATCCGACAAGGCGATCCGGTCTTGTGGCCGTTTTGGTCCAGCAACACTCGGTTCAATCTCTGAGAGATCGATTTCGAGGACATCGGAGTACTCAACTTCTCCGAGGCGTGGGATACCGAAGATGCCTTGGGCTTTAAGATAAGCCTCTACCATGTCAACGTGTGTTTCGTCGCGTCCCAGTGAGACGGAGGTATCGCATCGTCTCTGCATCAGGCGGGAAGAATCCGATAGTCGCGCCGTACTCCGGACACATATTAGAGAGTGTCGCCCGATCGGGTAGAGAGAGTGCTTCTACACCTGCACCAAAGAATTCCACAAACTTATCGACCACCGCGGCGGCTCGGAGACGTTGCGTCACAGTCAATACCAAGTCTGTTGCGGTTACACCCTCACGAAGTTCGCCTTTCAAGTGAACGCCGAGGACTTCGGGGGTCAGAATATAAACCGGTTGCCCTAACATCGCGGCTTCCGCTTCTATACCACCGACACCCCACCCGACGATACCTAAGCCGTTAATCATTGTCGTATGCGAGTCGGTGCCGACAACGGTATCTGGATAGGCAAGGGAATCCTCTGTCATGACCACTTTGGCGAGGTATTCCAGATTTCACCTGATGTACAATGCCGATAGAGGGTGGGATGATATTGAATTTTTCAAACGCCTGTTGTCCCCATTTGAGGAACTCATAACGTTCCTTGTTACGTTCAAATTCCCGTTCGGTGTTATATTGAAATGCGTTCTCTGAACCGTAAGCGTCAACTTGGATAGAGTGATCGATGACTAAGTCAACAGGGACGAGTGGCTCTATCATGCCAGCATCACCGCCAAGTTCTGCAACAGCGGAGCGCATAGCAGCAATATCGACAACGAGCGGAACACCTGTGAAATCTTGAGCGACCACGCGTGCCGGTTTGAAGGGAATCTCCAAGGCTTTTGGAGAACGCGCCTCCCAATTTGCCAAATTTACAATGTCATCTTCTGTAATTTGGTGTCCATCGTAATTTCGCAGTAATGATTCGAGTAAAATGCGGAGACTGACGGGCAATGTGGTTGTTGACCCGATGCCGGCTTCTTCTAAGGCAGGAAGCGAATAATAAGTACACGCAAACCCATCGCTTTCAAGGGTTCGGTGTGTATTAAATAAATTGTGAGCAGGGTGGGGCATCTGCTAACTCCTTTGTGTTGTACATTGCTTTTTGTTATTTTACCACAAGTTGGTGCTGTATTTCAATAGCCGTCAGCAATCAGTTTCCGTTGGCAGTCAGCAAGAGGGGGTCACTTCACCAGAAACCTCTTTACTGATGGCCAATGGTTTCCGATGGCTAATGACTAATAAGCTTCATAATTTCATCAAGTTGCTGGCGAGCATGGACGACGATAACGTTTTCAGGATAATCTGTAATGAGCGTGGTGTAAGTAGCAGCAGCGTTGGTGAAATCGGCTTTTTGTCGGTAAATTTCGGCGATATTTACGAGTGCCTTAGGGACAGTAAGGCTTTCCCGCGCAACTACCTGTTGGTATGCGTTGATTGCCTCAGTATCTTTAGCTTCTTCGCGGTAGATATCACCAATAAGGAGCCACACCGCATCAATGATAGTGGCTTGCGGATAGGTTTCAAGGCTTCGTTCACACTGTTGTAATGCCTCCGCAGTCTGTCCGCTTAGATAGAGTTGCACAGCAGTGGCATAATCCGTGATCGGAATTTTGAGGTAATCGGAGTGATTCTGGATAAGGACAATCCGTTCAAGAGCATCGTTTGTGAGTTGGTCGGATTTTGAAATTCGGATAACTTCATTGTATTCTTTGGCGGCTTGCTCGAAATCGGCAGAAAAGAAATAAGAATCGCCAATAAACTTGCGGGCAACGGCACGGAAACGGTTGGGACGGTTGGCGATCGGTTCGAGAACCTCTCTCGCAAGTGTATAGCGTTTCAGTAGAATATGACATTCCGCCAGTCCCAATTGCGCTTCTACCAATTGGGTAGTGACCAAGCGTTGTGTGAGCAGGGATTGGAAAGTTTTCTGGGCGATTTTCGGCGCGTGTATACCGTGCAGTTGCATCTGTCCAAGTAAAAGTCTGTTTTTGATAGAAGCCGCACGCTTGCTAACCAGTTCTTCTAAGAGAACGATGGCATCGTTCCATTGCGCCATTCTTTGGTAGAGTCCTGCAAGTTTGGAACGGGCGTTTCTTATGCGTGTGCTGTCTGTAGAACCTGCTATCAATGCTTTATAGAAATCTATGGCTTGTGGGTTTTCGTTGCGTTCTAACATTCGTGCGTATGTCTCTAACGTCATATCAGTGTGAGTCGGATAGTTTCGATGGAGGTGTGTAAACGTTTCGAGTGCTTGCGACACTTTTCCGGCATGGAAATATAGTTCTCCCAAGGTCATGACGATGTTGGCGTTTTGTGGATTTTGTGCCCGTCGTTTCTCAAGTTGGGCGACGAGTTTATCATGGATTGGTTTGTAGTGATCACCTTCGTAAATTTCAAGCATAGCATTCCAGATCGGTTCACGTTGATTCCCCGTGAGTCCGACCTTTTGCAAAGCATCAGTATAGACCTCGGCGGCTTGTTCAATGTGTCCTTGAATTTTGTACGCTGCTGCCAATTGTGTATAGAGGTAACTGTTTTTTGGACTTAAGCGTATAGCTTGCTGATATGCTGTGATCGCTTCCGGATACATCTTATGGGAGAGATAGATTGCGCCAAGTTGTTTCTGTTGGTCGGCTTGATTTACCTCATCTGCGGTTACTTTTTCCCATTCGGCTACGGCTTGCGCCGTTTTACCTGTTTCGGCATAAAGCGTGCCCAATTTTCTGCGGAGATTCGTATTGTGAGGGTCTCGTTCAATCGCCTTACGGTAGAGTTCGAGTGCCTTCGGATAGGCGTTTTGTTGTTGATAAAGTTCTGCTAATTGCTCCAACAGGGCGATATCCTCCGGGTGAAGTCGCATCCGTTCTCGGATGAGTTTTTCGGCTTCTATGTAGCGTTGATTGGTGATATAAAGCTGGATGAGGCTATTGACGGCACTTACGCGATAGGGTGAACTCGGAAAGTTGTCAAGGAAGTGCTTGTAACTTTCTATTGCTTCCTCGGATTTACCCTCTGTTTGCTGGTATTTTCCAACGAGATAGGCAGCTGTCGCGGCGGAAGTTGTATTAGGGTGTTGCTTGAGAATCTGCTTGCACTCCCTGATTGCTTCTCTGAACTGATAACGCCGCCAGTAAAGGTCCCCTAACCGATGAACAGCCTGTGTGGCATAGGAACCGTTCGGGTTCTCGTCAACAATTTCTTTGAAGACTCGCTGTGCAGCAGGGTCTTCACCTGTTTTGGCGTAACTTTGTCCTAACATCAACCGGATCGAGTCCTTTTGACTTTGCCGAAGGGGTGTATAAGTACCATCACTCCTCGCTATGCCATTTTCAATCAATTCTTCGTACGCTTTAATCGCTTCGGCGTGTCGTCGTTCGTGGTAATGGTCATGTGCGGCTTCTACGGGGTCTGACACCGGATTCACGCTTGGAGTGCTCCGGGGAACTTCGACTTGAGCGAAAGTATATAAACTATCTCCAAGTGTCATAAGAGAGAATAGGAATAGAATAGCAAAAAAGATGATTCGTTGTTGCATTGTAGCGTCCATTTTTACTGGGTGTCATATCTCGATCTGCAAGGTCCTGTGCCTTGCCCATTCTTATCAGGATAGACACGTGTTAACTATCTCCTCAAGTGTTCGCGTTTCCATCTCTAATTTGAGTCTGTCAACTTTTTCGCTGCCGAGTTCTACCGCTAATGCATCGATAGTGTTATTCACTGCATCTACATAAAACGGCGTTGCCGCGCCTATTTCGGCGTAGATTGACGCGACCTTAAGAAAGAGGCACAAACTCTGTTCAAATTCGCCTTCCGCGTGAACTAACTGTCCGAATTGATAGAGCGAGTCTGCGATCTCACGGGGATTTCCGTTCTCTTTGCGGTACGCCAGACTTTCTGTATAGTAGTGCCTTGCTTCCTCGTGTTTACCGTGACGAAGTGCTACCTTGCCAAGGCTATCCAGTAGATACGGAAGCCCGGCGTTGGAAGTGGAGAGGTCACGAGTGAGACGTAGACTTTCTGTATAGTGGTGCCTCGCTTCCTCTCGTAAACCTTGCTGGTTTGCGGTTTTCCCCAGATTATTGAGGGCGTAGGCAATACCCTGTTTGTCTCCAAGTTCACGCGCGAGGCGCAGGCTTTCGGTATAACGCAGTTTCGCCTCTTCAAAACGGCGACGATTATATGCTGTGAGTCCCAGATTGTTTAGCGCGAAAGCGATATGCGATTTGTCGCCTAATACCTTCGCGATCTCTAAGGCTTCGGTAAAGTGTGTATCCGCCTCTTCAAGTTTTTTTTGATACCTTGCGATAATGCCGAGACAATTTAATGCCTTGACGACACCGAGTTGCTGCCCTATTGTTCTGAAGACTTGTAAGGCGTTTTCGCATAATTGTCGAGCAGTTTCACATTCCTGTCGTTCATTATAGAATTTTGCCAGAGCCACTCGAAGCTCTGCTATTGTCAGCTGGAACGACATTTCGTCCGTTTCAGACGTGTCCTCTAATCCTTGATGTTCGCCGAGTCGCTGGTGCAATTCGGTCTCTGCTTGTTTCAGCCATTCCAACCCTTCATTCCATAACCCGTGTATATAGAAAAACTCCGAGAGAGCGACAGCAAGTTGCCCGAACAGGAGCCATTCATTATGCTCCTGCGCAAACCCAAAAACAGCACGAAAGTTATCGAGTTCAATCGCCATTTCTGAGAGTGTATCGCTCTGTTCAGGACCCTCTAACTTCCTATCCTGTTCTTGTGCTAACGTGAGATAATAGTGTGCATGCGCTTCTCTGAATCCAGTGGGGTGTTGCTTCTCCCGAAGATACAATTGTAACGGAACGGGAAGTCGGTAGCGGGTTCGCGTCAGATATTCTTCAGTCATGAGTAACGATTTATCGTGTAAATTAAAGATAAGGTCGATTGTTTCCGTATAGGACAAATCCTGTGCTGCATGAACACAAGCTGAACTACAGATAGTTTCAGCGGCTTCCAAGAAAAATCCACCTGAAAAAAGCGCGAGTTGACAAAGCAGGAGTTGTTCTTCTATCTCTAAAAGTTCGTAGGACCAGTCAATCACCGCATTAAGGGTTTGGTGTCTCGCTGGCACGTCTCGATCACTTGTTGAAAGAAGTGTAGATGGCTTACTTGAGGGTGGGCTGTCAAGTAAGACCTTTAAGCGAGCGAAAATGTGTTGTGGTGTCATCGCACGGACGCGCACTGCGGTAAGTTCAATCGCGAGGGAGAGTCCATCAACCATACGGCAAATCGCGCCAATCGCCTCGGCATTGTCGGTTGTTAATTGGAAATCCGGCGCGACTGCTTCTGCTCGCGCCAAAAAGAGTTGGACGCTTTCATAATGATGGAGGGCATCATAGTCCACGTCTTCAGATGGAATAGATAAGGGAGGCACGATGAATCGCTGTTCACCTGCGATCTTTAATGGTTCCCGCGATGTGGTTAAACAGTGTAGGGTCGGACATCTGAGCAATAACGTCTTGATATCTTGGGAGGCTTCCATCAAGTGTTCAAAATTGTCCAACACCAATAGAAGTGTTTTTCCTAAAAGATATGAAACAACCTGTTCCATGACATCCTGCGTTGATTTCAACGGAAGCCCGATAACCGTCGCGATTTCCGTGAGGACATGCGTAGGTTGTCTCAAATCAGCTAACGCAATAAACCATACACCATCAGGATAAGCGTCATGAAGTTCCGTGGCAACCTGTAGGGCGAGACGCGTTTTGCCGATACCTCCAGGTCCAGTCAGTGTCACCAGTCGTTCCCGCCCATCGGTAAAATATCCCGCAATACGGCGAACTTCGACGTCTCTACCGATAAAACTGTTTATAGGTGCTGGTAGGTTATTGGGTAAATTGTTGACGGTTTTCAGGGGTGGAAACTCGGTTTGTAGTTTAGGAATAGGAACACAGTCTGCAGATTTCTCATCCTGCGATATGTTTTCTTGTGTCTCTTTGCTGAAGACTTCTTGCCACCTTCTTCACCAGTAATTTTTAAAATAGAAGCCAGCGGTGCGAGAAATTGAAAAATCGCTTCAGGATGTTGAATGTTTTTCAGCCGATGTTCGCCGAGTGCGACAAAACTTCCATGTGGAAATTGCGTTTTAACGAGTGCATGCGTCACAGCGGAGAGCAGGATCTGTCCACCGTGTCCCGCATCCGTAATTCGTTTGGCAAGATTCGCAGGCATCCCGTGATATCCGTCATCCAACAGAATCATATCACCCGTGTGAATACCGATACGGACGCGTAACGTCTCGATGTTTTCATGCCACTGATATGCATTGAGTCCTAACTGTATCTCAAGCGCACACATAACGGCGGCACTTGCCGTAGGAAAAACAAAGAAAAAAGCGTCACCTTCATTTTGGATCTCTGTGCCACCCCACGCCGAATTTGCAGCCCGCAAAATCGTGTTGTGGGTATTGATAACCTCCGCCATCACCTCATTGCCGTGCGCCTCCCAAAGTAGTGTTGAACCTTCGATATCAGTAAACATCAAGGTAAGGGTGCCGACTGGCAAATATGGCTGTGAATTGTGTATTGACACAGAATTATCCTTCTTCAATTCCATCGTGTGAGAGTTCCCAAAGAATCCGAGTATTAGAGCATCGCGAGATTTGTGAGCAGTGCCATGCCGTAAATCATACAAGTTTCGTCAATATCAAACTGTGGATGGTGGCACATATTCACGATGCCTTTCTCTTCATTACCTGCCCCTACCATCACGAAACACGCTGGAATTTTTTGTGAATAGTATCCAAAATCCTCGCCCCCTAATATCGGTAGCACTGGGAATATGAGATTGTTCTCCCCAACTAACCCGCGTGCTGTAGAGACGGCTGTGGAGACACAAGGTTCGTGGTTGTAAGTTACCGGATATCCTTCTTGGTAGTCGAATGTATAGGTTGCGTTATGGGCATCTGCTAATCCAGCGAGGAGACGCTCTAATTGTCCTCGGACTCGTGTCTGCACCGCTTTTTGGAGTGTGCGTACCGTGCCACCTATCAGGACTTTCGGGGGAATGACGTTCAGTGCTGCACCCGTAAGTCCGTTTTGCAAGTTCGCATCTCCGCCGTGGAATTGTGTGACGCTGACTACCGCCGAGTCCAGTGGATTCACATTTCTCGCAATGATAGATTGTAGAGCCGTCACAAACTGCGCGCTAATAACAATTGGATCGACAGTGAGATGTGGAAACGCTGCATGTCCACCTGTCCCGGTGAGTGTAATCTGAAAAGTATCCGATTGTGCCAACATCGGACCAGAGCACGTAGCGTATTCTCCCACGGTATAGAGTGGAAAGACGTGTATCCCGTAGATTTCATCTACGTCTTCCAACGCACCGTCTGCGATCATCGCTGGGGCTCCGCCGGGTAATGCCTCTTCGCTCGGTTGAAAAATAAATCTAACGTGTGTTTTGAGGCTGCTTCGGAACTCTGAAAGGATCCGGGCTGTGCCGATAAGCATCGCCGTGTGTGCATCGTGTCCACAGAGGTGTGCTTTTCCATCAATCTTAGATTTGTAGGGAACGTCGGTGAGTTCTTGAATCGGGAGCGCGTCCATATCGGCGCGTAAGGCGATACGTTTTGTTGCTCCCGGCACCTCCAAATCTCCGACAACACCTGTCCTACCGATACCCGTCTTGACAGGGATTTCGAGTGCCTGCAGTGCATCAGCGGCGATACCTGCTGTACGGTGTACATCAAACCCCAATTCAGGATACTGATGAATGTCACGTCGGATGGCAACGATGTCATTGAAATGGCGGTGGCACTGTTCAAAAATCTGGTCTTTCATTTTTTTAATTTACCTTGCGGGTGAATAATATAGGTTTAGACTTGAAGTGCCTTTCTTAGGAGTCGCTTTCCACTTCGTTCCAAACTGGGTTTTTGAAAAGTGTAAGTTAGAACGTTAGTGTCCGGCGCAGGATACCTTGATGTCCTTGTTCGTTTTCAAGTCGATAGATGATAGTATAAATTCCTGGTATTGTCTGAAATATTTCATTATCCAGGGCGGGTCTCATTTCCACCTCTGTCGAACCATCATCTGGGATAATTTTTTTCTCAGTGAATGGACCGTAACACCTTTCTCCTAAAGGATTAAGTACTTTCCATGTCAAGGTAAGTTGCTTAGGACGCGGTGGATTATTGATATAGACGGTAATTTTATCGTCCATCTGCCTGTTTTCAAGATTGAGCGTTCCTAATTTTGAGAACAACTTCACTGTCAAGGTTAGCGGCGGTACATATTCCAGATATCCTCTACCGGGGATGGCACGCCATGTGCCACCTGTTGCAAGCGCGATCTGTCGGATCGGTAAATAATCAATTCCGATTACATCAACACGAACTTGTGCGTTTTGCAGGGTTTCAATAACCTGATCCAAACTGTAAGCAGACTTTCCATCGTAGTCAGCATCGTGAAAAGCACCGTCACTTGCGAGAAGGATGAACCGCTGTGCACCTTTTCGGAATTTGGTCTCCGTTACCGCAGTCATGAGTCCGTCTAAACCGGCTTCTGTGATGTCTCCACCGCCGTCAACACCTATTTTAAAAAGCCAGTTCTTGAAGGTTCCGAGATCGTCAGTGCGTCCATATTTTCTTGTTTCATCTGTGAAAGTCACCAATCCAAAAGTAGCATCACGTCCTTCTCGCTCGAATGCTTCAAATAGAAAATCAACGTATGCACGAATCCCGCGGATGTTATCTGTCATACTTGCCGTTTCATCAAGAACAAAAACAACATCAACTTTTTTCGTCTCGCTTGCTTCTGCAAGTTCCGGGCAATGTCTTTCATCATATAGACGAAGGCACCGCCCACATTGGCACTTCCAGAAGACCCTCCGCCTCCCCAAGAATTGCCCATGCCAGTAGCCCGGAGTGCGTCCCCGCGTTCACTGCCGTAGTGAATTTTGGTGCGCCAACAGTTGGCGAAGTGCCATCTAATAAGGCATCATCGGTATCTAAAGAAACTGGGTTGGTTTCCCCTTGCGGTGCCACGTAGTCTGTTTCGGGCGTGGAGGGCAGTGCCACCGTTGGCTGATCGAGTGATTTCACTGCTAATCGGCTTTCAGGAGCGTAATCAGCTGGCTTCCCTACGACAGGAGTCAATTGTGATAATCCATCTCCGATCTGTCGCGCTTGACTTGCGTTTTCCTGTCTGCGTGTTTCGGGTTTTGAAACCTCTGATACGTCTCGGGTTTCCAATTGCCAAGTTGCGCTCAAACCTGCTTTCGGTTTCGGTGGTGGTTTGGGTTTCTTTTTTTGGACTACGACGGGTGCGGCGGGTTCAACAAAGGTCGGTTGTTCAATCGGGTAGCGGTGGTCGTTCGACGTGGGTTATCGAAACTGCTATCTCGTCATAGAACGGTAGCACAGGAACTTCTTGGGGAGCCACCCACCACATTACTAATAGCAGTGTAACGTGGATGATGAGTGAGTATATGAGATATAGAGGCGTTCTTCTATTTTTCATTACATCAACCTACGGCTGTCTTCATGGATCCATGTGCTTAGAAAACTAATATAGACACGCTTCCAAAATGCTTAGTACCTCGTCAAGTACCCAATCTGGATGCTTTTTCAAGGAACTGCACCTGACGGCTGGCATAATCAATAGATTTAATCTGCTCTACCATGATGTACCCAGTCAGTGAAGAATCACCAGGAATTTTAACATGGAACGGAACATTCTGAAGGTGTTGGTTATTGGACATACCATGGCAAGTTGGGTCCGGGCGTTAAATAAGGTGTTGCTGACTACCAGCGCAGGACGCCTGCCTCTCTGTTCATATCCCGATTGTGGGTCGAAGGTGAGGCGCACGAAATCCCCTGCCCGTGGAATATATTTGGGCATCTACCATTCCTCTTTCCCAACAGGTTTGCCCCAGTCAAGTTCTTCGGGCTGATAGTCCTCTGGCATTTGGGCGAGCAGTGCCTTCAAATCAGCACGTCTACGTGTTCTGGCTGCCATTTCAATGATAATTCGGCCGTTCTGGATTGTTACCTGGACTTCATCACCTACGTTCATCTGGGCTGCCTCTAAAATATTCTTCGTAAAGCAAATCCCTCACTGTTTTCTGATTTTTGAATTTTGATTAACATAGTTTACCTCCTTAACTACAAATGAATTCAACCACATCCCCATCGTAAACGACATCGTTGCGACTGACAGATTGTCCATCGTGCCACTGGGGTCCCCATATTCGCGCGAACCTGAATTCGGCAAAATCTTTGTGTAACTCCATAGCCGCGTCAAGCACGGTTGAGCCTGTAAGGAGAACGATGGGATCATCGCGTTCTGTGGCTTTGCCGGGTGCCTTGGGATAAACGCGCAAGATGTCCAATTCCGTATAGATTGCCTGCGATAAAGTCTCTTTACCTGCACCGGTCTCGGCAGAAATCGGATGAATCTGAAACGTTTCGTCGTAGAATTCTTTAAGAATTTCCAACCGCTCTTCTGCGCCTGTCGCGTCGAGTTGATTGGCGACAACGAGGTGTCCATTTTCCGGGGTGTCGCAGTCTGCCTCTTTAAGAAACGCTACCACCATATCAAGATCATCCAGCAGGTTATCGCTCGCGAGGCTTACAATCGGCAGGACAAGGTCGGCGTTGCGGGTGAGCGTCAGGACTGTTGATGAAATGAAGTCCAGCATAATAGAAGGTGTATCAATGAGTTGGAATTGGATGTTTTCATAGCGTAGCATTCCGACGGCTGGCATAGTCGTCGTATAGGGTGTTGGCGAGACCTCTATTTTGGCATTCGTAAAGTTTGATAGAATTTGTGATTTGCCGCCATTCGGTGGTCCTATGAGGACGATCTGCCCAGCTCCCTGCTTTGGAATGTGTTCGCTGTTGCTTCTTTTACTGGCTCCCTTGCCTTCTTTTTCTGAAGGACCTCTCTTGTGTTTGGCGATACGGTGACGGATATCAGAGAGCACCTTCTCTGAACCTTTATGTTTTGGAGTGATGCGTAACATTTCCTCTAACAGGCTCAGCCGCTCTTCATCTGTTTTGGCGGCTTCATGCTGGTGCTTGAGTTTATAGTAGGTCGGGGGTAGATTTGCTGGCATTTTTGTCCACTTCCATCATCATGTGTACAGGTTCAGCAGATGTCGATTCTGGACGAATAAACGCTCTATTTACAATCACCGTAGAATCTGTTATAATGTGAGACAAGTCTTACAATAGGATACATAATTTTCGTTCTTATGTCAAGGCAATTAAGACGACGCCTACACGCTGCTGTAAAAAAACACATAATTTTCCTCCTTGTTGTATTTATTTCCTTTCCTATTATGGCGGAAGAGGGCAATCAGTCCTTGAGTCGTGGTGATGAGCTGCTCACGTTAGTGCAATCCGATGCTCTTGAAGCACAGGTCATAGGGTTGCAGGAAAACTTTGCATCAGGACCTCACTTGCGAGCCCATCGCACACGCAGCGCGCACCATCGCGAGGCGACGGATGACATTGTGCGTTACATTATGAGTCAGTTTAGCCGTTCTCCACGTTTGAAAGTCAGTGAGCAGGTGTTTGGGGGCATTAGAAACGTAACGGCTGTCCTGCCAGCGCGGCCAACTTCATCCAGCAACCGTATCTTTATCATCTGTGCACATTATGACACGCAGGCTGTGCGTGAACCGAATTGGAATCCATTAACGTCCACTGCACCGGGAGCAAATGATAACGGGACAGGTGTCGCTGCGATGCTGGAAATTGCTTACCTTTTAAGTCGCTATGAATATGAACACGAGATCAAAATTTATCGCCTTCGGGGGTGAGGAACTCGGTTCCCTTGGGAGTCGGCACTATGTTCGGGAGGCTTCTTCTACAAGCGTGAGTGGTGAAACTGACCCTGTTCCTGTTCCCGAAAAGATCGTTGGTGTTTTTAACCTGGACATGTTGGGTTTCAATTGGAAAACCGACCTTGTTGAAATTGTTACCAATAACGATTCTGCGTGGATAAGCCGTGCTCTCATAATTGCGAACACATGGTATAACATCGGTTTGAAGATTCGCCGAACCCAAGATGAATTCGTTGATATTTCCTCTCACAAATCGTTCTGGGATGGCGGTTATGATGCCGTCACTTTAACTGAGAGTTCTACACCGTGGCGGGATTCTCAAAACTACGATGCCAATCCTTTCTATCGGACATCTAACGATACCGTGGATAAAGTTAATTTCGGTTTGGTGAGAAAAGTAACGCAACTTGTGCTCGTTACGGTGGACAGTCTTCTCACGTCTATGTTCGATCCGATGCGAGAGATTCCACAAGTAACATTGGAAGTTCCACCGACCACCAAAGAGGATAAATTGGAAATTAAGGGGACGTTTCGTTCAGGTTTTCCAATTGATGTCATTGTCTATCCGAGTCAGGCGCTGGCGGTTTTGGATCGAGAGACGCAAACCTATACTGCAACAGTGCCATTACACCCGGGGGAGAACACCCTCCGCGTGACGGCGCGATATCCGCTTGGTGCGGTCTCAGTTGCGAAGTCCGTTATTTTAACGCAGGCGTTTGCTTGGGAAGATGTAGTTGTGTTTCCGAACCCAGCACGTTCAGACGATTTGACTGAATTTCGAGTTGCTGCAAATGTGGATATAACAGACATGCGGGTACGTATCTATGATTCGGGTGGTAATCTGATAAAGCGGATTGAAGGGGTCGCTGACAGGCTGGATCAACGTATCTGGCGGACATGGTGGAATCAGCAAACCTCCTACGGGTTGGCGGTATCTCCAGGTGTTTATGTCTGCCGTATCTCGGTTGTTTCAAAGGGAGAGACGTATACTTATCTGGTAAAATTGGCGATTTTTCGGTAGTGAGAATACTTTGACAAATTCTGCGTGATTGTGTTAAAATAGACTACACACAAATGGAGACAAAGGAGAATTGGACGATGGCTGAACAGACGAGGCATGAACTGAACGCCCATCACGGTGGGCCTGAATTCATTGAATGTGCTGAGGTATCAGAGATTCCTGATGAAGGTGTTATAGCTGTCAATGTTGCGGGACAACCCATTGCTTTGGCAAAAAGCGACGGCAAAATTTTCGCAGTGGACAATCGTTGCCCGCACATGGGCTATCCTCTTAACCGTGGGAGTGTCCACGATGGCATCCTAATATGCCATTGGCATCACGCGATGTTCGATCTGGCAAGTGGTTGCACCTTTCACCCGTTTGCGGATGATGTTCAACCCTACCCTATCGAAATCCGGGAGGGTAAGGTCTACGTCGATGTCAGTGCCAATGGTGCAACTGCTATTGAACGCTGGAAGGGACGGCTCCGTGAAGGTCTTGAGCAGAGCATTAATCTTATCCTCGCGAAGTCGGTTATCGCACTCCGAGCACTGGACACTGCGCCTGATGCTATCGTTGAAGTTGGATCACTTTATGGGGCACGCGGCAGACGGGCAGGATGGGGACCCGCTATGACCATTCTCACCTGTATGGCAAACGTTGTTGGGAAACTATCCGATGCCGACAAGGTGCTTGCACTCTATCAAGGCTTACTCCATGTTTCCAATGAAACCTCATCGTCAGCACCGCGAATTGCTTTGGCACAACTCGAAACCGATACCCACTCGTTAGCGCAACTGAAAACATGGTTCCGGTATTTCATTGAAGTTCGCAACGCTGATGGCGCGGAACGGACGATTATGACTGCAATTGCGAACGGCGCGACCGAGGCACAGATCTGCGATATGATGGTAGCAGCGGCAACAGATCATTTTTATCGAGACGGTGGACATACGCTCGATTTTATCAATAAAGCTTTTGAACTCCTTGAGCGAATCGGTTGGGAGAAGGCTGACGAGGTAATACCTACACTCGTTGGGATGCTGGCAAGTTCGTCACGTGCGGAGGGAACAGAATCAGTGGCGAAGTCCGATTGATTTTGTTCCGGTGCTTAGAGAGTCCTTTGATGAACTTGAGGCACTCGTGGCAGCAGGCAAAGACAAGACTTGGACGGGTAGCGACGCGTTAGTTGAAGTCCTACTTGCTGACGCGCCACTTGAAACGATCGCTGCCATCAAGTGTGCTATCCAAGACGGTGCACCGCTAACTGGATTGACCCAGTCCCTCGCTTATGCTGCCGCATGCCGCATCGCGCAATTCCACACGAAGAACGAATTTGGGGATTGGATTGCGGTGCTGCACACCTACACCTACTGCAATGCACTTCATCAGTGCGCGAAGCGCGCGCCTTCAGTGGAGATTATCCGCGGGATTTTTCACGGTGCGGTGGCTATCTACTTTGATCGGTGGTTCAATATGCCAGCGGCGCGTCTACCGCAACACCGTCGGGAAACCGATACACTTCCTACAGACGCTGATACGCTTTTAGAAGAGTTTGTTGAACTCCTTGATACACAAGCACAAGTGGACAAAGCAGGGATGTACATCTATAGATATCTGTCGCTTGGGCATCCTCGCGAAGTATTGTTAGAGAGGCTCGGTCATATCCTTCTCCGCGAAGATGCGGAATTCCACTCTTTCCAGATGCTGGAGGCAGCCTTTCAACAGGCAGAGGAATTGGATGAAGCACGCGCTCAGATGACACTCGTAGCGGGCATCACGCTATCTCGCGGCGCATGCACCGACGGCACGCGCACGCCGACAGACAGCGAACCTGGCACTCCGCTTACACCGCGGCGACGATTTGTCCGCGGACAACCCAGATGAGGCAGTGGATTAGTTGGTTGAAATTACACTGGACACGGACGTCTCTCCTATTTGTGAACCGGAAAAGAGGTCCGTGTGCCTCATGAAATAGGGTGTAATATTAAGGACATTTGACTAAGGAGGCAATTCGATGAGGAAAAGTGTAGATTTTTATATTGTCTTACTATTTATTGTAGTCTTGGTTTCTTCTTGTGCCCAACCGATTAACCAACAGCGCGACCTGGAACTGTTGACTTCTATTGAAAATGCGTTTGTGAATGTCGCATCTCGAAGTAAGCCCGCAATTGTTAGTGTTTTCGTCAGAGGTATGGAAGAGACTCAATCTCAAGATCGCATTGGTTCGGGTTTTATTTTTCGCAAAGAGGGTTACATTCTTACGAACCATCATGTTATTTATGATGCGAGAGATATCACAGTAAAGTTGTTAGATGGTAGTAGGTTTGAGGCAGAACTCGTCGGTACAGATCAAAGCACTGATGTCGCAGTTATTAAGATTGAGCGAGATGAAGCGTTTCCTGTTATCCCTTTGGCTGATTCCTCAAAGGTTCGGGTAGGACAATTTGCAATTGCTATCGGCAATCCGTTTGGACTTGATTACACCGTGACAACAGGTGTTGTGAGCGGCAAGAGTCGTTCGATTTTCCGAGGTTTTAGTCTCGTTCGATACCAAGACTTTATTCAAACAGATGCTTGGATTGATACCGGTAGTAGCGGAGGTCCGTTGCTGAATATCCGTGGTGAGGTTATTGGTATCAACGCATTAATTCGGCGTATTGGTAAAAATGAAAATACACCAGCTCCGGCGATGGCAGGCGCGGGGTTCGCTATTCCGATTAACCTCGTCAAGACCGTTGGAGATCAACTCATTGCCAATGGACGGGTCATTCGTGGTTTCCTCGGTGTAAAGATGCAAGAAGTGAGAGGGGGCATCCGCGTCAGACCTGTCGGTGGGGATACACCGGCATACCTCGGCGGTTTGCGACGCAATGATATTGTTTTTGAATACAATGGTAAAAAAGTGAAAAAAACTGTCGATCTCCAGATGCTCGTTGCCGAATCACAAGTAGGTGAGCGGTCTGTCATCAGGGTTCTAAGGCAGGGACATGAGAGAACATTCAATGTGACTATTGGAGAAATGCCACCCGAATTGACGGGACAATCTATCGAAATAGAGTCTGTAGCTTGGGAAATGCTCGGTTTATCAGTTCGGAAGTTGAGAACAGGCGATTTTGAAAGATATACGTACCTAACCGATGAAGATCGCGGTGTTATTGTTGAACGGGTTAAGGAACAGGCACCTGGATTCAAGGCAAAGATTCCAAACGGAGCACTTATTATCGCGATGAATGACCAGAAAATCACGGATGTACGGACTTTTGAGGCACTTCTTCAGACGAACCAAAATGCCGAGGAATTAATCCTTAACATTAAAAGCAGTCATGGTACAGAGAGGATAACTGTTAACCTCGGAAATTAGGGATAGACTCGAAAATAATGGATCGGATTATGGCACAAACATCACAAAACATCACTCTCAGAGAAATCTTTAGTCCCGGTGGTCTCATTTCTCAGCAACTTGAGGAATACGAGTTTCGCCAAGAACAATTACAGATGGCACACGAGGTAGCTCGCGCTTTTACAGCCTCTGAGCATCTGATTGTCGAAGCCGGGACGGGTGTTGGTAAAAGTTTCGCTTATCTGATTCCTGCGATTTCTCTCGCACTGAAGTCGGAGCAGAAGGTCGTCATTTCGACGAATACTATCAGTCTACAGGAACAACTCGTCACGAAAGATATTCCTTTTCTTCAGCGTGTACTCCCGCGCGATTTCAGTGTAGTTTTAGCAAAGGGACGGCGTAATTACCTCTCGCGAAGAAGACTCAAAAATTTGATGAGTTATGAACGTGGATTGTTTGATACGCATGAAGAAGTGGAGGAAATCGCAGAGATTGAAGAGTGGGTGAACCGAACGGTAGATGGCAGCAGGGCTGACTTACCTTGGCAACCTCAACCGCAGGTTTGGGATAAGGTTGTTTCCGACAGAGATAATTGTCTCGGGCGTAATTGCGAGACCTATGATGTTTGTTTCTATTTCAAAGCCCGAAGAGAGATGTACAACGCCGACTTGCTTATTGTGAACCATCATTTACTCTTTAGCGATCTCGCAATCCGCAAGGATAGTGAGGCGACTATGAGTGTGTTACCTGATTACGATTATCTCATTATTGATGAGGCGCACCACTTAGAAGCGACAGCCACAAACCACGCCAGCATCGACTTTCAGCAATACTCGCGTCAAATGGCTCCTCGATTCTCTGTATAATGAACGGAGTGAAGACGGTTTAGCGAAGCGGTTCGATTCACCACAATTAAAGACGCAGGTCGAGACAACACGTGAGCAGGCAAATATCCTCTTCAGAACGATTATTGAAGCTATGCAAGAAGAGATCGGTAGCGAGGAGAGTAGTCACCCCCTGACACCACGCATCCATAAAAGCAATTTCGTCAGGAATGTGCTGGATGCCCCCCTTGCCGATATTGAAAAAACCTTGAAACGCCTCCATGACGATGCTATGACAGACGATGATGAACAGGAAATTACAGCGAATCAACACTATTGTCGACGCCTCCGTGACGAATTAGATATGATCATTCGGCAGAGCGATCCGGATTATGTTTATTGGGCTGAAATATCGACGCGGGGACGAACGCCGCGCATCCTTCTCAACGCCACACCAGCGAATGTGAGTCAGATGTTGCAAGATCACTTGTTCACAGTAAAAAATAGCGTTGTGATGACGAGTGCTACGCTCTCTACAAATAGCAACTTCGCTTACTTTAAAAAACGGGTAGGTATAAGTGAGTGTCGTGAACTTCTTGCAAATTCTCCGTTTGACTTTAAACGACAAGTCCAGATCCATATCCCGCGTAATATGCCGCATCCGAACAGTAATGGATTTGTGCCGGCGGCGATTGAGAAGATTAAACACTACCTCAAATTGACCCATGGTAAAGCGTTTGTCCTTTTCACAAGCTACAAAATGATGGACGAAGTTTACGATGCTGTCGCACCTGATTTGGAGGAAATAGGGATTGATACTTTCAAACAGGGAGGCGAACTTTCGCGAACAGCGATGCTTCAGGCGTTTCGTGAGGATACCGACTCAGTTCTATTTGGAACCTCCAGTTTCTGGGAAGGCGTTGACGTTCGCGGCGCATCGCTCAGTAATGTTATCATTACGAGGCTTCCCTTTGAAGTACCGACACACCCGGTGATGGAAGCGCGCGTGAAACAGATTAAGGAAGAGGGTGGAAACGAGTTCTTTGAATTCAGTTTACCAGAAGCAATATTGCGCCTAAAGCAGGGATTTGGACGGCTCATCCGTACACAGACCGACAACGGGATTGTCGTGATTCTCGACCCGCGGATTAGAACCGCGAATTACGGGAAACAATTTTTAGAGTCCTTACCAAATTGCGAGATTGTGGAAGACTAAAAAAAGATGCCCGCGGTATATGTCCCACGAGCATCTTGATGTGTGCGAATAGTCTGAAGTGCTATCTCCTTCACTCCAACACTACTGTAATTAATAGCGTTTCGGTGAAGGCTGGGCAACGCGAATTCCTCTATCATGCGTGAACGGGAATTCAAATTCTATCGTCTGATAACGTTGTGCTGCCCCTGGTGGCGGAGCCTTTTCGATCGGTAGTACACCTTGAGTTCGAGTGCATTCAACTTCGTCTGTACGAATGGAAGGAACCCTTCCGCACTCTCACCAGGACGCACTCCTGTCCGACGTGTCCCGACCTGTTTTTCTACGATTTGCATCCGTTTCTCGATTAAAATCCGCCGTGCAATTTCGAGCCCATTTGTGACGTAAAGCCCTGTTGCACGCGCCATGTATAAGAAGCGCTCCTTTAAATCCTCGTAATCCATACCGTTATAGATATTCTCACCTTGGTCGATGATCTTGCATTTTTTGACATTAAAGATGATGTTTTCATTCCGATTATTAGTAATCTTCACATAAAACACATCTGTTTTATCACCTTGGTGGAGTGCTTCGGTCTCGTAAAAAGGTGAAAAAGCATTTCCCCGATTGTACTTCCTGTCAAGGTCTGCCCGCCGCCAATACGCGATAGAAACCGTGATTCCATCCTTAGTCCTGGTTAGGATTGGCTGTCGTGCCTGAACATCAAATAGTTTCGGATGATCAGACATCATGATGACATCAACAACCTTCCTATCTTCACCGCTCCCAATTTCAATCTGAGTTTGGGTATCGACCCAGTCGTTGAGGAATTCACTCCACTGATCCTCGGCATGTGCATATTCGTTGAATGCGAAGATGTAAGTTAACGCTTCTATATTAGCATCACGTGCTTTCCCAATTCGGAAGCCGATAGTACTCATACCGTGTTTGTCCAGCACCGGCTTCGCGAGTGTTGCAGAAGGGACAGCCGGGACAACTACCTCTTCATTTGGGTTTGCAGTCTGTAACGTCAATGCTGCCGCGATATTATGCACGGGTTGAATGGGTGACAAGTTGCCGAGTGCTGTCCCACAACCTGCAACGCTAACGGTCAGCGCAAATAGCAACCCAAGATTGAGTGCTGTGAATTTATTCAACCATTTCATTGATAATATTGCCTCCTTGGTTACCATTCTCCGAATGGCAAATTCGTTTTTCGGTTTCCACTCCGGAGATACTCAAAAGATCCACACGCGAGTGTCTACGGATGGTTTTGAGAAAGCCAGAGTTAGATAAAAGTGGTGCGTCTAAAACTGATTTATGATTTTAAAATAGCATAACTGCAATTTTTAGTCAAGAAATAAGTAAGAAGAATTTGTTGTAATCATTTTACAATGCTCAATTTCCCAATTTCTTGGACAAGCACATCCGCCTGCATTGCAGAAATACGGTAAATATAAATGCCCGGTGCAAGGGATATACCGTTGCGTGTTACACCATGCCACTCAAATTTACCTTGCGTACCTACATTTTCTCGCGTTTCACTATAGACAAGATCCCCCGTAGGGATGAAAATCTCAAGGCGAATGTTATCGGCGACCTGCGAAGCAGACAGCCGATAGGCGAATGTCACTGCTGTATCGCCGGTAAGGAAAGGATTTGGATATACCTTTATCTCATCAAGTGCGAAATCCTCTGCCTGAAGTTGCTCTACACGCAAACGATAAGAATCAACACTGCTGAATCCACCATCTGATTCCACAATCACATAGAATACATCTGTCCTATCGGGTTGATAGATGAGTTTCAGTCCCCTGATGTCAGTTGCATTTTCCCCAGTAGCGATCATCTCACCACTTGCTGTGTGGAGGGACAGCCGGTAATTTTTGCCCGGCGGGATGTCAGCTAACGTCACCAAAATCGTGATGCCACGAGTTGCTTCCAATGTGTAAACATCGCGTGTATCAGATAAGTTGAAAAGGAAGGATTCGTAAGTTTGCGCATAAGTGATAGGGAACGCAGTCGCAAACGTATCGTTTGGTTCGTAAGTATCACCGAACGACACAAGAATAGGAATCGTCCGACCTTCCGGTCCAATATTCGTAATAGAAATACCGGTTACAGTGCCGTCGTTAGCGTTACTATTTGGTACCGTCCCGGGGGTAAAAGCGGTCTGTTCATCATCCGTGGAGTAAGCGGCACCATTAGTTATCCTTCGCACATCTATAAATTCAGCACCATCCTGTTGATAGATGCCGAGATGTTCAGGATCTGCTGGATCCTCAAGCCAAATCTGTTGAGATGCATCAAAAGTGCCGAGCGGATACGGATGAGTCTCGTCAATATGCCAAATCAGTATGCCAGATTCAGGGAGGTAGGTATCAAAAGTCGCACCCGACGTTTTGTTCCGATTTTCTATGAGGAAGAATTCTGTTGGTTCTCCATGAATGGGGGTAGCTGACGAATGAATGTCAATTTTGAAAAGTTTACTGTTTTTGGGTCCGAGTTCAAAACTGGGTACATCAATCTTTTGGTTTTGTGTTATCTGAACGGGTTGAATCCAGCCAAGGCGACCGTTTTGAGGTCTCGCATCAAAATCCCATTTGAGATACCCCATGATATGGCTCGGCTGTAAACCGTTCCCAATTTCTGCTTCCTCCGGACCTTGATAGGGTCCAAATTGGCTCATCAGTCCCCATTTATGGTCGCGTGCATCGGTGAAGTTGAATCCATAAACATCAGGAGCACCGAAGTCGTGGAAAAACTCGTGGAAATAGATTCCCAAGCGCGGGTGCTCAAAATCGGGTTCCTCGGCAACAATGGCAGCGGTATTGACAAGGACTCCATCGTGAATGGCATTAACAGTGGGTATTAGAAGAGACGCAATGTCCTCAAATACACCTGTGGAGGCTTGGTCATTACCTGAATGTATAAGGATGACGTGGTCGACGATTCCATCAGCGTCTCTGTCATATTGCGAAAAGTCTACGGTTGCATCTATGGCTTCGCACGCTTCACGGACCAATTCTCGGTAGCGTTCAAGGATTCTGTCGCCTTCACCGTAGTAGGTCATCGGTTTTTTGGCACGAATCCATGTATTGCCTTTTGGGATAACTCCGCCCATCGGACCGGGCTGGATATCCATCTGTCCATAAGAATTTTCACGATAATACGTTTTGAGGGAAACGCCTTCCGTTGCGAAAAGGTATCTATCGAACGCTGCGCCCTCTCTACGCCCAGGCATATCAGCAAAATCTATTTTCAAAGCGAGGACATATTCTATGCCATCCGACTGCAAGACCCCCTGTTCTCTGGCGAAGCAGCATCCTTCAAGAGCCTCGAGAAATTCTACTCTGCTTTGAGGTGCTTTAGGCACTAATTCGCCACTTGCTGAATCTTCATTAAAATAGAGATATGGATTTGGTGGTGCAGCGATGCTTAGCGGAGAACAGAGGACCAGAGTGATGATACCAATAGTCAATCTCTCCAGGGTTTTTATTCGCCTGGACGAAGAGAGGTGACAAAGAACTAAAACAGGCTTAATCAAACTCCCCTCCGCATTTCCTGCATAAAATGTAGAACTGGATATCATCGGATTGGGCATGTTGTATCATGAGGTCAACGGCTTGTCGCGGCAGATCGGTTCCACATTTCGGGCATTTATAGAGCGAACCTTCTGTTTCTGGGAATTGCGTGATGTCTCCCCATATATCCTGAAGCCAGTATTTAAATTCCCAAGGTATTTCAGTGTTAACAGCAGTTGCGATCTGAACAGCATGGCGGATTAGCTTTTGGCATTCGTGAATGGAGATGGGTTCGTATGGGTGCGGTGCGTGCTTAATTGGGAGGGGTTTCCCTTCAGTCTCAGTTTGCGTGTTGAAACCGCGGGCACGTGTAAGCAAAATCTGGTCTAAACGTGAACCTGCTTCTCTGCCTTTTGACCAGAGGCGGTAGTAACCCGCCCGCTTAATATGGAAAAAAGCTGGCTTGATTCCTTGTTTGGTATTTACAACACTGTCCGGACCGGTATTCCATAACCAGCGGTGCCACTTAGAAGTATCATCCGGATCGGGGCAAATTCGAATAGCACCTGGCCCCCCGTCCCTATCCCACGGTTTTGCGAGTGCATCATCCATACCGATCCAATATGAGTCTTTACTCCATTCAAAGAAGGCGCGAGCCCAGAGGTACCACTTCCCTGTTTTAGGGATATAAATTTCGTGTATTGCCCGCGCACCTTTCAAACTGTCGATAGCTTTTCCGCCGGAGGCTTCCTCATGCTCAACCATTTTCACACCCTTATCGAGATGGATTGCGGCATTTGCTTCGATAACGAGTGTGTCCTTTGGCAAGCGAATGAGCTCTTGGAGTTCGTCATCGCCCGGTTCTGTGGATTCCATGAGATCATAGTTCTTCGCAATCCTTTGTGATACCTTCTCAAACTGTTTTTCAGAAAGTTTTGCGTCAAAAAAGCAGTCTCGGATGCCTTTCTTCCAGAGATCCAGGAGTACAAACATCGCCTTCAGGTTGCCATCTGGGCGCTTCCGGGTACCAACCACGATTAACATACCGGTATCCTTAGAACGACTGACTAAGCACCGATGTAATGGAAAATCAGGTGCTTTAAGGGCTCTGCTGGAAACAATGAGTGGTGAGTAATATTGGCATTTTTCATCACATCCGGGGATCTTGGCACGTTTGGCTCTACAGCATTCCGGACAAATTAACGTGCCGTTGAGTGCTGGACAGATCCGTTTGCCATTGTCTGAGCGACACGTTCGACACCGCTGGCGTTTGGGCTTTCTTTTTGAGGTTTGATATTGCTGATGTCGCATGTTTTTCCAAAAAGGGCCCTGAAGGCAGGGGCTCCAATCCGAAGATTAGATGAAAATATTCCTTAATCAGGTTGTAAGGTATCCACCTACAACGAAGGAGATTAACTCGGACGATTGACGAGGTCAGCCAGATATTCAGCAATTTTGTCTGTAATTTGTTGGGCATCTACATCCGCAAAGTTAAACAGTTCCTTAAGCATAGGAGAGATTGCACCCGTATCAAGCAATGCATTCGCGAGTCTGCCCATATTGCTTCGGTTGAGGCCACCTTGTCCATCATTATTCCCCATATCCAGGATCTTGATGCTGTCGATTTTCTCAACAGGTTTCATGAGCTGCTCAACAATCTCAGGGGCTTCGTTAATGAGCTCTAAGATTGCCTCTTGCACGAGGACGCGTTGTTCAGCAACATTTCGAGCTTCATACTCTGCCATCTCACCTTGTGCTTTCGCACGCGCCTCGGCAAGGATAGCATCGGCAAGACGTTCGATCGGTTGTGCTTGTGATTCAGCACCAATGATTGCCACCTCACGCTGCCATTCGGCTTCTTTCACCTGTTCTGTTGCCATCACACTCACTTCCGCGCCCATACGTTCAGCTTCCGCAACTAACTGCTCTTTCTCTGCAAGTGCCGTTACCTGCTGTTTATTCGCTATATCAATCTTCCGATCCTCGTCGGTTAAGGCAACCTGTAATTCCTGATTAATACGGGTTTGCTCCACCATCAAGGTTTTAGCAATCTCGGCGAGTGAAACCTGTCGTACTTGGTCGATTTGTGCGGTTTCGATGACGAGGTGCTTCTCGATTTCGCGCTGTTGGACCTGTTGTTCTTGACTGAAGCGTTCCGTTTGCACCGCCAACTCACGTTGGATGTCTCGTAAAGACACGCCTTCTTCTTGGGCAATACGGGCTCTTTCCACAACGAGTTGTTTTTCAATCGTTCGTGTTTCTATCTGTTGCTGTTGTCCAATTCGTGTTATCTCTACTGCCAAGGTTTTGGCAACTTCTGCGAGTTCGACTTGGCGCATCTGGTCAATTTGCGCGGTTTCAACGACGAGGTTCTTCTCGATTTCACGCTGTTGGACCTGTTGTTCTTGACTGAAGCGTTCCGTTTGCACCGCCAACTCACGTTGGATGTCTCGTAAAGACACGCCTTCTTCTTGGGCAATACGGGCTCTTTCCACAACGAGTTGTTTTTCAATCGTTCGTGTCTCTACCTGTTGCTGTTGTCCAATTCGTGTTATCTCTACTGCCAAGGTTTTGGCAACTTCTGCGAGTTCGACTTGGCGCATCTGGTCAATCTGTGCGGTTTCGACGACGAGGTTCTTCTCGATTTCACGCTGTTGGACCTGTTGTTCTTGACTGAAGCGTTCCGTTTGCACCGCCAACTCACGTTGGATGCCTCGTAAAGACACGCCTTCTTCTTGGGCAATACGAGCTTTCTCTACTATGAGTTGTTTTTCAATATCGCGGATCTCAACCTGTTGATCTCTCGCAATTTGTGTTATCTCTACTGCTAATGTTTTAGCAATCTCAGCGAGTTCGACTTGGCGCATCTGGTCAATCTGTGCGGTTTCAACAACGAGATTCTTCTCAATCTCACGCTGTTGAACCTGTTGCTCTTGACTGAAGCGTGATGTGTCCACCGTCAAGTCACGCTCAATATCCCGTAGCATAACCCCTTCTTCTTGGGCAATGCGGGCTTTCTCTACCGTCAACACTTTATCTATTTCGCGAACAGCAATTACCTGTTCCTGTGCAATTCTCTGCATTTGGACGACGAGATGTTGCTCAATTTCGGCGAGCTGCACAACTTTGGATTGCTCAATCTGTTGTGTTTCGACAATGAGGTTTTTCTCTATTTCGCGTTCGGCGACGATCTGTTCCTGTTGGACCCGAGCGACTTGGATGTCACGGTTCATCTCAATTTCGCGTTCTTGGATGACCTGTTCTTGTCTGATACGTGCGCGCTCAACCTCCTGCTTCATTTCGTATTCACGTTCTTGCACACCCTGTTCCATCTCAAATTGGAATTTAAGGGTCTCTGCTTCCCGTTCAGCCGCATAGATAGAAATATTTTTCTGCTGGTCAGATTCTGCCCATGCCTGTTGTTGTTCAGCTTCAAGTTTCTGTATGCGGGCATCGACCTCGATTTGAACAATAGCGACCTCTTTTTCCTGTACTATCCGTTCTTTTTCTCGTTCTTGATCGGCGGTGATTTCGATGATTTCACGGATACCGACTGCGTCGAATCGGTTTTCGGCATCGAGCGTTTCAACGGGGGCCTGATCTACCCGAATAATCGATACGGTTTCAAGGGTTAATCCGTTTTGGGTTCCGAGATCCTCACCGCATACGGATTGCACTTTGTCAGCGAACTCTTGGCGTTTCTGGAGGAGATCCTGAATATCACTTTCGGCTGCCACACTTCGCAATGCACCCTCGAGTTTTGGTTCAATTAATTCGCGCACAGTTTCTGGGGTCATAGATTTATCGCCGAGTGCTTGGGCAGCGCGTAGAATATCAGTCTCTTCAGGTTCGACTTTAAGGTAGAAAACAACTTCGACATCACCGCGGTTAAAGTCGTGCGTAATCAAAGCCTCGGGACCTTCTCGTACAACCTCAATACGCATGGTATTCAGAGAGATCTCTTTGATTTCATGGATGATGGTGTTAACCCAGAGACCACCGGTGATACGGATTTTCTCTCTTGCACCACCTGTTCGCACGAGTGCGATATCGGCTTTCGGTATACGATAGCGAATGACTGTAGTGGCAAAGGTAGCCAGACTCGCCAATAGTACGAAGAGAAGCACTGTCAACCACCGTATGACTTGGTTCTGTCCAAAACCGTCGAGGTTTTGATATGCAAACCAGCCAACAGTGACTGCTACAGCTATTAAGAAAACGATAACAGCAATGAAACGCATTCAATTCTCCTATAGAATGATGGCACGGAGGCGCGGGTACGTGCACATTTTCAAAACACGCCTAAAAGTTTTATCGGAAAATGGTCTCGTTACGGCGGTGCGTCCGGTATCGCCCCTTGAGCGGTTGGCGTGGGGAAGTCTGCCACGCGAGATTCACCAAGTAACAGAGTGCATTCTCAATGAGAGGTTTCGCTATAGTGGTGCGATATGCATCACGGGTATCAACTGCAAAAGCGACGTAATAACCGTCACCCCATTGCAACTGCACACCGATCGGATCCCCGTTATCCTCTCTAACAGCCAACCTTCGGTAACTTGCGTCGTTTGTCACCCAATGATCGTCAGTTATGAGAGTATCTACATTCACTTTATGGGGCCAGGTAAACATACCGGTTTTCTGACCATCATCGGTAATCCGTACGTTTCCATCGTTGGAATTAATCACGCGGATCGGGTGCCGATTAACCGGCAGCCAGTCGCCACGCCACGCAGGCTCAGTCGTATGGACACCATCGGGAGGCGTGATGTTATTGTCCATCGCAGAAGCCCAGACAATCCCTCCCTTACGAACAAACTCCTGAATCGCTTGATCGGCATCTTCAACGAAATACTCACCGTCGTGTCCGGTTGCGTTCCAAGTAAACCAGATGATGTCATACTCTGAAAGCGTCATACTTGAGAGTTTGATCGCATTGTTGGGGTCCCCGCGATTATCGGGATTGTCATTAATGTGCACGGTCGTAAATTGGAATTTTAACCCTTCAACAGAGGTGAGAGACTCCAATACTGCCGGCTCACCACTCAAACTATCGCCAACAACAATCAGCACGCGAAATACCCCTAACGGCACAATTTTTACGGAAGAAATAATATCTGAAAATGATTGCGAATGTGGAAGTGATCTGAGGTTCCGAAGTGCTAACTGAAACTCTTGTGAACTTAGGTTTAGGTTTAACCGTCGCCCTTCAAAGTTAACGTGCTCGTAGAAAATAACATGACATCCACTGAACGGAAAGCTCGGACCGCGCTGGATGCGAATTGACGAAACAGTATCATTCATGCCAACGTCGAACATCGAACTGACATCGCGCATGACAACGCTTCGTTGTCCATTATAATCTACGTCACGAAACATTTCAATGATGACCGGGACCGCCCCATACTCCGGCGGTGTTGGATGTGCTGATGGACTGAAACTGATAGCCGTAATTGCGTCCCCGAAGTTGTAAGGGATGTCATGAATATTTGGATAGAATCCTGGAGCAAGCACCAGCCGGCGTCCCTTGTAGTTCTCATGCTCGTGGAAGACGGCTTTGTAGTTGGGTGACGCGTTGAACCCTGGTCCCTTGTAGATTTTAATCGAAGAGATAATATCTTGTGCCCCAATCTCTCCGGTGTTCGGGATAGAACCAATCAGCGTGACCTTGCGTCCATGAAAGTTCACATGTTCAAAGACTTCAACGACGAGCCTCGGCATGTTGGTCATAGCGCGCTCCTTGTTTTCATGCGTAACTTACAAACGAAATCGCAAGCTTAATTAAAATATCATTAGCAGAAGCAGTTTGTCAAGGGAAAACATCATGAACTTTCTGCTGGTTATTTCAATGCCCAATTGAGAACTTCTCTGTCTTGTTCAATAGGTTGCCTGAATACCTATGCCATTCTTCTCCATATTATAACGAAAATTCTGCTGGATGTCAAGATGTGTTAATATTCTTGCCGAATGCATTCTATAGAAAAATTAACGTTTAACAAGTCCTCCCATTTTTCTTGATTCTCTGAAAAGAATATGATACAGTACAAACAAGAGCTTGGAGAGAACTCTTTGAGAATGTGAGATGGAGGAAATGTGATGTCTTACAAAAGAGGACTTCTGATTTTTTCGATCACAATTATCAGCATAGCGTTAGTCTATTTCCTAATCCTAATGGAGCAATCGGCGACGAAAGAGACGGTAGCATCACGTCCAGTCGCGCTTCCGTATAATTGGATTGGGAATATAACGCAAACACAAATAGCGGAACCCTCCGGGATCACCTACCATCCGACTCGGCGCAGTCTATTTCTTGCTGATGATTCTGGGAGTGTCCATGAGGTAAGCCTGGAGGGCAGGCTTATTCAGTCAAAAGGATTGAACGAGCGCGACATTGAAGGGATTACTGTGGATCCGAGTACGGGATTGCTGTACGCTGCTGTAGAAGGCGACGAAGTGATCTTGGAACTGGAACCAGAACATCTCGCTATTCAAAGAGAATTCAGAATCGGCAGAGATTTTAAAGGTGAACAACTTTTGAGGAAAGGCGGCATGGGAATTGAAGCGATCGCTTTCGTTCCAGATGCTTCACACCCGGAGGGTGGTACTTTTTGGGTCGGCAACCAATCCTTCAGTCTCAAAGCGAAAGATGAGCCTTCGGTCGTATGCGAAGTCGTTGTGCCTCTCCGTTCCACAACAGCGAAACAGGCAGACGGCGCGATCATCCACGCTTACAAAATGAACTTTATTGACATTTCAGGGTTGGCTTACGATGCTCAAGGCGATTTTCTGGTATTAATCAGCGATACAACAAACCTCTTGGTGGAACTCAAACGGGAAGGCACAATTCTAAGGCAATACCTCTTGCCCGGTGACGAACAGGAAGGGATTGTGTTAGACGGACTCGGCTATATATACGTTGCGCAAGAGAACGGGGAAATTATCAAATTAGCGGATCGTCGGCTCCGTTGAATGAAAAGACCTCGGTTTCTTGGTATTTCGACTTCACTTTTCTAATCGCTACCGTTTTTCCCCTCATCACCTTCAAGGCGCAACACAGCGATTCCAGGGACCAAATCTAATACCAGATTGATGGATGCGTACTGTTCTGCTGTATAACCACAATCGTCTCGCCACAGAATTTGTACGTTTCCTTCATCATAGAGAATCCCATAGGCGAGTCTCTTACCATCAGCATTTTCTAAGTGGAAATATCTACGGCGTTTTGCATCCATGATGTACGTGAATATACCTAAAGTGGTGAGGTCTGGAAACCTCACCGTGACAGAAACAACACGAAGACGCTATTCAAACGAGACAAAGTCAGCATCTACACGATGTGGAATAATTCCAGCTGCGTTACCACGGTGGAGCAATTCTCGCACCCCTGCTCTACCCTTTTCCCCGTAATCAAGCGTATAGTCATTGACATACATCCCTACAAACTTATCCGCGAGCGAGGTTTCCATGTCGCGTGCGTAAGTCATTGCGTACGCTAACCCGCTTTCTCGATGTTCAAGTGAGTACTCGATGCTCTGTTTGAGTAATGCTGTTATCTTGCGAATTTTCTCAGTGCCGAGGTTGCGACGAATTACATTAGCACCGAGAGGTAGCGGTAGTCCTGTTTCCTCATACCACCACTCACCCAAATCGATGACTTTGTGAAGACCTTCGCGTGCGTAAGTTAATTGTCCTTCATGGATAATGAGTCCGGCATCTACTTCATCTTGTTGGACGGCATCTAATATTTTATCAAAGGGACGGGGCTCTGCCTCAAAATTTGGCTCGAAGAGGCTAAGTGTGAGATAGGCGGTCGTCATTTTGCCGGGAATAGCGATGCGTTTACCCGCGAGTGTGTCCATCGGTGCCTTGGAAACAACAAGGGGACCGTACTGATCGCCGATACTCGCGCCGCAAGGCATGAACATATAATCCTTCGCGACGTAAGCGTAGGCGTGAACAGAGATTGCCGTAACTTCAAGTTCAGCTGCAAGCGCGCGTTGATTGAGGGTTTCAATATCTTCAACGACATGAACAATCTTATAAGGATCCGTTGGAATTAACCCTTTGGCGAGAGCGTAGAACATGAAAGCATCGTCGGAATCTGGGCTGTGCCCAATCCGAATTTTTTCTGTTTGTGACATAGTATTCCTTTTTGATATCTGATTGTAGTTTTCTTCAGATAGTGGTATAATCAGATTAGTCGGACTTATCTTCAATTTTTGAGCTGAGAGGCAGGCTTACGAACTACACGAACATGCAAGGACGCGGAATTCTGTTAGCAATAAATGAGTTTGAAAGCAATACCTAAATACCTTTATCTCACAGCAACACCACATGGACTCGCAGAGTTAGTAAGTGCGGAATGCGTTGCTCTGACAGGAGCTGCGCCAAATACGGATGGTATAGCGATTTCAGACAAGTGCGTTGATGTACGTCGAGGCGCATATCTGAAAAGTTGCAGCGAAATCTTTTTTGAAACAACCAGTCTCACTGAACTCTACGCGAACATCAGGTCCGTAGGTTTACATGCGGACGAATTTCGAGTTTCTGTCGTAAAAAAACCCCGCAACCTGAAAGTAAACTCCATGACACTCGCGCGGGACGTTGGCAGTGCCATCGGTGGTAGTGCGAATCTACGCCAACCACGGACTACCTTTCTAACGGTTGTGATGGCTGATAAAATATGGTTCGGACAACTCCTTTCCGAGTCCGATGGCGTATGGCTTGCGCACGACCAACGTCCTTATGTGACATCGAGTTCGCTACCGGCTCGGCTTGCGCGTGTACTCGTCAATTTAGTCGCATTCCCAGGCGATCGCCTGCTTGACCCGTGCTGTGGAACCGGCACCATTGTGATGTCTGCCGCACATAGCGGTATCCATGCAGTTGGTTACGATGTCAACCCACGCATGGTAGGTGCGACGACGAAAAATATTCAGCATTTCGGACTCTCAGCAGACGTAGCACTCGGCGACGCGCGACAAATTGATGGGCAGTATGACGCTGTTGCAACAGATCTGCCCTACGGCATTAATCTTGTCAGAGATAGTTCGCAAGAAATAGAGATTTTGTCAAATTTGCGGACATGTGCGCCGAAAGCGGCGTTCATTGATCTTCGGGATATCAGTAAAACACTGACCGACCTTGGCTACCAGATTGAGGCTGTTCTACCAGTGCCAAAGTTGAGCATTGTACGGCGTGTTTTTATTGTTTCTGTAACAGCGTAATAGGGTTCCTATAGTATGGGAATCCTTATGCAAATGAGACGAATCTGGACTCAATAGTCCTCAATGTTATCGTAAAAATTCGTTTCTGGCAAGTACTCATCTTCGTTGAGCTCCTCCTCTTCATGTTCCTCGTATTCTTTCCGGCTAAGGAGCGTGTCTATTTCATTTGAGTTCTCAAGTCGGAATTTACAAATCCATCCATCTCCTTCTGGAAAACGGTTGAGAAGTTCAATATCATCTTCAATAGCCGCGTTGATTTCGTAAACTTCACCCGTTACAGGTGCGTAAATATAGAAATTTCTCCCGTCTGATGTTTCAATGCGTCCAATAATTTCGCCCTGCTCGTATTCACCGAGAATGGGTAACTCTATAAAAACAACGCTGCTATAGATCTCCTGAATCCGTTCAGTGATCCCAACATTACACGCCTTTGAATTGAGAAATTCAATCCATTCATGTGTCGTTGTATATTTTATCTCAATGTTCTTCATCATGAACCTCCTGCCATTAAACATGATGAACCCTATCACTTTACGATACCAAGACCTTGAAGTTGTGCTTGGAAGGGTTCAAGTGCGTTTTGCCGAATCTGAATCTGAATAATCGGGTCCGGGTCATATTTTATGTCTATTACTTTCCCGCCCGCGCGTTTGCACAGAGTGACGACAGTACCTATATCCGGATAGTTGACCGTTAGGTACATGTTTTGGTAGAAGATACGGTTTTCAATTGTAGCATTTTGGAGACATTCCCTTGCACATTGACCGTAAGCACGAATTAATCCACCGACACCAAGGTTGATACCACCATAATATCGAGTGACAACACAAATAATATTGGACAAGTCAAAAGCGTGGATCGCTGAGAGAATAGGCGGACCGGCGGAGTGAGTGGGTTCTCCTGCGTCTGTAGCATACTCACGCAGTGTGGCATCGCTGCCAATAGTGTAAGCATAGCAGTAGTGCGAAGCACGTGGGCTTCGTTCTTGCACTTGACTCAGAAAATCTTTCACTGCTTCTTGGGTATGTACAGCAGTTGCCTCTCCCAAAAATCGAGATTTCTTTACAACGTGATACGCGTGGGCTATTCCCACTACCGTTCTATATTCGTCAGACATACGTCACGATTGCAGTCCCAATTGCTAAAAGATTTGCCCGATTGAAAAAGCATACACAGCTTTCCCTTGCACGATGTGGATACGCTCTTCATCTACCACAACAGGTGTAAATTGCGGCGTATATGCTATATTGAGGATAATGTTTCTGAATCTGAAACCGATCCCGAAGCAGAAGCCTTCTGCTTTCCAGAGTCGTTCTTCTGTTTCAAACGAAGCATTTTGCAAAAGGAACACCGATGTGTAACGCTTTTGTGTGTCCCTGAGGTACCCAATTCTAATCCCAATTCGGTAGCGATACCACGCTTCAGCCCCCATATTTACTCGAATACCATCGCGGAAAGGGGAATGTGCGTCTAAACCGAATCTCAAAGCCACGTCTGATATTTCGCGTTGGTATGCGATGCCGGTTACAATTGTGCGCTCCATCATACCCGGAATAGACGGATCAGAAAAGGAGAGTCCATTACTTAAGTTTCGGACGACAGCGCCAATCTGAATGGCATCTCCAATCTGCTGGATAAGACCAACGTTATAGGCATATCCGTGCCCAAGGTCTTCGTTGCCATCAACGTCGATTACCTTAGAGCGCAGCCATTTCGTGTCAACACCGACAATTGTGCCGCCAAATATATTTAACCCGTAACTGAAACCGATCGCAAGGTTATTTTCGGGAAAATTGTTAAGTGCCTTTCCAAGATAGTCTACTCGGCGAAACGCACCCTCCTGTTCAAAAGCGAGTGCCAATCCAAACGTGCCAAATTTTCCCATCGGAAGTGCCCAATTTAAAGTTTCAACACCGGACGAACCCTGTTCGTACCGACTATAATCCTCATAATTGGCATTCAAGTTCGGTTTGGAAAGCAGGGCAATAGTGTGCGGGAAACGGGTTGCGTGAATAACGAATCGGTTTCCTTCTGTTTCACCTATGCCAGCAGGGTTACTACCTAAGGCATTCGCGCCGCGGGTTGCGCCAACAAAACTCCCTCCCATCCCATAATGTTCGGCTCCAAGCAACTGTTTGAGGAATCCATCTGCAGATGCCCTTGTGTTTGCTATTGATGCAGTACTACTCAAAACAAAAAAGAGGATTACCATACAGGTTAGAACAGTCGCGACACAATTTTGAACGTATTTCACTTCTTACCGATGAATTAAACCTGTAGATTTCCGAATATATCTGTAGAAACAGACTTTGGACTTTGCGATAGGTCCACTGCCTATCGTTTCGGAACTACGATTTTGCAACCTACGCATTAGGCGAGGCAGGCTTCATCAAGCAAAGCGTGAATCCAAGTTAGAAACCTAACGAGGATACCACGCGCGCCATTCAAATCTCGATGCATGGACGCACCATCAGCAGCGGTGATGATTTTTTGACCGCCGATATTCTTCTTAACTTCTCCTGTCCATGAGACTGTCTTTGAAGTATAAGCTTCATTGACAATGATGACGTGTTTTCCGTGGTGCGCTGCTTTCTCAAGTAAACGTTGTTTGAACTTGTAATGAGAGAGCGTCAACATCTGCCGAACAGATTTCTTTCGGATTTTTCGCTCGTGGCGAAGTGTCATCTGTGATGTATCAAAAGACGGAAGAAGAATCACATCGAAATTCGAGACGAGAAAATGCACCAATTTACAATGGAGTTCCTTGACGAGGTTTCTTATGCGTCTACGGATCTGATTCGCGGCACGGCGCATCGTTCGCTTTTTCCGTCTGACGGTGCAAGTCGCAATACGAGAAAGCAAACGGTCAAGGTAAACACAGAGACGCTGGATTCGGTTTATCGCTTGATGTCCAAGCCAGCCGAAGCCGGTCTCCGAAAAATAAGTCAGAAAATCTCTCACGCCGGGATCCAATGCGACCACTCGCATCGCTCCGGTGGGAGGACTCTGTTTTGTTTGGTTATAGGTGACACAGAGATACCAACTGCCATCTTCACAAAGGAGGCGTGAGTCTCGGATCTCGTCTATAGGCTTAGGTTCCCCTTTTTCACGCTTCTTGGCGATCGGTGCGGGTAGGGGTTCGGTATAGTCAATATCACCTAAAACTGTCGGATAGATACCATTTTCACGGATTGCCGAGGCGGGAATAAACAGCGATTGCGTTGGCATGCGACGACTTTGGAAGCGAAGTTCCTGCTTTTCACCGGCTTGCTTTGCTTTGAGTTTCGCATTCCGCATCGCTTGCCATGCCTCACGGACGGCATCGCCTTTGATTTGGTATGGCACAGACTGATAACAATTCGGCAACCGACGGAGTATCTTCGGTTTCAGGGTACTCCAATGCGGGCTTTTACCGCGATGCCGTTGGAGATACTTTAGCGTTTCATTATATGCAGCACGCTTGCCAGCTGCCCAGAAACGGAGCAACTTCTTCTGCTCACGGGTCAATAAGAGTGGAATCTTCCGCGATTTCGTTACGGTAGCGGCGGAGTCTATGCATTCGACAACTGAAGACATGGAGGATTGAGAGCAAATCAGCGGTGAGTTCTTCTGTCGGACTGTGAACAGATTCGCCGAGAACCACGAGTTCCTCACCGTTTTGTTCCACCATGTATTATATCGCTTCGATGCCAAATCTACAGAGTCTATCCCGATGGGCAATAACAAGTTGGAGTTTATCACTTGTGAGAAGTCTGTCCAATAGGGCTTGAAAGCCTCGTCTTTTGAAGTTGAGACCGCTTCCAATATCTCGGATAATCTCAGCGTCTGGGATAGATGTCTCGCATGAAGGTGACTTGTCTTTCGAGGTCATCTTTTTACTTCGTTGATGAGACTCGGCAATAGCAAACGGTAGTCCAAGAAGTTGGTTCGGATTCTCTCTGGATAAACGATTCGACATTATATCTCCGGTGTCTGCCGGGGGTGCGGATAAAATCAATCTTTCCTTGATTGGCAAGTTCGCGAATGCCTGTTAACTGAAAACTATACGGAACAGAGTGTAACTTGTGCTACAGCATAGTCATTTGTATGGGACATAGAGACGAATGTCGAGTTGATATTGCGTTCCTGCGCACAGCGTTGAACCTCGCCGTGTAGGACGAGTTCCGGTTTTCCGACAGTGTTCGACCGAATTTCGACATCTTGCCAGCGCATACCTGTAGTCAAGCCTGTACCGAGAGCCTTGAGCGTAGCTTCTTTAGCAGCAAAACGAGCGGCAAGCCGCCAGTACCGAGAAGGGGTATCCCCACAATAGGTGAGTTCCTGTTGTGTGTAAACCCGCTGTTCAAAGCGTGATCCCCATCGACGGGAAGCGTCTCGGATCCGTTCAACTTCAATGATATCAATGCCGATTCCCTGAATTTTTTGCTGGTGCATCAGTTTATCTATAGAGGGCATCCGTCATTTGTGCGGCATGGACGTTTGCTTTGACATCATGAACCCGCACAATGTCCGCACCGTGTATGATAGCCCAACACGTTGTTGCTGTTGTTCCTTCAACGCGCTCCGTTACAGGGAGCCCTAAAATGTTACCGATAAATGATTTCCGTGAAGTCCCAATGAGCAGAGGTTTATGTAACCCTCGGAATTCCGCAAGGCGTTTTAGGATTTCAAGGTTGTGTTCTATTGTTTTACCAAATCCAATCCCGGGGTCGATAATGATGCGGTCGGCGGTAATACCTTGGGATTCGGCAGTCTCGATACTCTTCTGAAGCGAATCACAGACTTCACTAACGACATCGTCATACTGAGGTGCTTGTTGCATCGTGCCCGGTGTACCTTTCATGTGCATCAGAATCAGCCCTGCTTCCATTTCTGATACAACCGCTGCCATTGTCGTGTCACCACGCAATGCTGTGATGTCATTGATAAGATGTGCGCCGGCTTCAAGTGCGTGCCGAGCCACTTCAGCTTTATATGTGTCAACGGAAAGAAGAACATCAACGGTGTCAACAATGGCACGAATGACGGGTAGGATTCGCGCCAATTCTTCACTGATGGACACTGGCGATGCCTCGGGGCGGGATGATTCTCCTCCAATATCAATGAGGCTCGCACCTTCCGCCACCATCAGTTCGGCATGTGCGACTGCCTGCTCGACATCAAGGTAACACCCTCCGTCGGAAAAAGAGTCAGGTGTAACATTCAAGATGCCCATTACATGTGTATGTAAACCCAAAGTGAGCGATTTGCCACGACAGTTCATACGATAGGTTTTACGGGCAGTTGTGGCCGGGGTCCGAGAATCTCATCAATATCTTCGGTAACAAGCGTTTCCCGTTCTAATAATGCATCCGCAAGCAACTTTAATCCCTCAAGATTCGTTTCCAAGATTTCTCGTGCCTTATTATAGCACTCTGTTACAATATCATGGACCGCCTTGTCGATTTCAACGGCAGTTTTTTCACTATAATCCTGATGGTTACTCAATTCTTTACCGAGGAAGACCTGTTCATCGCGTTTACCGTAAGTGAGAGGTCCCATGTGGCTCATACCCCACTGTGTAACCATTCGGCGTGCGAGGCTCGTCGCTTGCTCAAAATCGTTTTGTGCACCGGTCGTCTGTTCTCCAAATATAATCTCTTCAGCAACTCTGCCTCCAAGTGCAAAAATGATATGGGCGAGTAGATGGTTTTTGCTCATATTATGTCGCTCTTCAAGAGGGAGCTTAGCTGTCACACCGAGAGCTCTACCGCGTGGAACAATAGTACACTTGTAGTTTGGATCACTTTCTGGTACAAAGTGTAACATGAGTGCGTGTCCAGCTTCGTGATAAGCCGTAACTCGCCTTTCTTCATCGCTTATGACAAGGCTGCGCCGTTCAGGACCCATAAGCACGCGGTCTTTCGCTTCGTCAAAGCACATCATGTCAATTTCGTCTTTGTCACACCTTGCGGCAAATAGTGCTGCTTCGTTTGCCATATTCTCAAGGTCTGCACCGGAGAAGCCTGGTGTTGCCTTTGCTAAGATTCCCAATTTGACGTTTTCAGCGATTTTATAAGGGTGTTTTGTATGGACATTAAGTATTGCTTCCCTGCCGCGTACATCGGGAAGATCGACAACTATCTGCCGGTCAAATCTGCCCGGACGAAGGAGTGCTGGATCTAAAACGTCAGGCCGGTTCGTTGCCGCAATGAGTATTACGCCTTCAGATGCTTCAAACCCCTGCATCTCAACGAGAAGTTGGTTTAAGGTTTGTTCACGTTCATCGTGTCCACCCCCGATACCCGCGCCACGGTGTCTACCAACAGCATCTAATTCATCAATAAAAATAATACAGGGTGCGTTCTTCTTTCCAGTTTCGAACAGGTCCCTGACACGGGATGCGCCTACACCCACGAACATTTCGACGAAATCGGAACCGCTAATGCTATAGAACGGCACGTCTGCTTCACCCGCAACAGCTTGGGCAAGCATTGTCTTTCCGGTACCGGGCGGTCCCATGAGGAGGACCCCTTTAGGAATTTTACCCCCGAGTCGTTCAAATTTTTTGGGTGCCTTCAGAAATTCGATGACTTCTTCAAGTGCTTCTTTCGCTTCATCGACCCCAGCGACATCTTCAAATGTCACTTTCGTTTGGTTTTCGGAGTGGAGTTTGGCACGGCTTTTGCCAAAAGATAGGGCTCGATTCCCGCTGCCTTGCATCTGACGCGACAGGAAAATCATCAAACCTAAGAAAATAAGCAGCGGTACAACCGTTGTCCCAAAAATAAGCAAACCTTGCGGGAATTTAGATGGTGGCTTGACGTTATAGTGAATGCCAAACTCGTCAAGTTTCGCTTGGATGTCATAATCATCGATCGTATCGCGGCTTGCTCTAAATTCGCCTTGCCATCTTGGCGGAAGATGGGTTTCTTGCGCTTCAGGATCCACGCTCCGCAGAATTTCGGTGCGGATTTCATTGAGTATGTTTTGATTGAACTGTCCTTCAACCCATTCTTCATCTAAGACCAGATATCCTTCAAACAGGGATGAACCGCGCGTTATGTATTGGTGAAAATCAGAGGTCGCGAGCTGATAAACTGGATCTCTGCGATTGAATAGTTGGTAAATGCCGAGGACGACGAGTCCGGCAACAACTACCCACCAAATCACCATGTTTTTTGTACTTTTATTCACAACGAATTGCCTCTCTGTTAAATTCTGAGCACTTACAAAAAAATGATTTCAAACCTGTTTAAAAGTATAACAAATTTTTTCCCAAATTTCAACTGAATTTAAAAAAATCGTCTATTTCCATATCACGAATGTGTTAGTAGCGATTTTAATTGGATAAATAACTGCGATTAAGATATACTATAATTAGAGTGAAGGAACCCACTAATAGGTGCAACAAAATGTTCAGATCTGTGTTAGGATGCTTACAACATGCTCCCGCGCGGTAACAATAAAACTAAGGTTAATTAAATTAATTGGATTGCGATGCCTAAAATCCCCACATAAAAATCGACAGGGCGTGCTATGAAATCCAGCCGGACATAAAATCCAATCCTACAGGCTACCCTGGGAAGGAGGAGTTTATGAATTTTAACAAACAGATGCTTGCGACAATTATTCTTCTGCTGGTTATGGTGTCTCATGCATTAGGGCATGTCACAGGCAGGAATCTTCAAAATTTTCAATATAATGCTGAACTCGCACCGGTTGCACCTATCGTAGATGGATATCTTGATGATCCGGTCTGGAAAATAGCGATTCAAGGGAAAATGGAACAAGACTTAATTAGTGGGGAACGCTGGGTTGAATCCCCTGATTTTACGGGAACCTTCGGAGCGGTTTGGCGAAACGGTTTCCTTTATGTAGGTATTAAATTAATAGACGATCAACTGGAAAACCGCCAAACGAAACTACTTCGCGAGGATCATCTTATCCTTTACGTAGATCCACATCATTCGGGACGAGCGGAAGATATCTACCGTTTTGAGATCCCGATTGAGAAAGAGTTAGGCACGCTAAAATCGCCGTTGACGCGAGTTGCGTGGGGAAACGATGGACAGACATGTGAGTTAAGTTTCCGTATGGATAACCTCGCGAGGAAAGGCAATAGTATTGGGTTCCTCATCGCCTATAACGATGTTGATAGCGGAAACCTTCGGCATGAAATTGCTTGGGCTCCAGAAGGTTACACTCTGGAGAAAAACGCTACCATTCCCCCTAACATTCCCGATCTCGTTTTCACTGCGAGGATCGAACCAACTCGGCAACAAAAATTAATCCAGTGGGGACAGTATCAAAAGTCTCTATTAGTTTGCGACTGTAGGGCGAGGCATGAAAACCTCGCCCTACGGTTAAATAAAATACCACTAAAAAGCACTGGAGCATTCGTGTATTATCATCGGTAAAACTTTGGAAATGATGGGCATAGCATGCTTAGGAGCAGGACTCTACTTAGGCTGTGTCAATCCGTATAGCTACAGTGAATCCAAAGCAATGGGCGTTGAGATGGGCTTCCTAACGCTCGGCGTTTTGGTTTTTTTTGTCGGAAGACTCATTGAGAAACATCAATAAAGATTAACAACTAAAAATGCAATACATTCCTGAAAATGCGCAAAATGCTGATAGTTCCCTCCCAATCGACCAAATTTTGTGTGGCGACAATCTTGAACTCATCCAGAAGCTACCGGATTGCAGTATCCAATTGGTAATTACGTCCCCTCCCTATTTTCAACAGCGCGACTACGGCGGTGGTATGGGCAATGAAAAGGATGTCAATGAATATATTGATACATTACTCCACCTTTTCCGGGAATGTGTCCGCGTGGCCAAAGATGACGGTAGTATCGTTTTCAATATAGGCGACAAGTATGAGGATAGCAACCTACTTCTTGTTCCCTACCGGTTTGCGATTGCCGCGACGAAGACAGTTTAGTAAAACTCGTGAAGAATCACGTGGGTAAACGGAATCAACGCCCGCGCCAGTTTCGCTGCGCCTCGTCAGTAGCACAGAGCATTCTCCACCTTTGTCAAGTCAGACGGCTATTTGCTACGACCTCAACGCCTCTTGGCGGAGGAACGAACGTATCCGAAACATTCAATAAAAAAGCCAGTACTAGGTTGGACAGCGATACTTGAACTTATTGCAGGAAATCTGAGCTGTCTGAGGCAGAGAAGACTGTTGGCGTCGCGAGCTCTAAGGAAGTTATCCAAGAGGTGATCCAAGGACAGCGCATAGTTTTCGGTATGAACAATTCGTGGCATTCATTCGGCACCGTTCGTGGGCGAGATAGTCTGGGCAGATGGTGGACCGTACATTGCCATTAAAAAACAACGGTTTTACACAGTCTTCAGATGCACCCCGGTTCTTGCCTCTTCCCTTACAGGTAATAGACTCAAGCGCAGATCTGCTGAAACATCCGTAGCGCTACTGTCAAGGAAATAAACCATCCGGCAATCTATCAGTTGGAAGTGTGAGGAGTTTACACCTGCTCACTCCGAAGGTGTGCATTAGTCAGATCCGTTTATGGGTTCAGAGATCAACTGCGGTTTGCTTGCAAAAAGACTGGGGAGACATGTCTAATCGGTTATGATATTAATGCGGAATACTGTGAAGATGCCGACAGCGGATCTCAGAGGCACCCGAATGCCTCGATGCGCTTATTTGAAAGGGTAAATGATGGAGAGTTAAAACCGCTCAATTTTGGAAGACACTTATAAAACTGGCAGAGTCAATGAATAGTACTCATCACTGACTCTCAGAACGCCAGAAAAGTGGGTCAAGACTATCATTCGAAAACGCGGAGTCCTACAAAGGAGTTTGAAGTCCTGATTCTGATTACATCGATTACCAAAAAGATTGAGACCACCTATACAAAGATGTCCCCATCATAAAAACGGAACTTCCAAATGGTACTCAGGAAGAGGCTTCGATACCACAGACTAACGCCTTTATGAAGGAGGAAATTTCAGACGGTCCTGCGATGAAAAGACAAGGGTTAGTTTGACACGATCACTGAACAGGTTAACGCTTTTACATTGAACTTTCCGCTGGAAAATTCGCAGAGTTAAGCTTGTGAAAGAGGCCTTCTTGAGATTCTAACGATATTGAGGAAAATCAAACAGATCCAGAAAGATTATCTCTATGGCTGTATTTGCTCTCTGATTACTGATGAGATCAAAGGTCGACACTTGGTTTATGGGAAACGGCCAACGCAAATCTTGCCAGACACCGCAAACAGATGCGGTGGTAAACGATCGCCAAATATAGGTCATTCCTTAAAGACCACCCTCTTTTCTTACAACTATCGCGTCGCTGGTTGCTTCGCAGGGTTCACACCTGTATTTGGCAGTTACTCCGATATGAATGCTCATGGGCACTTGACGCGAGCGATATGAAGGCAAATACTCCTCCATTAACAAGTCATACCACATCGGATATTAAAATATGGTGGAATTGGAGAGGACATTGAAATATTGGAGGAAAATGGGGAGTATTTTTTTCGAGGCAGTCGAAATTTTAAACAAAACTTCCGATTTCGCCAATCTTGTCCAGATTGCAGATCCAGAAAATTTGCCCCCCACCCGAGACTGCTGGTCGTCGTTATTATCTATCCCAATACAGCGGAACAAATGTTAATGATCCAGGGGCGGTAGAGCAATTAGGTTATCAGATTCCCACAGGACAACATAGTTGCGAAGTGATTGTTAACGCATCCATTCCTTCATTAAAATTACCTACGATTGTTAACGTAATCCCAAACTATTTTAGCGATCGCTACTCAAAAAACTCCCAGAGTTAGCTTTCAAAGAAGGAGCATACACGAGTTTAAGGAAACCATTACGGTTTTGGAGTGAACTGTTGGATCTCTGTACTAGAATCATCCATTTTAAATCGCAGAATAATAATCTACGTTAACTGCCCTAATTGCAATCCCCTGTTTCCCATGCCACCGACGAATAAGAAGCCACAAGTCTCGCACATCCCACAATCAGAAGGCCGGATCGCGGAGAGTTCATGCTAACGCCGTTCCGTCTAACCCACCTGGACCCAGTTAATCGGTAGATCCACACCATCAAAATAGTATTTTGGCACGCGATAACTCTGTTGGTTCAGATGGGCGCCAATCATTACAATCATCTGTAAATGCCACAGTGCTTTACGGATTGCGCTCTGGGATATCTCCGGAAAGTGAGTAATAGAAGTAACGGCTATCCCATTCAAGAAGGTTTGCTGTGTGGGCGGGAAACCTGGTTGTCAGTCACCGATTTGCGGGGAAAGAGCGGTGACGCGCTAATGAACCGCCCGTGTCTTCCCAGTGTGCGCACGGCATTTACAACCGTGATAAGTCGCATTAGGGGTGCCGTTCCACCAAAAGACGCGGAAAATAGCACGTTTCGTTTATCCCGGTTATAGAGGGGGTATATTCATCCGTCAGAGAGGTTGAACAGCGGGCGGCTGTCCGAACCGTAGCCTTCCGTTGAAAATACATGACTGGACAGAAACGGCGATTTTCTCATCTCTGTGGATATCCGGGGGAGGATTTAGAGCGATGTGGTTGTTCGCACCTGAAAAACACAGGGGGTATTGTCACGATGAAACGCGCCGGGACGATGGGACAGTGTACGGTCCTTCGATTGCATCAGGTAC